TGAGGTGGTGAGCGTTACTTCAGCGGCCGCCCGCTCACGCATCCAGGGTATTGGTCGGTGGATATCATCGAGAAGAAACGAAGAAACATTGCAGCGCATCGCTCTGGCGTTCGACGACGACCGTCCCCGGGAATGCACTCGTCTTCCGCTGGACAGGAACTCGAGATGCTGGCGGCCAGTATACCAATGTCGGCGACGCCATGGCGAATTCCAACACCAGTGGAACCCGGAGCACATCTCGCCACGGGGCTCCAGTACGCCACCCGTTCCAATGACCAGAACGCATATCGAGAATTCGCGGCGCAGGTGAACGACCAGAGCCGAGCCATGGCCACGTTGCGCGGCCTGCTTGAATTCAAAGCCAGCGATTCAATCCCCATCGACGAGGTTGAACCCGCCGTAGATATCGTGAAGCGTTTTGCCACCGGAGCCATCTCTCTGGGTTCCATCAGCCGCGAAGCCCACGAGACAATGGCCATAGCCATGAACCGCCTGGGCGCTCGCAGCAACACCGGAGAGGGCGGTGAGGACTATCACCGGTACTCGCCGGATGACAACGGAGACAGGCGTTCCAGCGCCATCAAACAGGTGGCGTCGGGCCGCTTTGGCGTAACACCGAATTACCTCGTCAACGCCACCGACCTCCAGATCAAGATGGCCCAGGGATCCAAACCAGGCGAGGGCGGCCAGCTTCCGGGCCACAAGGTCGACGAATACATCGGTTGGGTCCGAAACACCACTCCGGGCGTGGAACTTATCTCGCCGCCACCCCACCACGACATCTATTCAATCGAAGACCTCGCCCAACTGATCCATGACCTCAAAAACATCAATCCCGATGCCCGCATACATGTGAAACTGGTGTCGGAAGTCGGCGTGGGAACCATCGCTGCCGGCGTGTCTAAAGGCCACGGCGACGTGGTGCTCATCAGCGGCCACGACGGCGGTACCGGCGCTTCTCCCGAATCCTCGATCAAACACGCCGGTCTGCCCTGGGAACTCGGCGTGGCTGAAACCCAACAGGTGCTGGTCGCCAACGACCTCCGCAGCCGCATCGTCGTCCAAACCGACGGCCAACTCAAAACCGGCCGCGACGTGGCCATCGCAGCGCTGCTGGGCGCAGAAGAATTCGGAATGGCTACGGCGGCCCTGATCGTCAACGGCTGTATCATGTTGCGCAAGTGTCACCTGAATACGTGCTCGGTCGGCATTGCAACCCAGGACCCCGAATTGCGGAAACGATTTGCCGGTCAACCTGGCCACCTGGTCAACTATTTCTATTTCGTAGCCGAAGAATTGCGAGAAATCATGGCTCAGATCGGTGTCCGCACGGTTGCCGAGATGGTGGGCCGGGTCGACAAACTGGAAACTCGGCAGGCCGTGGATCACTGGAAAGCCTCCGGCATCGATCTTTCCCGTCTGCTGGTGATCCCACCTCGTACCGAACGGGTGCAAACCTACTGCTGTATCACCCAGGATCACGGCCTTGAGCGTGCGCTGGACCACCAAATCATATCGCAGGCGCAACCGGCCATCGATCACGGCGAGCCGGTGGAAATCAACCTGCCGGTCAGCAATTCAAACCGCACCGTTGGCGCCATGTTGAGCGGTCGCCTCGCTCAGAAATACGGCGAAGCCGGCTTGCCCGACGCAACTATCAAAATCAACCTGGAGGGTTCGGGCGGACAGAGTTTCGGCGCGTTCCTCTCACCCGGCGTATCCATTAACCTGGCGGGCGACACCAACGACTACATGGGCAAGGGCATCGGCGGCGGTCGCATTGTAATCGTGCCGCCAGCAGAATCCGGTTTCGTGCCCGAAGACAACATCATCATCGGCAATGTCGCATTATACGGAGCCACCGGCGGCGATGTATTTATCCGCGGTAGGGCCGGAGAGCGGTTCGCCGTTCGCAACAGTGGGGCCCGGGCAGTTGTGGAAGGATTGGGCGACCACGGTTGCGAGTACATGACCGGAGGTGTGGTTGCCGTTATCGGCAGCGCCGGACGCAACTTCGGGGCTGGCATGAGCGGAGGCGTTGCATTCGTTTACGACCCGGACCGCGATTTCCACATCAGGTTCAACGACGGCATGGCCGACCTCGAAAACCTGGAAGCCCCGGAGGACATCGACCTGCTGCATCAACTGCTATCCGAGCACTTGGACCGCACGGGAAGCGGTCCGGCCGAACGTATCCTGGCCGACTGGAACGATAGCATCGGCAAGTTCCGCAAAGCCATGCCGCGGGACTATCGTCGTGTGTTGGAAGAACGCCGCCTACGCGCTGAAACCGAATCGCTGGCGGTGCACGATGGGTAAACCGTCCGGATTTATCGAGTTTGGCCGCACACCGCCGGAACGGACACCCCCAGCCGAACGTATCCAGAATTACAACGAATTCTATCGCCGTTGGTCGGATGAGCAGGCCAAAGAGCAAGGCGCCCGGTGTATGGATTGCGCCGTGCCCTTCTGCCACATGGGTTGCCCTCTCGGGAATGTAATCCCCGATTTCAACCACCAGGTCTACCTTGGCAACTGGCAGGCCGCATTGGACGTACTGCTGAGCACCAACAACTTCCCTGAGTTCACCGGGAGGATCTGCCCGGCGCCCTGCGAAGCTTCATGCGTCCTCAGCATTAACGCCGATCCCGTAACCATCGAGTACATCGAGAAAGAGATTAGCGACCGGGGTTTCGAGCAAGGCTGGATCAAACCCATGCCGCCCGCCACACGCAGCGGCAAAAAGGTGGCCGTCGTTGGCAGCGGACCCGCCGGCCTGGCCACCGCGCAGCAGCTGAATCGCGCCGGACACCAGGTTACGGTGCTGGAACGCGCCAATCACATCGGTGGACTTTTGATGCTGGGCATTCCCGACTTCAAACTGGAAAAATCGGTCGTCACCCGTAGGGTGCAGTTGATGCAAGAGGAAGGCATTGAGTTCCGAACCGGCGTCCACGTTGGCGTTAATCACCCTGCCGAACAGTTGCTGCAGGAATATGATGCCATTTGCCTGGCCGGAGGCTCCACTCAAGCCCGCGATCTGAATGTGCCGGGGCGCGAATTAGATGGTGTACACCTGGCAATGGAATATCTCCCCCAGCAAAACAGGGAGCTGATCGGCGAGACGGTGCCGGATCGGATCTCGGCAGACGGAAAGCGAGTGGTTATTCTGGGCGGCGGCGACACCGGCGCCGACTGCCTGGGAACCGCCCACCGCCAGGGAGCTGAAATCGTCCGCCAGTTCGAGTTGCTGTCCGAACCTCCCACAGAACGCAACGACGATAACCCCTGGCCTCTGTGGCCGATGGTATTGCGTACGTCCGGCGCCCACGAAGAGGGCGGCATTCGCGACTACAACATTCTCACCAAATCGTTCGGCGGCGACGGCGGGCAAGTCAAAACTATCAATGCCGTCCGCGTGGATTGGTCAAAGGACGAAGACGGTCGGTTCCAGATGTCTGAGGTGCCCAACAGCGAATTCAGCGTCGATGCCGACCTGGTCCTGCTGGCTATGGGCTTCCTGCACCCCGAACACGATGGGATGCTTGAACAGCTGGGAGTCGAACTCGATGGCCGCGGCAACGTTCAAGTGGACGCCAACAAGATGACGTCGGTTCCGGGCGTGTTTGCGGGCGGCGACATGGTACGTGGCCAGTCGTTGGTCGTTTGGGCCATCGCCGAAGGCCGTGACGTGGCCCGTGGCGTTGACGCCTACTTGACGGGATCCTCCCGTCTGCCCCGAACCGAGGCGGCCACTTAGAACCCGGCCAACTCGGAAATAGTGCCGGTAATCCCGCTGGATAATATATTCCAGCGGGGTTTTTTAGACCTGCTCCTGAGCGGCATGGGGCACTGCGGTGCGGCCAATGTGGCTCAGATATTCGCGAATGTTCAGCACCTGGATCGTGTTGGTGGTGCCGGTAACTCCAGTCATAAAACCGTGTACCAGCGTTACCGTATCGCGCTCCGATACCAGCCCGGTCGCTATCGCCTCGTCGACCAGCAGGGTCACCAGCTTCGCCACATCCGGCTCCGCAGGAATCACACCCTTGGGAGCTAGCCCCCATGCCATACAGACGCGCCGTTGCACCGCTTCGTCATGGGAAAAGACCAGCACGTCATTCTCCGGGCGGAAACGCGACATTTCAAACGCCGCTCGTCCAGTGCTGGTGATAACGATGGGTTTGGCGTTCAGTGACTTGGTGAGCTGCGTTGCGCCCCAGGCCACGGATTGGGTTTGATCGCGTTGCGGAATCTCGGTGTAGTAGTTGTACATCTTTTCCGCTTGCACAATTGCAGCATCAGCGATGCGAACCGCCTCCACCGGGTAAGCGCCAACGGCGATTTCATCGGATAACAGGATCGAGTCGCAACCATCCAGCACCGCGTTGGCGATGTCGGAGATTTCGGCGCGCGTCGGCGTGGGAGAGTTCACCATCGACCGCAGCATTTGCGTCGCGACAGACGATATCTTGCCCGCCTCGTTCGCCTTTTTCACCATGTTCTTCTGGATGACCGGCACCTCTTCCATGGGCATCTCGACACCCAGGTCACCGCGGGCCACCATAATTCCGTCGACTTCGCGCAGAATATCATCCAGGTTATCGATACACTCACGACGCTCCAGCTTGGCCATCACCGGGGCCTGGCTGTTCAACTGGTTCAGATGCGCTCGGGCGTAGCGAACGTCTTCTCCGGTGCGCACAAACGACAGTGCCACCCAATCGACGTTCTGCTCGACACCAAACTGCAACGCAATCTTGTCGCTTTCGGTGATCACCGGCATGTCTATGGGCACATCCGGCAAGTTCACACCCTTGAAAGAAGACAGGTTACCGCCGTTTCGCACACTGGTTTTAACCTCCAGATCGGGAGTAACTTCCAGCACTTCCAGACACACCGTGCCGTCCGATATATAAACCAGGTTCCCGGGTCGCAGGCTCTGCAAGATGGCCGGCTCAGGGAATGGCAATCGGTCGGGTAAATCAGATTCCGGTTCATTCGTGATGGAAATATGGTCGCCAAAATTGAGCTGTATCGCTTCTGCCATGCGACCCAGGCGGAATTTATTGCCCCCCAGATCCTGCAGAACGGCCACGGGACGGTTGTTTCGCCTGGACGCCTCTCGCACATTCGCGATTACCTCGGCGTGCTCCTCAAGCGTACCGTGGGAAAAGTTCAGGCGTGCCACGTCCATGCCTGCCGCCACCAACCGGTCCAAAGTTTCAGGCGACCGGGAGGCAGGGCCAATTGTGGCGATTATCTTGGTTTTACGCATTTATTATTCCCCCCGGCTTTGACGATAACCGTCCGACCCGATGGCGGCATTCTTCTCGCATAATTTTGCTTAGGCTTTCGTTTCTACCCGGCATTATACGCACAACGGCGAGATGGTGGGCAATTACCCCCGCTACCCCAATATCAAACAAAACAGGCGCAGCCGGTTTTTGGCCGGTGCGCCCGAATCGCCAATCGCCGGTTTCCTAACTTCCCTGGCGGGACTGTTCGTAAGTTTGGGTGGCGCGCTCCAAACCGGCCCGGCGGTTAACCTGCAACGCGTCTTTGAGGCCCGACGCCCACTGTTGGGACGTCTGGATCCCGGTGAGGGTGCCCTGGAACTGGGGCATGACGTAGCGAGCCATGAGTTCGTAAGAGCGATGCAGCTTATCTCGCGGCGCCCAGTCCTCCGCTCGCACCAGCATCCCGCCAAAACCGCCAGCCATTTCCTGGAGCTCGTTTATTCGCTGGATGCAGTCGTCGGGCGTGCCCACGATCCACTGCTTGTTGTCGGTCATAAAATCGACGATCTGGTCGCGGGGAACATCGGGGACCTCGTGGCCAAGCGTACCGCCGAAATATTCGGTAACCACCCGCGCCGATCCCTCGCGAATATCCTCCTGCGCTTCCTTCTTGCTCTCAGCCAGGTGAACGCCAACCGATAGACGCCACTCCTCGCGTTTCACCGTTTGCCCGTGCTCCGCCGCCGATTCCTCGGCAATGGCACTGAGACTGCAACGACGTCGACCGCACCATATCCCGGGGAACGCTTAATGATATTACACCGGCGCCGTACTTACCCGCCGTCATCACGCCAGCCGGCGACTGCACCGAAGCGACCACCAGCGGGAACGGCTGTTGATACGGACGCAATTGCAGGTGGGCATCGTGCAATTCAAACCAGTCGCTTTGATAGGTGTACGGTTCTGGGCTGTCCATCAACCGTTTGATCGCTCCCAGCGATTCGTCCATCATCTCCCGTTGTCGGGCCGGGTCGATGCCGAACATGTAGGCATCTGACGCCAGCGCCCCGGGGCCAACACCCAGCATCACGCGCCCGCGGGTCAGGTGATCCAGCAGCACCATACGGTTCGCCACCATGTAGGGGTGGTGATAAGGCAAGCTGATCACGCCCGTGCCCAGGCGCAGGTTGCGGGTGCGCTCGGCAGCCGTAGCCATGAACACTTCAGGCGAGGCAATGGTCTCCCAGCCCGCGCTGTGGTGCTCGCCGATCCATGCTTCGTCGAAACCCAGCTGGTCCAGCCACTGCAGCAGTTCAAGGTCCCGCTCCAAAGCCAGTGTCGGGTTTTCGCCGACCCGATGGAACGGCGCCATAAATATTCCAAATTTCATGCGGGCGGGAGCCGTCATTAAGTGCCTCCTGATTCATAGGTAGCCTGGTTCATAGGTAGATGGATATTACGTTGGTTTGGATTGGGCCATTCTAACATGGTTGCCATTCGCCGCAACCGGATTGATCCGGCACGCAAATCACTCCCCGGCTACCGTGCTTCGCCGCTCCACGACCACTGTGTCGCGCCACCTTCCGTTCAACATTGCGACCCGTTTCCGCCGTCCGAGAATGCGGAATCCACAGGCTAAATGTATCGCGAGGCTAGCCTGGTTTTCCGGGAACACACTGCTCTGCAACGTCCAGTACCCGGAGGCCTCCGATACCCGCACGAGTTCGGCCAACAGCGCCTTGCCTACGCCTCGACCCCGCATCGCCTCCGCCACGTAAACGCTGTGTTCAACGACCCCGGCGTAGCACGGGCGAGCAGAAACCGGTGAAATGGCAACCCACGCCACCACCGCATCTCCGACCCGCGCGGTCAATCGACAGGCGGACAGGTGGTTGCGATCCCAGGTGTCCCAAGTCGGCGTCTCGGTCTCGAACGTGGCGTTGCCGGTGGCGATTCCCTCGGCATAGATGCGGCGCACCTCCGGCCAGTCCTCCGGCGTCATCGGCGCGATAATCAGGCCCGCTGGTCCCGTCATTGATCCAGCATACTACACGCGTTCCCCAGTTCATGTCGCAAGGAGTTTCGGCCCGGCCTCGCGCTATGATCCAGCCAAACCATTCCAGCGATGGAGGACATCGACGGCAACTGGATTGGCTTGACCGACATGCCCATGGCTCTGGTGCCCGAATCTTCCTGACCGTCGGGGTTGCAGATCGATCTCCCGGACCATGACGCCGGCATAATCTCCCCTAGCCCACCGGCACGAAAAATGGTATTGTGGCGGCATAAGCTCCGCGTGGAGCGCCGAATCTCAGGCACTACATTCAGACCATCACGGAGGACAACATGCCCCAGATTAAACACATCGCCATTGCCACCAACGACGCCGAAAAGACCGCCAAGTTCTACTCCGAGGTTTTCGGACTTCGCGAAGTCGCCAAACTCGACGGCGCGAACGCCAAGGGTTTCATGCTCAGCGACGGCAACGTCAACATGGCTATCCTGGACTTCCAGAACGACACCGTAGCCGGCGAGCGCGGTAAGGACTGGGAAGGCATCCATCACATCGGCTTTGAAGTTGAAGACCTGGAAGACATCGAGAAGCGGCTGATGGAAAACAACTCCAAGCCGATGGACGATGTCAACAACGCGCTCCACGCCGGCATGGGCGGACCACGCACAGAGAACGTAGAGACCAAGTACGAGGGCCCCAACGGCGAGATGATCGACGTCTCCGGAACCGGCTGGGTCGGAACCCGCGGCCTGGATTAGTAACCAACTGCCGCGAATCCTGTCCCTGATAGAATCCGCCCCAGTGTTCGAACACTGGGGCGGATTTTTAATGCCAAATTTCCGGAAGATGCTACGCTGGGCGAAACACCAGCCCCGGGTCGTCGGCGTCGATTTCATCCAGCGCCAGTACCACCGGCAAATCGACCGGTATGTTCTGCGGGTTGGAAGCGTCCACTCCTGAGATACGGGCGCTGATTCGAGGCCCTTCTTCCAGGGTCACTATCCCCGTGCAGTATGGATTGTTCCTCCCGTAGCCTTTGGCCTCCAGTGAAGCCGGAGCCACTGAGATACACGTGAAAGTGCTCAATGTCGCCCGCCCGCTGAATTCGTGCCACTCCATATCTCGGCTGTGGCTCACCGGATCGATCGGCCGCGCTTCTGCATAAACGTTGCCGTTCTCCCGGCAGCGCACTCCCATGAATCGTCCCTCTTTCAGGAAGGCGTAGAAAGACACGGCATTGAACGGTCTGGATTCGGCGTCGGTGGTCATCAGTTGCCTCCTAGCCGCGTTGCAGCACGTTGACGACGCACGTGCCGCCGGTGCCGCCCACGTTGTGAGTCAATCCGAACTCCAGGTCGGGACTGGTCAGTTGACGCGCGCCCGCTTCGCCCCTCAACTGCTTGAACACTTCGATGACCTGTGCCACGCCGCTGGCGCCTACCGGATGGCCCTTGGCCTTCAGGCCGCCGCTGGTGTTTATGGGCCGGTCTCCGGTGCGAGCGGTACGGCCCTCGTCGACTGCGTGAGGACCCTCGCCCGGCTCGAAGAAGCCCAAATCCTCACTCGCCACGATTTCGGCAATGGTAAAACAGTCATGGACTTCGGCCACCCCGACGTTTTCCGGGCCAATGCCTGCCATTGCGTAGGCTTCTGCCGAAGCAATCTTGGCGGCGGACAAAGATGTCAGCTCCTCGGCGTCGTGGAGTGGACGTCCGGTGGCCTGCCCCATACCGGCCACATGCACCGGCTTGTCGGTAAACTGGCTCGCGATGTCGCTGGCAACCAGCAAAACGCACGATGCCCCGTCCGTAATTGGAGCGCAGTCGTAGAGACGCAGCGGCCAGGCGATCCATGGATTGGCCCGGGGGTCATTCAGGAAATCAATCTCGTCTGCCCACTCGGGCACCGTCTCACCCCGTTGTTCCGCCCGTGCCCGGCGTCGGTCCATCATGTCTCGGACGGTCACCTGGAACTGTGCTTTGGGATTGAGTTTACCGTTTTCGTGATTCTTGATTCCAACCTTCAGCAGGTGATTCAGATTGGTTTCGTACCGGTCCATGTGAGCCTTGGCGATGGCCCCGAAGATGCCCGGGAAAGTCAGCCCGGCCGGCACCTCGTAGAGCCCGTCGGCGGCAGACGCCAGCACGTCAGTAACCCCTTCGGTAGGCAGGGAGGTCATCTTCTCCACGCCTCCCACCAGCACCACGTCGTACATGCCGCTGGCTATTGCCATCACGCCCTCGCGCAGTGCGCTGCCGCTACTGGCGCAGGCATTCTCCACACGGGTGATGGGGGTCGGCGTCATCCCCAGCCAGTCAGCCATGATGGGGGCGGTGTGACCCTGGTGCTCGAAAAGATCAGCAGAGTAGTTACCCAGATAACCGGCCTCGATGTCCTGCGCCGAAATCCCCTGGTCAATATTGTCCTGCATGTCGTGAAACGCTTCGACAAACAGGTCACGACTGGATTTGTCGGGGTATGCTCCAAACTGCGACAAACCGGCGCCGACAATCGAAACCTGACGCGCCAGCCGGCGGGGACGGGTAGTGGCCATGGTAATAACTCCTTCGGTAATTGGTTACGCCATTATAACGGCGGATTCAGTTCAACGTTTAATACCGTCTCGCACCAGGCCGCGGCCCCCAGCAGGCGGGCTTCGGCGAAGGGCGACGCCACCAGTTGAATCCCCAGCGGCAAACCGGATTCGGCAATGCCCGAGGGCAGGGAAATAGCCGGCAACCCGCATGATGTCCACGGCCCCTGGAACGCCGGATCGCCGGTGTTCGTGACGTCGGCCTGCGGCGGCGACGGCGCGGCCGGGGTGAGCAGGACGTCGCATTGTTGGGAAAGCTGTTCCATGTCGGCGATAAACTGCCGCCGGTTTTCCAGGGCGCGCGAATAAGCGATGCCGTCCACCTGCAAACCGTCCGCCAGCATCGCACGCAACTTGGGCTGATAGTCTTCGGCCTGCACCCGGTACATGGGCTCGTGAAAGGCCGCTGCTTCCACCGACATTATCAGGCGCTGGTCGACGTACGCCGTGTCGATGCTGGGAGGCATCGGCAGTTCCTCGATTTCGGCCCCGGCCTGGGCCCAACCGTTCCACGATGCCATCGAGGTGGCGGCGGGTTTCCGCGTCTGCCAGATCATAGAAGTACCGGCGCAGTACGCCGATACGAGGCGCTGCCGGCCAGGCAACCGCCGACAGATAGTCCCCCACCGGTTCATGGGATGACACCGGATCGTTGATGTCCGGACCCGACATTACCTGCAAAAGCAATGCGGCGTCTTCCACGCTTCGCACCAGCCACCCCACCGTATCCAGGTTCCAGCTAACCGGTACCACGCCGTAGCGGCTGACCCGGCCGAAGGTCGGCTTGAAACCGACCACGCCGTTGTAGGCAGCCGGCCGCAGCACCGACCCCACCGTTTGGGAACCCATCGCCGCAGGACACATCCGCGACGCAACCGCCACCGCCGATCCGCTGCTGCTTCCGCCCGGAGTGTGTGCCGCGTTCCACGGATTCACCGTGGGCGACGGATCCAGGCAGGCAAACTCGGTGGTTACCGCCTTGCCCAGCATCAAAGCCCCCGCGTGTTTCAACAGCGTAAGAGAAGCCGCGTCATACTCCGGCACGAAATCCTTGTAAACCTCGCTGCCGGCCCGAGTTGGGATACCGGCAGTGTAGTAAATGTCTTTCATGCCGATCGGAACACCGTGCAGCGGCCCCAGTGGCCTCCTTTGCTCCACCGCCCGGTCGGCGGCTCGCGCATCCTAGTACCGTCGCTCGATCCACGTAGACCCAGGCTTTCAACCGGTCATCCAGCGACGCAATGCGGTCCAGGCAAGATTCAGCCAATTCGGTCGCCGTGATTCGCCGATTGGCAATGGCATGAGCGGCTTGCGCCGCCGTCAGTTCATTTGGTACGGGCATGATCGGTAAACCTCACTGTTGTCGAATCAGGCGGTGAAATTAACACCGGTCGGGTGTTGCCGAACTGATGGATCTTTAATCGGTAATATAATTGCGCTTCACATACCGCCTGAAAGGGAATCGCCAAATGCCGGTTTACTATCTCAGTCAGGAAACCGAGGGCCAGAGATCCGGGAAGTTATCGGCTTTAATCGGCGGTCTTATCGCGGTTTTAATACTGGTGGTCGCAGCCGCAATTATCGCATATTACGTAACCCGGCTGGGCGACGCCGTTCTGACATCATCCAATGCTGTGGGCGCCACACAACCCACCGTCTTTGCAGCGCCTGACATTGGGACCGCATTCTCCAACACCGTCGAGGCCGACACAAACACCATCTATGTCGTGGATACCAACGATTCAATGAAATTTGACCTGGATGAGGTTCAGGCTTCGTTGGTCAGCCTCACCGATGAAGGAGATTTCAATCGCAACCGGATCCGCCTGATGACCTTCGACACCAGAGTAGGCACGGCATTCGATTTCGATTTCATGGAATCCCCCGGCTCCCGCGAGGATTTCAGGAAGGCCGTTAACTCACTGGAAACCGCGGCCTACAGCAGGTATTCCGGCAACACCATGATGTATTTGGGGATCCGACGGGCGAGCGGCGAACTGGTCAAGCTGGCCGACTACGACCGGCCCAATCGGATTGTCGTATTAACCGACGGCGCCGCAGATGACCATTTTTTGCATTTCGACCGCCTGCTGGAAGAAGTCCAAACCTCTCCAATCCCAAACTTGCGAATCGACATTATCGGCTACGGACTCGACCCCACCATCACCTACTTCCCAGACGAAGTATTGGAAGGCATACCCGCAGCTTCGGGTGCGGGAGGCGACGATCCCGCGGCATGGACTGCGGAGGGAATCCGCTGGGTCGAACGCAACTACGGTATGTCGCAACGCGAATTCATCGCCGCCTACGGCACTCCCATACTGGCGCCGATCTACGAAATGACGTCTGACGTCTGCCGTGGGCGGGGCATACTATTCCGTGGATCGTTAGCCGTCCCCGGGCCTGACCGGCGATCGACTCAATCATTTCTACCGCACTAGAGGTTACGGCGCCAGAGGTTGCGGCGGCCGGGAGCCACCGTGCGGTCACACTCCGGCAGGTCGCCTTTCTCCCCAGTCGGTGGACTGCTCGTAGGCGTAGGCGGCGCGGAACAGGGTAGTTTCATCGAAGGCCCGGCCGGCAATCTGCAATCCTATCGGCAAGCCGCTGCTCGTAAACCCGCAGTTGATGGACAATGCCGGCAGGTTCGCCAGGTTGAAAGGCGCCGTGAACCCCCTCCGGCCTTTGAATCCGGCCAGCACATCGGCCTTGGTTCCCAGGCCGGCCGATTGCGGTATCAGCGTGGCAGGCACCGAAGATGCCGGCATTACCAGCACGTCCACCTGCCCCAGGGCCGCCAGGATCTGACGGCGCAGCACATCGCGCAATCTGGTGGCCTTCTGATACACCTTGGCGGGAACGATGCTGCCCATCAGCAACCGCACCTGATTATTATGATCCAGTTCCTCCAGGCGCTCGGTGGATATGATGTCCCAGTTGAGCATGGCGGCGTCGCTGCCGATTATGCCGTAAGAAATTTCCGAAGAATTAACAATCAATGGGACGGAAACTTCGCTCACCTCAGCGCCCAGTCCGGCGAGCACGCCAGCGGCTTTGATAACCGCGTCGCGAACTTCCGGATCGTTGGCATCGGTATGGACCCGCTCGGTTACCAACCCCACTTTCAAACCATCAATGTTGCCGTCGAGTGCGGCTGAATAATTCGGGACTGGCACATCCCAGGTTTGTGGGTCGTTCGGGTCATGTCCCGCGATTGCTTCCAGCGTATTGGCGCAATCGGTAACCGTTCTGGAGATCGGCCCCACCGTGTCCATCGACCAGCTGGCGCCAAACACTCCATGTCGACTGACCCTGCCGAAGGTGGGCCGGATGCCCACCAAACCGCAAAAGGCCGCCGGCCCTCGAATGCTGCCGCCGGTGTCTTCCCCCAGGGATGTTGCGCACAAAAACGCCGCCGTGGCTGCTCCCGAACCGCTGCTGCTGGTTCCGGGATTGCGCCCGGTATCCCAGGGGTTGCGGGGCCGGCCATAGGGATATCGGAAAGCATCGCCGCTGGCGTATTCGCTCATGTTGAGCTTGCCCAGCAACACCGTACCGGCCGCCCTCAGGCGCGCGATCACCGTAGCGTCTGCATCCGGCACGTTCTCGGCCATTATCGTAGACCCATTGGTGGTTACGATTCCGGCCGTATTGAACTGGTCTTTCACCGCCACGGGAACGCCGTGCAACGGACCCAATCGCTGGCCGGCTGCTATCTCGGCGTCAGCGCGGCGAGCGTCTTCACGGGCGCGGTCGGCGGTTACCGTGATGTATGAGGCGTAGTTGCCGTCCAGTCGGGCGATGCGCTCCAGGAACGCTTCCGTGGCCTCCAGCGAGGAAATCTCACCGGCGGCAATGCGTTCACCCAGTTCGGTTGCGGAAAGATAGCAAAGGTCCGGGTTTGCCATTAGAGAACCTCCCGTTGCCGGGCAGTGTCCGATACGATGATCGGTAGCGGTTCGATATTGGCCACATCAGGCTCAACAATAACGTCCAGAGCCTCCAGCAAACCATTCAATGACTCCCGTACTTCTGCCACCAGGTGATCTGGAATATTAATGCCTGATGCTTTGGCCAGAGCCAGCACCTCGGTATCATTCAAATCTGGCAAAATCCAACCTCCTGCGCAGGTGCAATGCTATCTCAATACTGAGCCTCGTGAGTGGACTCGGTGCGACGCGGACAATTGTGGCCGGGGGTGCCGGCGTTGTCAACTCAAGCACACTGCTATAATCTCCGGAATAGCACAAACCGAAGCGCACCACGGCAATAGGAGCGATGCGATGGCTGGCGCATATCAACCCTCACACGATGTTGTCGGCGTAATCCTGGCCGCCGGCCGGGGCAGCCGAATGCACTCCAACAAACCTAAACCGTTGCATCTGGCGGCCGGCAAAGAACTCATCAGATATCCGGTGGATTTGATGGCCGAATGGGGGATGCAACGTATCGTGGTGGTAACGTCGCCCGATCATGCTGAAGCGATTGGCGACCTGCTGGGCGACAACGTTGAAATCGCCATGCAACCCGAGCCTGATGGCACCGCCGGCGCTTTGGCCACTGCCCTGGATCAACTTGGCGAGATTCCCCAAACGGTCGTGGTGATGGCCGGCGACACCCCGCTGGTTCGCGCCACATCCTTGCGGACACTGATCGACGAACATACCGCAGTTGCCGGCCGCCGCATGACAATCCTGTCGGCTCCCGACGTGTTCGCCGACGACCTGGGTCGCATCGAGCGGGCCAGTGTAACCAGCGATGGTCGCGTGGGAGCAGTCAGCGCAATCGTGGAAGCCCCCGATCGCACCCGACCCGTACACGGGCCGGCCGAAGTAAATACGGGCGTTTATTGTTTTGCCGGAGACTGGGTCGCCCACCGAATTAAGCAGGTGACTCCTTCACCGTCGGGCGAGCTTTATCTCACGGCGCTGGTCGCCATGGCATCCGACGCCGGCGAAGACGTCGCGGCATTACCCATCGCCTACGCCGATGAGGCCCTCGGCGTAAATGATCGAATCCAGCTCGCCACCGTGGAAGCGGTCCTGCGTGACCACTTGAACCGTCGCTGGATGGAAAACGGCGTCACTATCATCGATCCGGCCACAACCTACATCGACGCCGAAGTTACAATTGGCAACGACACCGTCCTGCTGCCCAACACCATGCTGCGCGGCCAAACGGCCATCGGTCAGGAGTGCGAAATCGGCCCCAACTCCGTCGTGCAGGACACGCACCTCGGCGACCGCTGCAGCATCGTCGCATCTTTCCTGGAAGGCGCCAAAATCGAAAACGACGTCACCATAGGTCCCTTCAGTCACCTTCGCCCCGATTCGGTAATAGAAACCGGCGTTCACCTTGGCAACTACGTGGAAGTGAAGGCCAGCCGAGTCGGTTCCGAAACCGCAGCCGGGCACTTTTGTTATCTGGGCGACGCCAACGTAGGCCGTGGCGTGAACATCGGCGCCGGAACTGTTACCTGCAACTACGATGGAACTGACAAGCACACTACCAACATTGGCGCTGGGGCTTTCATTGGCAGCGATACGATGCTGATTGCTCCCGTCTCCGTGGGCGAAGACGCGGCCACGGGAGCGGGCGCAGTGGTCACTAAAGACATCCCCAGGGGTAGACTCGCTGTAGGCGTACCTGCTAAACTCGTTCCACACAGAGATTAAGGAGAGCAACTGACCCCCACCGCGCGCCCTGCGCCGGTAAAGGGCCGACAGTTTGGATACTGACAGTAGCTTACCACCGTTATTATTTCTGGCCGTTTCGCTGGTGCTCTTTGGCTGGACCAGTGTAGTATTTGCGGCCCGCGACACGGCTTTGTCCGCCATGCAGTTGGTGGCAGCCGGTATTCCGACCCAGATCCGAATGGTGCGATTGATAAGGGTCGCCTCGGCTGTATTGGCCGGGATCTCTGCGGCTTTCCTGGGCCTGTCTCTCGCTCCGGGATGGCAATCCGCGGGTAGCAATTCGCCCTGGTTGACGGCAGGCTTTATCAGCATCGCAGCCTTGGTCGCCTGCGTAGTTATCATCATCGTCGATATTGCGGTAGGGATTCTGGTCAGGTTGTTTCCCCTCATCGCCCGCCGCGTGGCGCGACCCCAACGCTGGTTCGCTGACATGGTTGTTGCGCCGTACGGCAATGGTAATTCAACCGCTTCCAACGGAAACGGAGTTAACCAATACCAGGCCGACGACGATGGAAACTTTCTTGCTTCGGTACCGCTAACTCCCAACGAACTGTTGAATCTGGACCAGTACGATATCGACATGGTGCGCTCCATCAGCCGCATGGACGACCGCGATGCGGTGCACATTATGGTGCCGCGCCTCGACGTTGACGCTGTTGAGTTGTCTTCTACGTTGAAGACCGTAGTCGACACGCTGGTAGCCAGCAAGCACACGCGTTTGCCGGTTTACCGCGGCACTATAGACGATGTGGTGGGGATTGTGCACATCAGCGACGTGCTGTTGACCCTGGCAAAAGGGGATCACGATGCAACTCTAGCCAGCATCATGCGCGAACCAGAATTCATCGCTGAAAACATGGCGGTGGACGACCTGCTGGTGTTGATGCGCCAAAAGTCGCTGCAGATGGGCATCGTTGTCGACGAATATGGTGGTGTCGAGGGCATACTCACCCTCGAGGACGTGCTGGAGGAAATCGTCGGCGAGATCGACGACGAATTCAGCGACACCAACGGCGATGACCCGGTGCCCAATCAAGACGGTACCTGGACTTTGAACGCGACGGTGCCCATCGAATACGCGGAACAGATCGCCGGAGCAGAGCTGCGTTATGGAGACGTGAACACCATCGGCGGTTACGTCTACACCGAGTTGGGCCGGATGCCGGAGGTCGGTGACATCGTGCAAACCGGCGGCGTCACCATCGAGGTAACCCAGGTCAGGGGCCGCCGCATCCAGCAACTGCGCTTGATACCCCGGGGACAACAATGCCAGACAAATGCCAGATCCAACCTCTTCCGTCAGTTAGGTGACCGACTCGGTCGGTGGGACGGCCGGGTTTCAGGCGGCCACCGGCGCAGCATGAAAAAAGACTACCGGACTGAAATAGTCCGGTAGTCTTTTGTGTGTTTCGCGTTGCAGAACTGCGCTTACCGCACGCCCACCAGTTCGCCATTCAATATCAGGAAATGATCGTAGAAGCCAGATGGCACCGGTACCGCCAGATGGACCGTGGACCGTTCGGCGCTGGTCAATCGCAGATCTGAAGCGCTGACCACTTGCGTGTGTGTCGACAGATAGATGTATTCGTTGGTGCCACTTTTCACCGTGATTACCAGGTTCTCATTTTCTTTCAGCACGTCGGCCGCGCCGGTCAACCTGCCAAAGCCGGCTGCGCCCTTGCCGGCGGGGCCCAATAGCCACATCGCTCCCCGTTCACCGGGATAGGCGGAAAGTCTCAACGTGCCCTACCGGATTGATACCTGATGCAAAATTAACCATGGTGCTTTCTGATACCGTAAATTCAGAGATTCTGGCGTCTATACCCAATGCGGGTACTTTCACGCTCACGGCCGGCGGCAACGTTCCTACCGCGGCAGCATCTGCGGCGCGAATCAGTTCAAACCCCAGCTCGGCAGCCTGTTCGGCGAACGCTCCTTCTGGCAACGTCAGAGCGGTTACGGTTACTCCGTCGGCGCCAGACGGTACGGACTCGTTTGGCTCCGCAACCACGACCCCCTGCCTCTGTACAGCGTAGTCATCCAAGCCAGAACGCAGCCAAAACAGGTGCCCGTAATAAAACACCCCCGCTGCCACCAAAACCACTCCCAGCAACAGCAGGGCAATCCCAGACCACCTCATCCCATAGTGCTGTGCGCGGGTGCGCATCTGCATGTAATCGAGACCTATCTCCATTTCCACACCTGAATGTATTGCGCTTACCAACCGACGGGGATTGTCCGTGCCTCAGGGATTATCCGCCGGCCGATTGGAACTGGCGGAAGCCGTATTTCGCCCGTAATCCAGTATCGTTAGTGGCGACCCGTTCTTATCGGTTCGTTGACGAAAATATCGCCGTTACGAATTTTGATGTTGTAGCCACAACCCGGGTTGGTGCACGTCCACGCTTTATAGTGAACTGCGGCCCCCTGGGCGCCATAGTCCGATAGCGGCACCAATGTACCAATATTGCACTGTTGGCAGATCGGCATCTCCATAGACTCCACAGAATTCACCTCCCAATAGATCGCCGAGCAGTCGTCGGGCCCGTGCGAAGAATTATATCTACGCGCTGCGCCCGCCTGCTTGCACAACGGCAAGCAGGCTTTTCGCGTTTTGCTCGGATACGCTGGACAAACCCGGCGAATGGGGCCGCCACTGTCCGGCTGGGTCAGCCATGTCGGCAACGCGCGTCATCCAGCAAAGCCGAAGCTGCGGGTTAGAGGGTAGCCCACAGCTTCAATGCAGCGTTAACCAACGCCAATATGTTGCCGGCCGTTATACACGAACCACGGCCGGTTGATTAAAGGTTATTCCAGATAATCGCGCAGCTTTTTGGAGCGCGATGGATGCCGCAATTTGCGAATGGCCTTGGCCTCGATCTGGCGAATCCTTTCCCGTGTAACGCCGAATTCTCTACCGACCTCTTCCAGCGTACGGGTACGGCCGTCTTCCAGGCCGAAGCGCAGCTTCAGCACACGGCTTTCCCGATCAGTCAGCGAGTTCAGTACTTCCTGAACCTGTTCACGCAACAGTTGGGCTGATGCGGCATCGGCCGGCGCCAGAGTAGTTCGGTCTTCGATAAAGTCACCCAGGAATGAATCTTCTTCTTCCCCAATGGGAGTCTCCAGCGAAACCGGCTCCTGAGATATCTTCTGAATCTCTTCCACCTTTTCAGGTGTCATCTCCATGGCTTCGGCCAACTCTTCGGTGGTGGGTTCACGCCCCTTTTCCTGCAGAAGACGCCGGTGGTGGCGCATCAGCTTGTTGATGGTCTCCACCATGTGAACCGGTATGCGTATCGTGCGCGCCTGATCCGCAATCGCCCGTGTAATCGCCTGGCGAATCCACCAGGTGGCATAGGTGCTGAATTTGTAACCCTTGCGGTAGTCGAACTTTTCCACCGCGCGGATCAAACCGATATTGCCTTCCTGAATCATGTCCAGCAGCGCCATTCCGCGGCCGATGTACTTCTTGGCCACGCTGACCACCAGCCGCAAATTCGCTTCGGTAAGATGGGTTTGAGCACGCTCGCCGTTCCTCTTGATTCGATCGAAATGCAGCGCCGCGTTGAAATTCTCCATCTCCACCAGGTCGCTCAGCCCCGGGTCCCGAAGCAACTGACTCAGCAGCAGCAACGAGCACTGGTCATCCTCGGCGTAAAGCGGCGGCACGTCTACACACTGCTCCGGGGTATAACATCCCCCCACGCCCTCGGGGTGAAGTTCGGCCCACACCGGCACGTACGCGGTAACCGCATCGGCCACCCGCGGAGGCAGCACCCAGGTGTCCAACGACAGCTGGACCACGCGCTGATGCGCAACTTCTTGCGTAATGTCCACGTCGCGGGCGATTTGCTCCACCATTACCGGGGATACCTCGGCATCGATCGCCTTCCGCAATGGGGGAGATTCCTGCACTTCCCGAAGCGACATGCTGGGTTCAAGATCCAGGTATCGGGAGATCGAGCGCACCAGGGCAGCAGAGTTTGCAATTCGGGCCAGCAACACCATGGCGGCTTCCCACGCCATGCTTTCGGCAGGAACTTCGTCGCCGAGCGCCACGTAGCTAACAGCCGGATCTTCGGCCGGCTGCTCTGCCAGTTCCTTCTCCAGCTTGTTCAGGTGGTTCAGTCCTTCCAACTCCCGCGCCAACCGACGTTCATCAGCCGACGTCAGCAAATCAACCCGACCGATCTCCCGCAGGTACATCCGCACCGGGTCGTCCAGCGCATCGGTGCCTTCGTTGGTATCCACGTCGGCCCAGTCGCGCTCCTCCCGCTGGATATCCCGCGGCGACGGGCCGTCAAGATCCGGCAACACCGTGCGAGCTGCCGCAACCCGGCGAATCTGCCATTCGTCATCCGCCGCGTCCGGGTCTTCCACCGCCACAGCAGTCACCACCACCTCGTCCTCCGCGGTGTCGTCGTCGTCAACCGGGTCTTCGTCTTCGTCATCGTTCACGGCTATTGCCGTGCGAGCCGTTTCGTAGACCTCTTCGTCATCGTCGGCTATGACAACGGATTCGTTCCCTTCGTATTCCCCATTCTCGTCATCAACGATCACGGCGCGGCGACTGTTAATTATGGTCATATTTTTCTCCCGGTTTTGCTTGTGGCCAAACTATGGGCGCTTGTTGGTTTAGGTCGTATCAATGCGAGCCGGCATGGACCGTCCGCCGGCTAGGTAACACCGGCCAATTCCTGGTTGATTTCGCGAACCCGCTCTTTTCCAGCTTGCACCTGCCTGGCGGCGGGCGACTCCCAATCCGCTTCATCCTGAAGCACTGTCAGCAGCTGGGAGATTTCTTTGTTCAGGAATTCCTTCTCGATTCCAAGTCTAATCTGTTTCCAGGCCTGTTCCAGTCTGGATGTGCTCGCCAGCATCAATTCCCGTGCGCGTAGTAGATTCAGATGAGATTCGACCTCCGGCGCAACCAGTATCTCGGCCATCTCCCCGCCATCGGACCCATTCTCACCCCCGGATCGCGCCCTCAGGATGCTGCGATAGATTTCCCGGTGCTCTGAGCGCTCGAACCAGTCGGCGGACACTGCAATGGCAGCTTCCGGTCCCAGTTCGTCCCAGTGCTGCAGCAGCATTGCCAGGCAGTATTCCTCGGCTACGTCTTCCGTGCGGCTTGGAGCCGGCGTTGCCGCGTCCGCCGTAGCTGGCGGCGTTTCGCCACCTGCCCGGCGACCCGGACTTCGGCCCACCGTCCTCATGGCCGAACGCAAGGTCTCGCTGTTGACCCGCAGGCGCACCGACAGTTCATCCAGGTAAAGGTCCCGGCGAATCGCATCCGGCACCTGCGCCACAAAGCGAAGCATGGTTTGAGCCACCCACGCCTTGTCGTCGGCATTGTTCAGGTCGGCACGGGCCGACAACGAAGCCAGCAAGTACTCAAACAGCGGGGACGCCCCGGCCACGAACGCCGGCCATTCCTGCGGTGTAGCGCGTATGAAGTCATCCGGGTCCTGACCCGACGGCAACTCCGCCACCAGCATCTCCATGGCTTCTGATCGCTGCAGCACCGAAACCGCTCCGGCCTGCGATGCCCGGGCATTGCGTTGCTGGAACACTCCCCACGACGATTCCAGGCTGCGCAGCGTGGCGTTGCGCCCCGCCGGATCGCCGTCCAGCGCCATCGTAACGTGAGTCGTGAGCCGGCGCACCAGCGCCACCTGCTGCTCAGTTACCGCCGTACCCATCGATGCGACCACGTTGTCGAACCCATGCTGGTGCGCCATGATGGCATCCATGTATCCTTCAACAACCACCACGCCCTTCTGCCTCACCGGCTCCTTGGCCAGGTGCATGGCGTAGAGAATCCTTGACTTGTCGAACACCGGCGTTCGCGGCGTGTTCAGGTACTTGGCCACCGCATCCGCGTTGAGGGCGCGACTGCCGAAACCGGCCACCCGACCCGACCAGTCGCGTATGGGGATAATCAATCGACCCCGGAAAAGATCGTAGTATCGGCCATCATCCGTTTCCCGGGCCAACCCGGCCTGGGCAACCAGCTCCCTGGTGTGGCCGACTTCGGTCAGGTGCGCCAGCAGGCGATTGTCCCGAGGCGGGCTGTACCCCAATTCAAACATCTGGATCGTCTGATCGTTGAGGCCGCGGTCAGCCAGATAATCCCTGACGAATTTGCCCTCCGGTTCATCCAGCAATCGCTGGAAATATCGCCGGGCGGCGTCGTTGATCTGATACAGCTGATCGCCCACCCCGCTGGTGTTCCGGTCCTCTATAACCACTCCCACCCGGGCGCCCAGACGGTGCAGCGCTTCCCGAAAATCCAGCCGTTCCGCCTTCATCACGAACGACAGCGCATCCCCGCCCTCGGCGCAGGCGCCGAAGCAGCGCCAGGATTGACGGTCGGCAAACACGTAGAAAGATGGCGTCCTCTCCTGGTGGAACGGGCAGTTGGCCTTGTAGGAATTTCCAGACCGCTGCAGGTTTACATACGAGGCGACCAACTCTACGATATCTACCCGGCTTTTTATGTCATCTATTTGCGTCATTTGCGTCAAACACTAATTTTTGGGCAGACTGGGTCAAAGGTTATTATACCACGTCAATGCCGCGCGACTCTATTGGCGCACACCACCGGGTTCCCCGATCACCGAGCGTAGGTGACGGTTATGGCGTCCTCAACGGTGTCGCCGTCCTGACTCGCCATGACCCTGATTTCATTGAGCCCAGGCTGAAGGAGAATGTTCGTTTGCCAGCTGCCGTTTTCGTCCACTGCCGCCACCACGTTGTTAAGTACGACCAACGCGCCCGGGGAGGATTTACCCAATACCGCCAACACCGGTCCGGTTACCACCGCGCCATCCGCCGGCTCCGTGATATTGACCGTCAACTCCAGCGGCGTGGGATCATATTCCACCGGTACGGACTGGCGCACCTCCTGGTTTGAAGACCCGTGCACGCTGACGATTTCGATCACGTTGAACCCCAGGCTCAATGGCACCGCCCGCGTAAATGCGCCGTTTGAATCCGACGGCAGCCGATCCACGCGATCCGGTTGGCTGCTGCTGGTGTAGGTAATCAGAATAACCGACCCGGGCAGCGTGACCCCTTCCACTTCCACCCTCGGCAGGCCGCGCAGCACTTCAAACGGCCGGGGACTTCGCACTTGCAGAAACAGCATCGGCGCGGGAGTGGGCGACGGTGTTAGCGTGGGTCTGGGCGTAGGCGTGGGAGACGGCGGGACGGTGGGCGGCGGTGTGGGCGGCGGCGGCGCGGTGGGCGGCGGCGTGGCGGTGGGTCGAGGCGTCAATGTTGCCGGCAGCGCGGTGAGCGTCGCCACGAAGTCCACCGGCGGCGTGGCGGTCTGCGAAATGCGGGATGCCGGCGCGATGTCGGGCGTGGCAGGCAATCCCAACGCCCACACCGCCACAAACGTAGCGGCCAGCAGACCAACCAGAACCCCGACTACAATTTCCTGTCTCAATGCGTCAGTCGCCAGCGCGATCCTGGGAACGGTGCGACTGGGAACCTAGGCATCGGGAGCGCCCACCGGGAGGGTCAACGTGAACGTCGTGTGCCGGTTTTCCGCCGGCGCCGCAACCGATTCAACCGTCAGTTCGCCCCCGTAACGTCTGGCCAGCGTCCGGCTGATGTACAGGCCCAGACCCGACGAAGTCTTCTCTTCGCTGCGACCCATCTCCGGCGTCCAGCCACGGGTGAACACGTGGTTCCGGTAGTGCGCCGGAATTCCCGGGCCGTCATCCGACACCCGCACCGCAAAATTGTCGGTATCTCGTGTAACAGTGATCTCGATGTAGTTGCCGCCGTACCGCAGAGCGTTGTCCACCAGGTTGGCGATTATATGCTCCAGCGCCGATGCGTCGGAATACACCAGCCCGAATTCCTCCGGTTCCGACCACCAGACAATGTCCTTGCCCTGTTCGCCCGCCTCACCCATGTAACGCTCTACGATGCGACTGACCACTGCGGATGGCTCTACCGGATAGCGTTCCACCGGGGCGTCGGGCGTCGTCAGGTTGATCATCACCTGCATGTTGCCCATCATCAGCCGGAAGGATGGCGCCTGCTCCTCGATTTCGTCCAGCAGTTCGTGAACCACGATGGACACATCCTCACCGGTGGCCGCCAGCACGCCGCGCACCTCCCGGCACTTGCCCAATATCCGGCGCATCGGCCGCCCCAGGTCATGCTGGAAGGTTTCAAACTGCTGCTCGGTAACCCGGCTCCAGTCTCCGGCGTCGCCGTACCCGTTCCCGTTGCGATGCCGCAAACCGGCCACGGCGTAAAATCCCACTGCCGCCGCCAGACCCAGGCCGACCACGCCCATCCCGATGTACATCAGCGGCTCGATTCGCCACGGTTCGGGGAACAACCGGACCAGCGGCAGAAACATCGAGAGCAGCATCAGCACAATGCCGCCCGCCGCCGCCGCCAGGCCAACAATCGCCGGCCACGGATGCGCTGCGATGCGCCGCACCGTCAGAACCGCCATGCTGCCGTCCTATTCCCGCGGCGGCGACAACCGGTATCCCCGGTCGCGCACACTGACGATGAAATCGTTGGCCCCCAGTGACACCCCCAGCGCCCTCCCGATGGCAACCTTGATCTCGCGCACCCGCACGCGCAGCGAAGCGCGCGTGTCGTCCCCCTCCAGGTACCGCTCCAGCCGATCGAAGGGCACCAGGTTGCCCGGACTGCGGTACCACGCCTGCGCCAGTTCCTTCAGAATGCGGAACCGTCGCCCGCTGATGTCGGACACCGGCGTCAACTGACCCCCGCCGTCCCTCACCAGCACCACGTCCACATCGGTATCAATTACAATGCGTCCACCGATGGCTATCGACCGCGGCTCCGCGCCCACCAGCCGTCGCACCCGCAGCGCCACCTCCTCGGGCGACGCCAGCTTGTCGATGAATTCCACCGGCGCGTTCACCTTCAGCGCGCTGCGGGCCACCGTGTCCCGTTCCACGCCCTGGCTGTATTGGGTGAACATCAGCACCGGCAGCTGGGGATGCTGACCCACGATGCGCTTCAGAATGTCCAGGCCCTTGAACTGATCGTCCCGGTATTCTCCCAGGCGCACATCCAGGATCACCCCGTCGGGCCGCCCTTCATCGATGGCATGTAACGCGGCCCACATCATGTCGTCGGCGGAACCGTGTTCCTCCTTGCTCACCACCTGCGTGCCCCAGCCCTCTTCTTCCAGACGCCGGCGAACCGCCCGCACGATGGCGGACGTCGCCTCGTCGTCAACAATAAGGATGTTTCCCGAACGTGCCGGCATAATATTAGCCAAATTTTAGCATAACGCCCTTCGACCCATACCGGCCAACCCGCGCGGTGGCAGTACCAACGGCGTCGTTAAAACCACGTTATGTAACCAAAACGGCCCCAATCCGAAAACCACCAATCTTTGGAGCCATTCCCGTCGTATCATATAATGCTGGCCGATACCGGAACATTCCCGTCGGCCGGACGACTCACGTCAACAACTACCCGAGGAGCACCGTGCGCGCATCCACACACTCACCGATCCTTCTCCGTCCCGCCGCCTGGCTAACCAAGCCCTTAACCTGGCTAGTCCTGGCCGCCGCCGTGGCCGCCACAGCCGTCCTGCTATCCGGCGCCGGCATCGCCCAGGCGCAGGCCGCGCCAGCCGCACCCTCGGCCTAACCGCAACCCGCGGCGACCAATCGGTCACGCCGGGTTGGACAGACCCATCCAACAACTCCATAACGAAATATCAATACCAGCAGGACAGCAGAGGATGGGCTGATGTGACTGGCGGCGCCACGGCAACCACTCACACCGTCACCGGGCTGACCGACGGCACGGCATACACCTTCGAAGTGCGGGCGGTTAACGGAGCCGGAGACGGAGTGGCGTCGAACCAGGCCACCGCCACTCCCAACACAGCTCCGACGGTCACTACCCAGGCTGACCCGTCGTTCGCGGAAAACGGCACCGGAACGGTCGCCACCTACACCGCCACCGACGCCGAAAGCAACAACATAACCTGGAGTTTGACCGGAGCCGATTCTGCCCTGCTATCCATCTCCGCCAGCGGGGAAGTGACGTTTGATGATTCGCCCGACTACGAAGCTCCCGCAGATGACGGCACAGACAACATCTACAACGTCAACGTAATTGCCACCGACGACGCTCCAGCGCCATTATCTTCCGCCGATTATTCCGTCACCGTCACCGTCACCAATGTGGATGAAGACGGCGTGGTAACGCTGGCACCCGCCACCGCCCCGAAAGTCGGCGTAGAAATCACCGCCACGTTATCCGATCCTGACGGCGGTGAAACCAACCACGTCTGGAAATGGGAATCCACTCCCGACGGTACTGTTGCCTGGGCGGACATCAGCGGCGCCACTGCCGCTGCCTACACCCCGGTATCCAACGACGACGACAAACAGTTGCGCGCCACGGTAACCTACACCGATGCCGAAGCCGCCGGCAAATCGGCGATGAGCGATACCACCGGCGCCGTAACCGAAAACCAACCGCCGCCCACACCGACACTCGCGGACCAGACTGCCACCGCTGGCACACGGTTTAGCTACCAATTCGATGTCGTTACCGACTCGGACGGAAACACTGTCACCTACTCCGCCACTTTGGGCAATGATAGCGCGCTCCCATCCTGGCTCCGGTTCAACAATGCCACCCGTACCTTCAGCGGTACTCCCCAGGCAGGAAATGAAGGGGCAATCACCGTCAAGGTTACAGTCACGGACGACGGCGCGCCGCCCAAATCCACTCCTGGAACGTTCACCATCACCGTGGGCGCAGCAGCAGAATGCACCGCCCTCGCCATCGACCAGGACGACAGCACCACGCCCGGCGACACGGTTGACCTCACCCTCTCCTTCGCCCCGGCCAATTGCGGCCCAGGCGCCCTCACGTCCGAACTCACCATCACCCTCCACGAGGACATCGGCGTACCTGACGATTTCGACAAGGTGGATGTCATCATCAGGGCCGGCGGGCGCTTCGAACCCGATTGGGCCGACTACAACGAAGCCGAAGACGGCACCCACGAAATCGAGCTTCCCGGATGCCAGGCCTGGGGGCCGTCCAGCCAGAACGCCCTCGGCGTGTGCGACCGCTCCGGCCTTCCCGCGAGCATCGTGCTGGAAGACATACAACTTCCCAGCCGCCCGTCTGAAAACGGCGAAGGCTACGAGATAACCATCCAGTGGGATGATAGCACCCTCTTCACCGAAATTATCGACGTGGCGGCCACGCTGGACATCGCCGGCACCGGCAGCGACCGCCGCGAGGTCGCCTACGGTGAAACCATCACCTTCACCGGCACCGGCTTCGGCAACAACCTCACCGTCCGGCTATATGCCAGGTCAGGGGATTCCGAGGTAGCCTGCACCGACGCTGGCAGTTCCGGTTGGGACGAGATCGGGACCAAAAACGCGAACGACCGGGGCAGTTTCTCCATCCCGATCGTCGTCGACGATTCCGCGTTCGATTCCGCCGGCGCCTACCAGGTCTGCGCCGTGGACGGCGGCGGCACCCGCAACGAAATGCCCGTCTCCATGTCGGTCAAATTCGGCATCCAGGTAACCGGCGACGCTGGCCAGGAATTCACTCCCGGCGAGGACGTCCGCATTACCCTCATCGGCGGCGGCAGCATTTCGGCCGCCGACATTGATATTTATGTCGGCGGCCGAGCGCTTGCCGACAGTGAATGGGATTTGAGAGGCGACGACCTGGTCGTCACCCTGCCGCCCGGCGAGTCGGGCAACGTACAGATCGCGGTATTCGTAAATCAAGGCCAACCAGGCGCGCAACGGGCCAACGCCAACATCACCGTAGGTTCGCTAGAGCTGGAAGTCACCGGCCTGCGGCCCGCCGGGCTGATCCTCGGGCAATCGTTCCTGGTCCAGGTGGATGGCCTTGCCGGCACCGAAGTCCGCTCCGTACGAATTGACGACATCGAACTGGCGTTTTTGCAGGGCGGGGATATTTACCGCTCCGACGAGTACCCGCAGGTGCCCAGCAACGGGCGTTTCACCGGCAGCGTGATTGCCATCAACCGCGACGGAACCCTTTCCGATCAACTCATCCGCATGGCTCTGGACTCCGACGGCACCGAGGAGCTGGAAATCGAGGACAGCGCCGGCGTGGTCGCCAGCACCGAAGTGAACGTAGCCGTACCCACAATCACCATCGATCCCGCCGAGGGCAGTGTCTCCCGTGGCGGCGAGATCACCATCACCGGCCAGAACTTCCCCATCTATCACGATGACTACAACCGGGAAGAAATCGAAGTTTTTGTCAACGACCGACGCGAGGCCAGGATAGAATCCTCCAGCGGTTCCTGGACTCAAAAGGTCACCATTCGCCGCAACTTGAACTCCGGAGATCGATTGGACATCGAGGTTCGAATCGGCGATTATTCGTTCCGCAATCTCATCCGGGGTTTCGACCTAAGGGTCACGCCGGCGGAACTCGCCGTCATCCCCAAAGAACTGAAAATCGGCAATCCGTTCCGCTATACGGTCACGGGCCTGGAGGGCTTTGTTCGCTATGCGATCAAGATCGATGACCGACTGGAAGTGGTCGAGTTCACGACCGACGACGCCGGCAATCAAACCGGCATCACGGTGATACCGGTGGATTATCACCGGACCTTTGCCACGTCAAGCGGCCAGCCTGCCACCTTGCAAGTTAACGACTCGCAAGGCGCAAGAGTCGCCGGCGTATTCTTCACTGTGATTCTCCAACCGGAACCGTACCAAACCCCCACGCCGGTCCCAACCAACACGCCGCTGCCAACCAACACGCCGGTTCCTACCGACACACCCGTTCCAACCAACACACCCTTGCCCACCGACACGCCCATCCCACCGACGGACACCCCCGTGCCGCCGACGGATACTCCCGTGCCCCCCACGGAACCGCCCACGCCTTTCCCGACGGTAACGCCGGAGCAAACCGTCGACGCCGAGGAAGTGCGCCAAACCGTGGTGGCGCAACTGCAACCCACCCTCGATCCCGATATCAGGGACCGTCCGGCCCGGCAGTCCGACACCGGCGCCGAACAGAACCAGAGCATCTTCGGTTCTGCGACCCTGGTGTTGAGCGTCGGCCTGGCTGTCGTCCTGGCCCTGATCGTTGCGCTGGTAGTCGTGGTGTTGATCCTCCGCCGGCGGGCCGCCGCCTAACACACCTGCCGGATCACGCTGATCCCTAATGGCGTGTAAAACGGGCGTAAAAAATGGGAGGCGAATGCAGATTCGCCTCCCAACATCAGGACCGGTGAGAATGTAACGCCGGGTCAGGCGTCCTTCGTCAGGTTGGTCAGGAACTCGGAGTTGGTGCGGGTACGGGCCAGCCGTTCCAGCACTCGCTTGGTGGCATCGCCGCTGGAGGCCTGGTCGCCGCTGGAGGCCAGCGTAACCATGCGCCTCAGCAGCCACACCTGCGCCATCGCCTCCGTATCGTACAGCAACTCCTCGCGGCGGGTTCCGCTGCGCACCACGTCGATGGCGGGGAAGTAACGCTGGTCGGCCAGCCGCCGGTCCAGGTGCAGTTCCATGTTGCCGGTGCCCTTGAACTCTTCGTAAATCACCTCGTCCATCCGGCTTCCGGTATCCAGCAGGCACGTCGCGATGATGGTCAGCGAGCCGCCTTCTTCCAGGTTGCGGGCCGCTCCGATGAACCGCTTGGCCGGGTACAGCGCCGCCGGGTCAATACCGCCCGACAGCGTGCGCCCCGAGGTGGGTAGCGCCAGGTTGTAGGCCCGCGTCAGCCGCGTGATGCTGTCCAGCAGGATAACCACGTCGCACCCGGTCTCTACCATACGCTTGGCCCGCTCCACCGACAGCTCGGCCACCCGGCATTGCTCTTCCACCGATTCGTCGAACGTGGATGCAAAAACTTCGCCGTGCACGGCGCGGCGCATTTCGGTAACCTCTTCGGGCCGCTCACCGATCAACACCACCATCAAGATCACTTCGGGCCGGTTCTCCGTGATTGCCGCCGCAATCTGGCGCAGCACCGTCGTCTTGCCAGCCTTGGGCGGCGAAACCACCAACCCGCGTTGCCCCAACCCGATCGGCGCAAACAGGTCGATCATTCGCGAGGACAGACCCCCGGTCTCGTGTTCCAGCACGATATGGTCGTCAGGGAATATGGGCGTCAACGATTCGAAAATACGCCGCGAGCCCGCCTTCTGCAGCTCGGGATCAAGGAGGTTGATGGTCGAAACGCGCGTTAGCCCGTAGCGCCGCTCTCCCTCTTTCGGCGGTCGCACTACGGCGGTTACGGTGTCGCCGGATTTCAGGTTAAATCGCCGGATCTGCGCCTGGCCCACAAAGACGTCACCGGTGACCGGCGGGTATTGCAGGGAACGCAGCAGGCCATGTCCTGCATCCATCACCTCCAGCACGCCAGATGCAACCAGCATGTTCCGCTGCGCGGCTGCCTGCCGCACCCTCTGGAACAGGGCATCGCGAGTAAGTTCGTCCAGCGGAACGTCGCCATTCACACCCACGGCGGGCGCCAGTTGGATCAAATCGTCAAACGACATGGCGGTCAGGTCGGCGATATCTATCTGGCGGTCTGGAATGGGTACGACCGCCTCGTTGGCATAATTGCGACCATCGAGATCGCCATCTTGGGTTGGATCAGCGACGGCAACGGCGCCAGCTCCATCGTCAGCGTTTGCGGGACGACGGCGTCGGCGGGTAGCCGTAGATACAGGACGAGCGCGGACCATTGTCAGCCTCCGGATGCTTTTTGCCAGTCTTGCAGAAACTGCGACAAACCGGCGTCGGTCAACGGGTGCTTCATCATTTGCATCAGCACCCCATAAGGAACTGTGGAGATATCGGCGCCGATTTCGGCGGCCAGTTGGCAATGGCGGGGACCCCTGATACTTGCTGCCATCACCATTGTTTCTATCGCCTGCTCTCGGTAAACATCAACGATGTTGCCCACCAGTCCGATACCGTCGTGGCCAATATCGTCCAGCCGCCCCACGAACGGGCTCACCACCGTGCTGCCGGCGTTGGCGCCCAGCAGGGCCTGGTTTACCGAGAACACCAGCGTCTGGTTGATTTTTATGCCGTCGCGGGCCAGTGCGCTGATCGCCTTGAAACCCTCTTCGGTACTGGGAATTTTCACCCAGGGATTGGGTATCCACTCGGCGATATCGCGGCCTTCGGCGATCATTCCGTCCGCATCAGTGCTGACCACTTCCACCGAGATGGGGCCGTCGATGATGTCGGCGATCTCCTGAACCGCGGCGCGGTAGCCGGCCGAACCGCCGATGCCTTCTTTGGCCGCCAGTGATGGATTGGTGGTCACACCGCTGATCACTCCCAGCTCGGCGCCTCGCCGAATCTCTTCGATGTTGGCCGTGTCGAGAAACAGCTTCACTGTTTCGTCCTCCTGCGGGCGATTGACGCGGTTGCCGTGTCCGTTGCGAACGGCGATTGCACGAATGCCGCCTGTGTTGAGTGACCGCAGAGAATCAATGTCCCTGCCGGTCTTGTTGGATCACGCCGCGCCCGGCGAGCAGACCAACTAAAAAGTCCACCAGCCAGACCGACGGAAAGGCAATTGCTTTCCTTCCCTGACAATGTCGCACGCCTGTCCAACCAGTGCGCTGAACAGCGGGTGCGGACGATTGGGCCGGGACTGAAATTCCGGGTGAAACTGCACTCCCACCATAAAGGGGTGGTCAGGGATTTCCGCCGTTTCAACCAATTCCCCATCAGGTGACAATCCGCTCATTATCATGCCCGATGCTTCCAGTGATTCCCGGTATTTGTTGTTCACTTCGTAGCGGTGACGATGCCGTTCCATTACTTCCGGCGCTGCATACGCTTGCGCCATTCTCGTGTTGCTCTGCGGTCGGCAGGGATATTGCCCCAACCGCATGGTGCCACCCATGTCGGTAACGCCCTTTTGCCCCAGCATGATATCAATGACCGGCTGCCTGCAATCCGGATCGAGTTCCGATGAATTAGCTCCGGTCAGTCCCGTAACATTCCGCGCCCAGTCGATTATCATCACCTGCATACCCAGGCACAGGCCGAGATAGGGAACTCCTTTTGCCCGTGCGTAGCGGCTGGTATCCACCATCCCCTCTACGCCCCTTGGGCCAAAGCCTCCCGGCACCACTATACCGCACACGTCCTTCAGATGATGATCGGGGCCGTCGCGCTCCACCGCCTCCGAATGAACCCACCGCACGTCGGCGCGCACCCCGCAGGATGCAGCGGCGTGTCGCAACGCTTCGCGCACTGACATGTACGAATCGGGGTACTCCACGTATTTACCCACAATGGCGATGGGCACCTCTCCGTCCGCCGCGTTCATCTGGTCCACCAGCCGACTCCAGTCGTCCAGTTGGCAATGCCCGCTCAGCCCTAACGCCTGGGAAAGGATGCGGCCGACTCCGGACTCCTCCATGATCAAAGGCACTTCGTAAACGTTCTTCACGGTGGGCATGGGGAATATCGCTTGTGAATCAACGTCGCAGAACAACGAAAGTTTGTCCCTTATGCCGTGGGAAATCTCGGAATCGCTGCGGCAAATCAATGCATCGGGTTGAATTCCGATGCTGCGCAGTTCCTTGACGCTGTGCTGGGTCGGTTTGGTTTTCAGTTCCTCCGACGCCATGATGTAAGGCAACAAAGTCAGGTGCACATAGAATACGTTGTCGCGACCCACCTCGTTCCGCATCTGCCGGATGGCTTCCAGGAATGGCAACCCTTCGATGTCGCCGACGGTTCCCCCAACTTCAACCACCACCACGTCGGCTGCCGACTTTTCGGCCAGTCCAATGAGCCTGGCCTTGATCTCGTTGGTAAGGTGCGGGACCGTTTGAATGGTGCCACCCAGAAAATCGCCCCGGCGCTCCCTGGTGATCAGCGTCAGGTAGGTCTGACCGGCGGTAACGTTGCTGTCCCGCGTCAGTTCCACGTCTATGAACCGCTCGTAGTGACCCAGATCCAAGTCGGTTTCACCGCCGTCCTTGGTTACGAACACCTCACCGTGTTGATAAGGAGACATGGTCCCCGGGTCGACGTTCAGATATGGGTCCAGCTTGATCACTGTTACCGCGAGACCCTGACTTTTCAGGATGCGGCCTATAGAGGCAACACAGATGCCTTTTCCAATGGAGCTGACCACGCCCCCGGTAACAAAGATAAACTTGGTGGGCATAATTTCCTGGCGTACCTGCCGGATGGGGTTATGCCGTGGCCGGGGCGAGGCGGTTTATCAAAGACACACCAAGCCTTGGGCCATCAACCTGCGTCATTAGGAAGAGCACATAACTAAAAAGGAAAACGACGAGAGAGCATGCGTTGCATTGCCGGTTACGGACCTTGGGAATCCTTTCCCCGCATTCATTGAAGAATGCGCCGTATCCACGCTCCCCGTTGCATACATTATAAGTTGCTAAAAATTCATGTGTCAAATATACCAGCGTGTCGTATTTCCCGTTCTTGGTCCTGATGAAGTTTTGCAATCGTAGAATCAGGATCAATCTATGGGCGTGTCGGCAGTTCGCCGGGCTCAGTAGACAAACCCGAATTCTCGGTTTTTGTGGTATCGTATTGCACGATTTGGGGCCGGTTTACTGCTGACATTCCCGGCGCCTGAGCGATCCTTTTCTAATATTTCAGAGGTGACACCCCGATGGTTGCGCACAGTGAGCGGATGGTCTCCGTCCGCGGCGGTATGTTCAATGTACAGGTTGCCGAGGGTGGCTCCGGTCATCCGCTGGTCTTCCTGCACGGAGCCGGCGGCTACGTGGGTTGGCCCGATTATCTCGACCGCCTGGCTCAGCATTACCACATTTATGCTCCAGCCCACCCGGGCGTTGCCGAGTCAACCGGCTTGAACCATCTGGATGACCTTTGGGACCTGGTGCAATTTTACGAAGAGTTGCTGGATGCACTCGGCATAGATAATTGTTTCGTGGTAGGCCATTCGTACGGAGGATTCTGCGCGGCAGAACTGGCAGCCCACCGACCGGAACGGGTTTCACGCCTGGTATTGGTCAATTCTCTGGGGCTCTGGCTGGACGACAACCCGGTCGCCGATTTCTTCATCCTAACGCCCGACGAACGCCGAGAAATGCTGTGGTTCGACCCCGAAAGCGACCTCGCGCATGCCTACGTCGCACAACCCGAAGGCATCGAAGAACGCATGGAACACACGCTGGACCGGTTGCAGACTTTACAGTCCGTCGCCAAGTTCACCTGGCCTATCCCTGAGCGCGGTTTGACCAAGCGCTCCCATCGCATCACCATGCCGACCCTCGTGCTATGGGGTGATTCCGATCAGGTAATCCCGCCGGCATACGGCGCTGCCTTTCGCGACCTGCTTCCCGACGCCACCCTCACGGTAATTCCAGAGTGCGGCCACATCCCTCAACTGGAGCGGCCCGACGCTTTCTTTGACTCCGTGGCAGGTTTTCTCCAAAGCTGACTCCTGCTATCCCGCACCACGTTCCCGCTACGTCCAAGCCACAATTCAGGAGATTCACATGGCCATTAGCGACGCCATGCGCGATTCAATCAACCATCACATCAACGCCGAGTTCTATTCTTCCTACCTGTATCTCTCCATGTCCATTTTTTGCGACGCCTCCGACCTGCCCGGATTCGCCCATTGGATGCGCATACAGAGCCACGAAGAATACAACCATGCCATCCGGCTCGTGGACTATATCGAAGATCGGGACGGCCGCGTCGCTTTGCTACCCATCCAGCAACCACCCGTTGAATTCGATTCGGTGGATCATATTATGCAAGAAACGCTCGCGCACGAACAGCACGTTTCCGCCCTTATCAACGACCTGTATCGCGTGGCGGTTACCGAGGGAGACTACGCCACTCAGGTAATGCTCCAGTGGTTCATCAACGAGCAGGTCGAAGAAGAAAAAACGGTGCGGGACGTGATCGCATCGCTGCGGATGGTGAACGGACGCAGCGACGCATTGCTGCTGTTGGACCGGGAGATGGGTTCTCGTGCGGCGGCAACCCCCGCCTGATCCCTCGCGCAACCACGTCACAATTCCTCAACCCTGCTCCGGAGATGTCATCTTGACTCTGAACGAATTCATCACCGACGCGCTGGAACACGAAAACGGGTACCTGCTGGAGGCGCTGGACGGACTGACCCCTGCTGAGTTGGCCTGGCAACCTGCCGCCGACGCCAATTCAATCGGCTGGATCCTGTGGCACATGGTCCGCGTCGAGGACATGTGGGTTCAATTTTTCGCCCAGTTTCAACCCGAACTCTGGGAGTCGGGGGCCTGGAACGAAAAATTCGGGCTGCCCACTCGAGATAACGGATTCGGCCACACCGCCGACCAGGTCAACAACTTCCCGCGGTTGGATCTGTCGCAGTTTCTGGATTACCGAGCGGCGGTTCGGGCCGCCACCCTGGCGTACCTCAACACCCTGTCTCCCACCAACATGGAAACCGTCCCACGCGAACGCCGACCCGAAATGTCGCTGGGCACCATGTTTCGGCAGATCATCGGCGAAATGTATCAGCATTTGGGACACATCGCCTACCTGCGCGGCCTGCAGGGTAAGTAATCCAACACCGCCGCGAACTGCGCGGATTTTCCTCCGACGGTGTCTGCGGGCAGTTCCTACCGAAGCTGCCTGAGTCCGTCTTCCAGCGCAACCCAAGGCAGCAGGGCGCATTTGATCCGAACCGGATACTGCCGAACCACTTCCAGGGCGCTCAGTTCGCCCAACTCCACCATTGCCACCGGTGGCAATGGTTTTCCCTGCATCATGTCGCGAAACAATTGGGATACGTCGGAGGCGCCTTCCACCGTACGCCCGGACAGGTTCTCGGCCAGCAACGACGCCGACGCCTGGATAATGCTGCATCCTTCGGCCATCGCACTCACGCGGTCAATGACCAATGGTTGGCCGGCTGGCGCGGCCAGCTGCAGTTGAATGTTGGCCCGGTCGCCGCAGAACGGGTTGAACTCTTCGGCCTCCGCGTCCGGAGATTCCATGCGACACCGGTGTCGGGGACGCCGGTAGTGATCCATGATGACGTCGCCGTAGAGCGCGTCGGGTTGGTCGGGCAGCAGCGCCATGTAATCAGCCGAACTCCACGGCACCGAGGTTATTCGGTGGTGGCGATTTCCTCGCCACCCAGAGCGGCTTTCAGCGTATGCCACGCCAGGATCGCGCACTTGATGCGAGTTGGGTAGGCGATCACGCCGGACAGTATCTCCAGGTCGCCCAACAAATCAACGTCCAGCTTGGCGCCGGGCTCGGTCATCATCCGGTGAAACTCCTCAAAGAGCGCGGCTACATCCGGTTCCGACGCACCCTTTACGGCCTGCGTGAGCAGCGACGCCGACGCCCGGCTGATGGCGCAACCGTGGCCCTGAAAGCCCACGTCGTCAACGACCCCGCTATCGTGGTTCACCTTCAGCTGCAGCGAGATCTGGTCGCCGCACAGAGGGTTGAAACCGTCGGCGTGATGTGTGGCATCCGCCAACTCGCGAAAGTTGCGCGGCCGGCGGTTATGTTCCAACAAAATTTCCTGATACAGATCGCCTAAATCTGAAGCCATTAGCCAAACACCTCGATAACCCGGTCAATTGCCTTGACCAGCGCATCAATCTCTCCGGTGGTGTTGTAGAAAGCCACCGACGCTCTCGCAGTGGCCGCAATTTCGTACCGTGCCATCACGGGTTGGGCGCAGTGGTGCCCAGTGCGGATCGCAATCCCTTCGGCATCCAGAATCGTGCCGATGTCGTGAGCGTGGGCAGCGTCCATTATGAACGACAAAACGCCGCCTTTGTCCGCCGCAGTACCGATCAGGCGCACACCCTCGATCCCGGCCAGGCGTTCCGTGCCGTAACGCATCAAAGCGTGTTCATACGCGGCAATCCGTTCCATCCCGATCGCTTCCAGGTATTCCACCGCGGCGCCCAGTCCAATCGCGCCGGCGATATCGGGTGTACCCGCCTCAAACTTGGCCGGCAGCGTATTGTATATGGTTTCTTCAAAAGTAACCGAACGGATCATCTCGCCGCCCGACTGGTATGGCGGCATTGAGTTCAACAAGTCCGCGCGGCCCCACAGCACGCCAATTCCAGTTGGTCCGTACATTTTGTGGCCCGAGAAGGCCATGAAGTCGGCCCCTATTTCCTGCACGTCCACCGGCATGTGCGGCACCGACTGCGCCGCATCAACCATTACCGGTACGCCCTTGGCTGGGCCAGGTCTGCGATGGTTCTTATCGGATTCACCGTACCCAGCGCGTTGGACTGATGCACTACCGACACCATCCTGGTGCGGTCATTCAGCATCCCTTCATACTCATCCAGCAGCAACTCGCCGGCATCGTTGAAAGGAATTACCCGCAGCTTTATCCCGATTTCTTTGCCCAGAATCTGCCACGGCACGATGTTCGAATGATGCTCCATGCCCGAGATAATCACCTCGTCTCCGGCCTTGAAGTACTTGCGGCCATAACTATGGGCCACCAGGTTGAGCCCTTCCGTGGTTCCCCGTACGTAGATCACTTCGCTGGCGTCCGGCGCATTAATGAAGCCGCGCACCAATTCCCGCGCCGCCTCGTAATCATCGGTCGCCCGTTGGCTCAGTGTGTGAACCCCACGGTGGACGTTGGCGTTGGTGTGAACATAGTAGTTTGTGATGGCATCAATAACCGCCTGGGGCTTCTGCGTCGTAGCAGCGTTGTCCAGGTACACCAGGGGCTTTCCGTTGATTTCCTCCCGCAGGATCGGAAAATCCTGCCGAATGAGTTCGACGTCTATCGCGTCCAGTCCATTCGGCGGGGCAATCCGGCCCGGGCCCGATGTGGTGGTCACTAGCGGCCTCCAATGGGTAGCGAAATGTCGGCGTCGGGGATCGCTTTCTGGAGTCTTTCGTCCAGGTAACCCCGCAACGGCTCCAGCGCAACCGTGTCGATGATCTCGCTGGCGAAGGCATGTATCAGGAGGCGGCTGGCGGTCGGCAGATCCAGCCCACGACTCCGCATGTAAAAGACGGTATCCATGTCAATGTGTCCCGCGGTTGCGCCGTGACCGCATTTCACGTCGTCGGCGTAAATAAGCAGGCTGGGTTTACTGTCCACTTCTGCCTGCTCCGACAACAGCAGATTCTTGTCGGTTTGCTGCGCGTCCGTTTTCTGGGCGCCCTCGCGGACGGTAACATTCCCGCCAAACACGGCACGCGACTGGCCATGCAGAATCCCCTTGTAAAACAGGCGACTCGTACCGTATGGCTCGGTATGGTCTATGTTGATGTAATTATCCATGTGCTGGTTTCCGGTCGTCAGGTACAGCCCGTTCAGCGTACATTCGACACCAGGGCCGGCCAGTGTGATGCCGAAATCATTCCGACCGAGCTCGGCGCCCTGCGCTATCGCCACCGACGAGAAACTGGAATCGCGCTGCTGCAGCACCCGGCTGACACCAACGTGATAAGCGTTCAAGCCGTCCATCAGCAGGCGATAATGTTCAACCTTTGCTCCCTCACCAACGTAAATCTCCACCACGGCATTGGTAAAATAGCGGGTGTCATCCGGGCCGATGTAGGTCTCGATTACCTTTAGGCGAGAGTTGGGTTGCGCGGCTATCAGCATACGCGGGTAAGTAACTTTCGACTGTTGGCGCTCGGTAGTCAGGTAAACGACGTTTACCACTCCGGCATCCTGCCCGGCTGGAACATTTATTCCGACGCCATCGCCAGCGAACGCCGTATTCAGCGCTGCAAAGCCGTCGTCTTCGGGCACGGCGAGGCCACCCAAAACCGCTTCACCGAACGCCCCTGGCGACGCCATGGCATCGGGGAGATTGGCGACTATCAGCCCGGCCGGCGCTGCGGAACCCGCCGGTCCGCCTGAACCAGTATCAGCGCTCAGGCCCGGTGCGAAAGCCCCATCGACAAAAACCAGCGTTCGCCAGTCAACATTCCACGGTGCAACGGATTTAACATCGGCCAGCGAAATATCCCCATCTACGCCTCCGGAAGTCTGTGCGTAGCCAAACGGCTCCCGCGCAATGGGCGCCACATTGGTATATTTCCAGGGCTCGTTGCCGCGGCGCGCCGTGGGCAGGCCCAAACCAACGAAGGCGTTCCATCCCCGGTGTCGCAGATCTAACATGGACTGCGGTGCGCCGGCCGTCAAAGACTGGTAGGCAGCGGCGTAGTGGGGATAAGTGTCAGCGGCAGAAACGGTAGTGGTCATTCACACTGCTCTAATTTGGAGTGAGACGGGTAATATTCAGGGAAATCAGCGGCTGGCGCCAAATCGCAAAGGCTGCGTGATCGTCATTCGACCACGGCTCCCGTTTCTTCACGAACCCATTCATAACCCCTGGCTTCCAGCTGTTCCGCCAGTTCCGGGCCGCCGCTCATTGCTATCCGGCCATCCACCAGGACATGAACCTGGTCCGGCGTTATGTAATTGAGAATGCGCTGGTAGTGAGTTACCAATACCGCCGCGTTGTCCGGACGTCGCAATCGATTCACGCCGTCGGACACGATCCTCAGTGCATCGATATCCAGACCGGAATCAGTTTCGTCCAGCAGGGCCAGCGTAGGTTCCAGCAGGGTCATCTGAAGCACTTCGTTGCGCTTCTTTTCGCCACCCGAGAACCCCTCGTTCACCGAACGGCGCACCAGCTCCGGATCTATTTCTACCTCTTCCACCTTGGAACGGAGCAATTGGTCGAACTCGCGTGCGCCCATCTCCTCTTCGCCCGCATGAACACGCTTGGCGTCCATGGCGGCCTTCAGAAATTGCCAGGCGCGTACGCCGGGGAGCTCAACCGGGTATTGGAACGCCAGGAACATACCCTCGCGGGCGCGCGCTTCCGGCTCCATCTTCAGCAAGTCCAGGCCCTTATATATGGCCTTCCCGCTGGTTACGGTGTATTCGGGCCGGCCGGCCAGGGTATTGGCCAGCGTGCTCTTGCCGGAGCCGTTTGGCCCCATGATGGCGTGCACTTCGCCAGCCCGCACTATCAGGTTAACCCCCCGCAGTATCTCTTGGCCGTCGATGGAAACATGGAGGTCTTGCACCTCCAGAATGGGCAAATTAGATTCGTTTGCAGTGGTCATTGCAGATATTGATATCCTGTGCCGGTGTAAAGGATTCTGGATCGGTGTTTACCCAACGGTTCCTTCCAAGCTTACTTTCAGCAGCTGCGATGCCTCCATCGCAAACTCGAACGGCAACTCCTGGAAAATCCCCCGACAGAATCCGTTAATGATCATGAAGTGCGCGTCCTCAACCCCGATCCCCCGCTGCTGCAGGTAGAAAAGCTGGTCATCTGACACTTTGGACGTGGTGGCCTCGTGCTCCATTTGCGCCGTCGGGTTCTTCACTTCGATGTACGGCACCGTATGGGCGCCGCACTTGTCGCCCACCAGCAGGGAGTCGCACTGCGTGAAGTTCTTGGCGCCGTTGGCCGACGCGTTGATTTTGACCAGGCCCCGGTAGGTCTGCTGACCCTGCCCGGCGGAGATGCCTTTGGCAACGATTGTGCTGCGAGTGTTTTTGCCCAGGTGGATCATTTTCGTGCCGGTGTCGGCCTGTTGCCAGTTGTTCACCAGCGCAACCGAATAAAACTCGCCCACCGAGTTATCACCCTGCAGGATCACGCTGGGATACTTCCACGTAATCGCAGATCCGGTTTCAACCTGAGTCCATGAAATCTTCGAATCGTCGCCGGCGCATTTGCCACGCTTGGTGACAAAATTGAACACGCCGCCTTCGCCGTTCTTATCGCCCGGATACCAGTTTTGCAGGGTGCTGTACTTGATCTCCGCACCCTTCAATGCAACCAGCTCAACCACCGCAGCGTGCAATTGGTTGGTCTTGCGCATCGGCGCCGTGCAACCCTCCAGGTAACTGACGTATGCCCCTTCGTCGGCAACAATGAGCGTCCTTTCGAACTGGCCGCTGTCAGCCTGGTTGATCCGGAAGTAGGTCATCAACTCGATGGGGCAACGCACCCCGGGAGGAATGTACGCGAACGAACCGTCGGAGAACACCGCCGAGTTCAGCGTGGCATAGAAGTTATCAGCGTAGGGAACCACCGAACCCAGGTATTTTTGCACCAGGTCAGGGTGTTTGCGGACCGCCTCGCTCATCGAGCAGAAGATAACGCCAGCTTGCTCCAACTGCTCCTGATACGTCGTGGCCACCGACACGCTGTCCAGCACCGCATCGACGGCAACTCCGGCCAGGCGCGCCTGCTCTTCCAGAGGTATGCCCAGCTTGCTGAACGCCTCCAGCACTTCGGGATCCACATCTTCCAGGCTCTGCGGCCCATCGCTGGAAGACTTCGGCGCCGCATAATAATGGATGTCCTGGAAGTCGATAGCCGGATGTTTTATGTTTGCCCACGTCGGTTCGGTGTAGGTCTGGCGTGACCAGAACCGGAACGCTTTGAGACGCCAATCGAGCATCCACTCCGGTTCCTGCTTCTTCTCCGAAATCATCCGCACCACATCTTCGCTGAGGCCCTTCGGGAAGGCGTCCTCTTCGATGTCGATGGTAAATCCCCATTTGTAGTCGGAGTTCAACTCCTCCGCTGTAGTCTCGCGGGAGATGACACGTTGCGATGGTGTGGTCATCGGGTGGATATCCTCCTCAACGGGATTATTGGCAAACCGGCGACTGGTTTAACCTATTTCCGACCAAAGTGGTCAACAATCATCGTAGCCCAGCAGACATCATCTGTCAACGGCAGACCTACCCCGCCGCGAGCTGTTTCGCGGTGGCCACGGCCCTTGAATCAAAACCCGCTCGTTACCGTACTGTAACCGATGGGAAACACTTGCATTGTGCGTCGCTGCTACCATTCGGGAGGTAATTTCTCAATCGTTAACGAGACGCGGAATTGTCGCCCTGGATCGTTGCGCGGGATCGCTTCACACGAACCCGCTACACACAAAACCGCTGCGGAGTTGGAGTCATGGTCAACAAGGCGCATACGCCGCCGGCGACGTCAGAAACCGGAGTTTCAACGTCAGCGCCGCCGGTCGGCAGGCTCGGGCCGGATGCCACGGCACAACGCAGATTCAATCTGGACATCAAACGGGCCGGCTCCCTGCTGTTCCATATCATTCGCTCCCCAATCGTTGGGTCACACAAATTATCCCAACTGATCCCCGATGGCGACCACACGGGTCGCGATCAGATGTACGGGAGCGCGGCAACCGCCGCAAATCATTACCCCAACGGACCGTACCCCAGCGGACCGTTGACGTTCGTTCTCGGGAAAGGTATCGGCGACGATTTCACCCCGGAAATCGCGAACGCGCTGACGGCCAGTTACGACTCTCTCCGATAGCGACGCTGCGAGACATGTCGGTCCACGTTGGGCCGCACCCGGCGACTCGCACCCGGCAGAATGTTATAATCGGGGCGGTTTCTCCCCCCAACAAAACACCACTGACACCGGGAGCATACAGATGCCGGCAACTCCCGTCTTTTGCGACGCTCATACCCACCTCGTCCAGCACGCCCCGGCTGAGATACCGGAGATCCTGGAACGCTCCCGAGAGGCCGGCGTCGGCTACATCATACTGGCTGGCACCACCATTGAGTCCACGCGAGCCTGCATCGACCTCGCCGCCGAACACCCCATGTTCTACGCCGGCGTGGGCATCCATCCCATGCAGGCCGACCAGCCGGTGGACGATGAAGCGTACTCTCAACTCGAAGCCCTGGCTCGGGACAACCCGCGGGTGGTGTGCATATCCGAAGTGGGCCTCGACTACCTCGCCACCTCTCCCGATCACGAGGTGCAGGATCAGGTGTTTCGTCAGCACATCCACCTGGCCAAGAGCCTGGGGCTGCCCGTCATCTTCCACTCCAGGGAGTCTCACCCGGCGGTGTTCAAAGTACTCCGCGAAGAAAACGCCGGCCTGGTCGGAGGAGCCATGCACTACTTCCAGGGTGACGAAGCCACCGCCCGCGAGGCCATCGATTGCGGCTTCTTCATCTCATTGGCCCGCCCGCTCACCCGCCTCCCCGAATTGCAGGAAGTCGCCCGCCGGATCCCAATGGAGCACATCGTTCTGGAGACCGACGCATTCCCACAACCGTTCAAGAAGTATCGCCACAACTGGACGGAACCGCGCCACCTGGTTGGTGTTGCCCAATGCCTGGCCGACATCAAGGGCATTTCGATTGACGAAGTGGCCGAGATCACCACGGCCAATCTGAGCCAGCTCCTGCGGCTCGATACCCCAACGGCTCCCGGGACGACCACCGCCTGACAATGACGGGGCCGGCCAGACATTTTCAATCTGGAGCGCCATAATCATGACCACCCAACACGAACATCCGCCGGATCACGAAGCCCCGGAACAAATCGTTCCCCAAAGTCTAAACGACTATCTTGAGGTTATGACCAAAGCCGTCTTTCAGAGCGGCTTGTCCTGGAAAGTCGTCAGCAACAAGTGGCCCGGTTTTCAGGCTGGATTCCAGGGATTCGACGTTGCCGCCGTGGCCGCCATGGACGAGTCTGCCATCGACACGCTGGCCACCGATACGGCTATCGTCCGCAACCGGCGCAAAATCGCCGCCACCGTGCAAAACGCCCAGCGCCTGATCGAAATCGAGGACGAATACGGCGACATCCAAAACTACCTGCGATCCCACGGAGACTTCTACGCCGTGCTGAAAGACGTACGCAAGCAGTTCAAATATATGGGCGACACCGGTACCTACTACTGGCTCTACGTCCTGGGCGAAGACGTCCCGGACTACAGCGAGTTCTGTAACCGCAACAAATAAACCCTTGTCATTGCGAGCGCCGCGTGGCGAACAACCCCTTGTCATTGCGAGCGCCGCGTGGCAATCTCGTACCGTCCATCCTGTCCATCAATGTAGAAACTGACTGAGGTTAAGACATGACCACTAACACGACTTGCCAGCTGGCCCTGAAAGAGTGGGCGATAACCGTGCGGGCGCTGGCCGACGGTGACCAGATAATGATGCTCCGCAAGGGCGGCATCCACGAGGAGAGCAAGGATTTCCGCGTCGTGCATCCGGAATTCCTGCTGTATCCCACCTACCTGCACCAGCGTGAAGACCTGCTGAAAGACAGCCACCAGCCCACGCTGCGGCAATTGCTGTCCGACAGCCCGGCCGACGATGACAACGTGATGTTCACCCATTGGGCGCAGGTGCATGAACTGCTGGAAATCGACCAGCTGGGCAAAGTCGAAGACCTCGCTCCCCATCACATCTGGACCGACACGTACGCCGAGTCCCGCCTGCACTGGAAACCAATGGTTCCGCTGACCATCATGCTGCTGCGTGTTTACCAGATGGAATCACCGGTTACGGTTCCCTACATTCCTGAATACGGCGGCTGCAAATCCTGGGTCGACATCATCCCCACCGTGCGACTCGGCCAGATGACGCCGGTGGTTGACGACGCGACATTCGCCAAAATGGTGGAAGCCGTCCGCGGTAGCCTCGGCCTCGTAACCGCCTAGCTCGATAAGTCGGGACTCCCGCGGTCACGCCACCACTCCGCAACCGTTGGAACCAAGTTATGTCAAGCCTACTGGCGTTGTTGGAACATGAAAGGCGGCGGCGATCCCTGCTCCCAGGACACGACTCCCTCACCATCGAATCGGTATTCACCCTGATCCGCGATATGCCCTACCAGCGCGCCAGCACCCGAAAACCCGACGCAATCGTCCGGGAGTGGCGGGGGACCTGCTCCGGCAAGCACTACGTCCTAGATGAAATATTCCGCGAGCTGGGTCTCGATTCCCGCGTGATCATGTGTACCCACCGATTCACGCCGGACAATACGGCCCACTTTCCGGATGAGTTGAAAAACCTGATTGCCGGCGATTCGGTGCCCGACGTCCATACCTACCTGCGGGTCGCAACGCCTGGGGGTTGGATGACCGTCGACGCCACCTGGCCCGCCAGCGCCGAACCGCTGGGCATGCCCGTCAACCACACCTTCACGGCGGGCAAGGACATGGCTATCGCCTGCCGCCCCATCGAGCACTACCCGGTACCTGAAGGCCAGGACCCCCAGGCATTCAAGGAGCAAATCATTGAAGAATTCTGCGGCGACAGCAGTCAGGTCAGAGACCAGTTCATAGAAGGCATGGCCCGCTGGCTCAGCGAAACAACGCAACGGTGCCATTTGCCCGTTGACAGCCTGTGCGGAGGTCCGGTAAACCGGATTCAACCGCACTAACGGAGAGGCACTATGGGACTCGATATCGGTGTTGTCAACATTGAATATCTGGAGCGGCCGCCGCAGCCGATATACGGATTCTTGCAAGCATTAATGGCTGACCCAAACGTGGGTATGAGCGCGGACGACGATATGGCAGATTCCTGTTGGGGCGACGGCTGGGCCAACAACGCCTTTTACGAGTTTTACCGGGAAGGTCTCGTCAAGCAAGCCAGCGGTTGGGCCGAGGCGCGCGCGCTGGACCAATCTGACAGGACTAAACTGCTTGATTGGATCGACAATCTGCCGTACCGCGGAGATGCGGTGATGCTCCATCTGGGAAACTGACCATGACCAGCCGGAGACAACCAGCCCAGGATCGCTACGACCACATCTTCCCGTTCATTCAGGAGGCAGCCAACGAATATTATGGCGGAAACCCAGATCGAGGGTTCCGGCATTGGGCATTTGCAACGGTTTTCACCGTTGGACACGATATCCAAGGGAACGACATAGTTGAGTACACAGCCATCGATGGCTCAGACGATTTTGAGATCGATGGCTATTTCGTTCCAGAATCGGATGACGACTCGGTGGTGTACCTGTTTCAAAGCAAGCACCGACAGCCCGGCACCTCCACGAATGCAGGAGATTTGGCGCCCTTCCTAAACGCACCAAATCGCATCTTGACCGTCCAGGAAGTCGCCGCAAGCCGCAGCGTAGGAACGAACCCGCTGCACGACCAACGCAAATCCCTGCTTTCATGCCCCGGTTGAATCATCGCAACGCCCCAACAAGGAAAACCCACCATGAAATACCGCAACCTTCCCCGTACCGACCTGCTCCTATCCGAAGTTGGCTTTGGTGTCTGGACCGTGGCCACCAACTGGTGGGGCCTTATCCCCGAAGAGACGCGCCGCAGCCTGCTCGAAGAGGCCCTGGAACTCGGCATCAACTTCTTCGATACCGCCGACACCTACGGCGAGGGCTACGGCGAAGAGGTGCTCGCCAAGTTCATGGGTCACCGCCGACATGAAATGATCATCGCCACCAAGTTCGGCTACGACTTCTACGACACCACCACGCCCCGCATCGGCCACCAGGAGCGCCCCCAGAAATTCGAGCCCGAGTTCATCCGGTTCGCCTGCGAGCAGTCCCTTCGCCGCCTGAACACCGACTATATCGACCTCTACCAGCTGCATAACCCTCGCGTCCCTGCCATCGAAAGCGACGAAGTATTCGAAACTCTGGAGGACCTCAAGCACGAGGGCAAAATACGATTCTACGGCTCTGCCCTCGGCCCCGATATCGGCTGGTTTGAGGAAGGCCAGCTCAGCATGGAAGAGCGCCACGTCAACAGCATCCAGATTATCTACAGCATCCTGGAGCAGGACCCGGCAAAGGACTTCTTCCCCATCGCCGCCAAAGAAGAGGTGGGACTCCTGTCGCGGGTGCCCCACGCCTCGGAGGCCCTCACCGGACGCTACGATGCTCCACCCGAGTTCGACGAGTCCGACCACCGCTCATTTCGACGGCACCAATGGCTCAGCGAGGCGTTGGTAAAGGTTGACCAGGTAAAGTTCCTCGCCGGCGAAGATGTTGGACGCACCATGAGCCAGGCCGCCATTCAATTCGTGCTGAACCAACCCACCATCACCAGCGTCCTGCCCAACTTCACCACGCTGGAAGAGCTCAAGGAGTACTCCGACGCGGTGGATACCCCGCCCATCTCCGAAGGCGACCAGGCCATCATCGACGATCTCTGGGCCAACAACTTCTATCTCGAAGAGCCCGAACCCGTGTTTCGCGAAATCTGACCCTTTCGCAATCTTCATATTTTCCCGCGTAACGCTTCGTTCGTCCGGGTGTAAACCGGCCATCGCGTCCCGGTCGGCGGCGCGCACCGCGAGATCGCCGGAGCGTGTTCACAACGGCCGCGCGGAGAACACTTCAATTGACAGTCTCATGGGCTAGTGATAACTTTCACATGGCCTTATCCTGATTCCCACGAGGAGATTGGTTCCCCCATGCCCGTCAATATTTGCGTGCTCGCCAAACAGGTCGTCGACCCTGAAATGCCAGCCGCTGCGTTCCGGATCGACGCCGACTCCATGCGGGTGGTTCCCCCGCCCAACATACCGCCGGTGGTCAACGGTTTCGACGAAAACGCCGTGGAAGCTGCGCTACGGATCAAAGACGCCCAGGGCGCCAACATCACCGTCATCTCCTCCGGTACGGCCTTCGCCCTCGACGTCATGAAAAAACCCCTTTCCATGGGAGCCGACGAACTCATCCTGCTGCAGGACGACTCCTTCAGCAATACCATTGACGCATTCCTCACGGTGCAAATGCTGACCGCCGCCATCAACAAACTCGGCGGTTTCGACCTCATCATCTGCGGGCGCCAGGCGTCTGATTGGGACAACGCTCAGGTCCCCCTGGGAGTCGCCGAAACCCTGGGCATGGCCTGCATAACCCTGGGGAAAAAAGTAGACGTTCAGGACGGCAAGGTAATCGTGGAGCGTCTGGCGCCCGATGGTTACGACGTGGTAGAAGCCCAACTGCCGGCATTGGTAACCGTCAGCAACGAGCTGGGACAACCTCGTTACCCCACTCTGCGGGGCATCATGGCCGCCACTCGAAAGCGACCTACCGTGTGGACCGCCGGCGACCTGGACATCGCCCCCGATCGTTTGGAACCGCGCATCACTCTTCACGACCTCTTCGTCCCCCAGCGCGATCAGGCATGCGAACTCATAGAGGGCGATGACGACGCCGATGCAGCCCGCAAACTGGCCCTTCGCCTCCGCGAAGACCGCCTGATCTAGTCCCCAAACCTCATTCATCCTACGGAGACACTAATGGCAGACGCTACCGGAATCCTGGTTTTCGGGGACGCCCCCGAGGGACAGCTGGCTTCTACCGCGCAGGAACTGCTTTCCGCCGGCCGCTCCCTGGCCGACAGCCTGGGCCAGGAACTCACCATCGCACTGTTGGGCGCCGACGTTGCCGACGCTCCCCAACAGGCCATCGCCCACGGCGCCGACAAGGTGCTGGCGGTGACAAATCCCACACTGGCCGAATACCATCCAGATCATTACGTCACTGCGATGCAGACCGTAGCCAACGAAAGCAACCCTGGGATCATCCTGATTGCCCGCAATAACGAGGGACGCGAGTTGGCGCCCCGGCTGGCATTCCGCCTGGGAGTGGGTCTCGCCCAGGACTGCCTCGAAGTGTCCGTCGATGCCAGCACCGGTCGCTTGCTGGCAAATCGTCCCGTCTATGGTGGCAGCGCCGTTGCGGTGGTCAGCTGCACCCAAACGCCTCAAATCGCCGCGCTGCGTCCCAAGACCTACGAACCCCTCGATGCCGATGCCGCACGGACCGGGAATGTGATCGCGTTCCCGGTGGACATCGATCCTTCCGATGCCAAAACCCGCGTCGTCGACGTTGTCAAGGAACAAGCGGTAGGGATCAAGCTGGAGGACGCCCGGATAGTCGTGTCCGGCGGGCGCGGTCTCGGCGGACCCGAACCCTTCTCCCAACTGGAAGAACTGGCCAACCTGCTCGGTGGCGCGGTTGGCGCCTCTCGCGCCGCCGTGGACTCCGGCTGGGTTCCGGCCAATCAACAGGTAGGGCTCACCGGCAAAACCATCACCCCGGATCTCTACATCACGGTCGCAATCTCCGGAGCCAGCCAGCACATGGCCGGTTGCAGCGGTTCCAAAGCCATCGTCGCCATCAACCGCGACGCCGACGCCAACATCTTCAAGGAAGCCCGTTACGGCGTTGTTGGCGATTGGGAAAAGGTTATTCCCGCCCTCATGGAAACCGTCCGCGAACTTACCCAGTCCTGAATCCCATTGCGGGGATGACTTTGGGAGCGGGGTATCCGGTTATCCGTCTCCCAATATTATGTTATCAATCAGGCGGGGTTGCCCCAATTTAGCGGCCACTGCTACCATCACCCGGCGTCCGCCAGATGTATCCGCCCGTTCCACCGGCGCCATACTGTCTGCATCCACGACGCTGACGTAATCTACCAATTCCAACATCGGCTCGGCTTGCAACACCGCCATCGCCGCTGCCCGCAATCTCCCGGCGTCCTGCTCTCCCCCACGCCAAAGCTCCTGCGCCGCGCACAGAGCCCGGTAAATCACCGGCGCCGCCTGGCGTTGATCGGTAGTGAGGTAGGCGTTTCGGCTGCTTAACGCCAGCCCGTCCGCTTCCCGAATCGTGGGCATCGTAACCACCTCTACACCCAAATTGAGGTCCTGGGCCATGCGCCGGATCACGGCCACCTGCTGCCCATCCTTCTGGCCGAAGTACGCCCGGTCGGCCCTCACGATGGAAAACAACTTGGCCACCACGGTCGCCACGCCTTTGAAATGACCCGGTCGCGCTTCCCCTTCCTGGCCTTCCGTAACTGATCCAGGTTCGATCCAGGTATCAAAGCCGTCGGGATAAACTTCCTCAGGAGGGGGCGCAAATACCAGGTCGGTTCCCTGTTCGGCCAGCAAATCCAGGTCTCGCTCGAAACTGCGCGGGTAACTGTTGAAATCCTCCCCGGCTCCAAACTGTGTTGGATTGACGAAAATGGACACCGCCATCGTTGCGCTATCCGCCCGCGCCCGCCGAGTCAACGACAGGTGACCGTCGTGCAGGGCGCCCATGGTCGGCACGAGCCCGAGCGGACGCTGAACATCCCTGCAAAGCGCCGCCATTTCTGCGCACGTCCTTATTATCTTCATTTCGGCCGCATCTCTCCGGGGCCATCTCGGCAGTGGCTGACGACTGACCTGATATGCACTATTCTGGCGGAAACAGTTCGTCAATCTGGCGCTGCATCCGTTCCTCTTCAGATTCCGACAGCACCAGGCTCGATCGGTTATCCGGAGGCAGGGCCATGTCGGCGTAGAAGTTTTGATCGTAGTTGCGAGGCCTCACCACTACCGGCATGGGAACGGCATGTCCGAACACCAGCGCCTGCTGCTTGGCATCCAGCCGCGCCAGCACATGGCGCAACTGATTCGAATCCTGCGCTCCCATCAACACTGCGTTGATGTCCCGCTCATCGTTGAGGCTGCACGAAAATCGGGTACCCAACTGGCTCATCACCTCAGAATCGATGCCGCTCGGCCGCTGGTCGACGATCATCAGGGTCACATTGTACTTCCTGAGTTCACGGGCAATGGTCCCGAAGATCGTTTGCGACGCGCCACGGCCGGCGTCAGGAATTTGTGGGCCTCTTCTACGAATATCACCAGCGGGCGCGGTTCTGAACCCTGGCCTCCGTCGGCAAGTTCTTTCCGACGCACCCACTCGGCATGAATCCGGCGCGTCAGCAGATTGCTCACCAGCACGTATGCCGCCGTATTGTCCCCGTACCGTCCGAATTCCAGGACAACATGGTTGCCATGCTGCAGATGCTCCACGATGCTCCCCGCCGTGTTCCCGCCGACGCCGTCCGCCCAAAACTGGAACCGCCGCCAACCACTCAGCCGCTGATGCAACGCCCGCAGCGACGATACGTTCACGCCGATCTCGCCCGCCAGATCGTTCACCTCGGCCCCGGTCAGATTCACAAACGCCTGCAACCAGCTTTGCCCGGCAAAATGCCGCTCCAGGTTGTACGCCGCCGATGCCGCCAGCTCAGACAGACCCATTGCCTCGCGCAGCACCTCTATGTCTGCCGGTTCGATCTCGTCGTACCCAATGCGAACCACACCGTCGGGACGGATCCTGCGCCTCCTGGTGCTCTCTTCGTCCAGGGTGAAAGTAACCACCCGATCAGGGAAAAGTTGCTTCAACCCCTTCACCTGGCTGTGCCGGTCGTTGTCCTGACCCTGCCAGCCATACTCGTTCGCCATGTCGAAAACCAGCGAAACCGACTCAGCCTGCTTCACCAGCCCGGCCAGCAGCATCCGCGCCAGAAACGTCTTGCCAGAACCCGACGCGCCAAACACGCCCACCGACCGGCTGGCCAGCGTTGCCAGGTCCAGCCGCACCGTTGCCGCCTCCATACCCTGGGGGGTACCCACGTCAAACCCCGCGTCCGTCTCCACTCTGAACACCATGTCGATGTCGGCCTGGGACGCTGCGAATACGGGCGAAAAGTGTTCCGGTATCGTCGTGGCCGATGACGGCGCCGCATGATCCGCGTCATCCAGCGCGGCGCTCATGCTGGGCATGACCGACAACATTCCGTAAGCCATTGTCCCCGCCAAAACCTCCAACAGCAGGCCATCTGAACTGGCCGGGGGGAAATGACGCACGCCATCATCGACGGTACGCAATTCCACGTCCGTAACGACTCCGAAGTAACGGTTGCGCTTCCCAAGGATCGTCACGAACGAACCCACGTCGACATCTTCCACGGTGGCGTCGCCCGCCGCATCCATGCGAACGTCCAGTCCACCCGACAGCGAACCTCCCACCACGACACCCAAACGGCGTCGGCGCGCCAAAGACCCGGGGGCGCCAGACCCATTCCCGCCGGCGACAATCTCATCAAACCGTCGGCCCGTGTTGATCCTGCTGCCATCGTCGTTCGACACCATCACGCCATCTCCCGCAACAGCGTCTGCAGCCTCATCCCGTCTCGCGACAGTTCGCTGGCCAACGCCCGACCAACCCGCAGCAAAAACTCCGATTTATCCCCAAACCCGTCCGCCGACCGGCGCACAAACGCAATCAACGCCTGGTCTGCAGCCGGCGAATGATCCGCCAGGAGCAACGGCAAAAATCGGAATTCTCTGACAAATTCAGCGCCTTCATCGTCGCCGCTGATGAACGCAAACGAGTGCAGGTTTGGCGGGCGCGGCGGAAGACCCTGGCGTATGGCCGATCCTTCCCGGTATCCCACCACCATCGCCGTCAGGCGTGTGGTCAAAACAGCGGTCAACTGCGGATTGGTGGAATACACCTCATCTTCGGTTTCCAGAGCCGCCCCGCGCGGGGTCAGCGGACGGCCGGGATCAACCGGACCGTTCCAAATCTCCCGAACCACCCCGTACACCGGCGGCGAACCGATTCGCAACAGAGTGCCCAACGGCGGCGATTGGTGCAGGTCATAACATTCCACCACCACCCGCTCCGAGTGAGACTCCATCACTTCGCCAACCCGCAGACCTGCTTGATCTTTCCGCACCGCGTTGTTTCGGCCGCCGTCGCCCCCGCCGGCATCGTCCCGGTCTGAATCGTACCGGTCTGCATCGTCCCGATCTGCATTGAAATTGGTCATTTCGTCCCGTTGTACCGCACCTTCATCAGCACCCTGATTCTAGCATTCCCTTCACTGGCTCACACCCCGCCGAGCGTGGTCAATACATTGACACTCCCGTGTATTGTGCTATCATTGGCTCCCGCAAATCATTGCAATAAAGCAGGTGCAACATGTCTGGCCATGAAGTCGCCGTCGATCGCTTGCGCTCCCAGGGTTACCGGATGACACCCCAGCGTCTATCCGTGCTGGACATTGTCGCCGGTCGTTCCGGCCACGTGGGGGCCGACGAAGTATGGACTCAGGTCAAAACCCAGCACCCCTACGTTGACCTCGCCACCGTGTACCGCACCCTGCAACTGCTCAAACGCGTCGGCGTTGTTACCGAAGTCATCATCGGCAACAAATTGCACTTCGAACTGACCGACCAGCACAACCGGCACCACCACATGGTTTGTTCCCATTGCGACGCCGTGCAGACCCTCAGCCCCGGCTACCTGGACGAATTGAACCAGCGTCTGCAACGGGAATTCGGGTTCGCTCCCGACCTGAAAAACTTCACCATCGGAGGCACGTGCTCAAAATGCCAATCGGTGGCATCAGGTTGATCCACTGTGGAGTCGGTTCAACCCTGGGGAGCCAGGCGAGTAGACAGTATTAGGTTGCGTGCGGTCATAATCGTCCTGGCGGTGGTGGTTGCCATCACGTCCGCCGTGGCCTGCGCCGCTGAACCCTCCCCTGCCATCCCTCAGGAAGCAACCGCCGTTGAAACTTTGAAGGTCGTAACCACTGTGTCCCCCATCACCAGCATCGTCGAAAATATTGGCGGCACCCGTATCAGATTGCAGGGAATCGTGCCGGAGGGAGTCAACTCCCACTCTTTCGAGCCGGCCCCGTCGGTCGCTGCCATACTGGCCGATGCGGACGTGGTGTTCCTGAACGGCCTGTTCCTCGAAGAACCTACCCTCGAGTTGGCCCGCACCAACCAGAAACCCGGTTCCATGATCGTCAGGCTGGGCGATCAAACCACCTCAAAAGATGAGTGGCAATTCGATTTTTCGTTCCCCGAGGAGAACGGACAGCCCAACCCGCACCTCTGGCCCGACCCCATTCTCGCCCTCAAGTATGCCGAGGTCATGCGTGACACGATGTCGGAGCGCGACCCTGATAACGCCGACTATTACTCCGGAAACTATGACGAATTCGCCGTTCGCATCGCCGATCTGGACGCCGCCATCGTTTCCATTATCGCCACCGTGCCGTCGGGTAACCGCAAGCTGTTGACCTATCACGACTCATGGGCCTACTTCGCCCGGCGATACGGCATGACCGTGATTGGGGCAGTGCAGCCGTCCGACTTCTCCGAACCTTCCGCCCGCGAAGTGGCCGACCTGATTCAGCAGATCAGATCCGAGGGGATCCCGGCCGTATTTGGCTCGGAAGTTTTTGACAGCGACGTTATGGAAACCATCGCCGCCGAATCCGGCGCCGCCTACGTCGACGAGCTGAGCGACGACGACCTGCCCGGCGCGCCCGGAGACCCGCGCCACAGCTACCTCGGTTTGGTCGTCAACAACCTCGAAATCATGGTTCCCGCGCTGGGCGGCGACGCCTCCGCCCTGGAAAATATCGACGTCAGCCCCGTTTTTGACGGCCCATCCGCCGCGGTTTACCCGCAGTAGCCATTATGCTGCACCCACCCGAACTTGAGCACCTTCACCGGCCTGACCCGGATGCGCGTCCCATCGTTGAGCTCCAGAACGTAACCGCGGGTTACAACGGCGCTGCGGTGCTTCGCGACGTCGATCTGCGCGTCATGCCCGGCGATTTCGTGGGCCTGCTGGGACCCAGCGGCTCCGCCAAAACCACCTTGCTGCGCACCGTTCTCGGCGCTTCCGAGGTGATGGCCGGTTCCGTCCGGGTATACGACAAACCCGGCAGCCGTCGCAACCGGGCGGGATATGTACCTCAGCTGGAAACCATCGACTGGAACTTCCCGGTCACCGTGGAAGAAACGGTCATGATGGGCCGTACCATGGTCAACGCCTGGTTCCCCTGGTACCGCCGGCGCGAACGCGAGCTGGCCTTCGACATGATGGAGCGTCTGGGCATCGCCGATCTCGCCAAACGGCACATCCGGCAACTGTCCGGCGGTCAGCAACAACGCGTCTTTCTGGCCCGCGCTCTCATCAGCAACCCGGAACTGCTGCTGCTCGACGAACCTACGTCGGGCGTGGACGTCAAAACCCGGGACGACGTGATGCACCTGCTGCACGACCTGAATCACGCCGGCGTAACCATCATCCTGACCACCCACGAGATCAATGCCGTCGCCGTGCACCTGCCCCGGATCGTGTGCCTCAACGGCGCCATCGTGGCCGACGGCCCGCCCCACCGGGTTATCACCCCCCATATTCTCCAGGAAGTTTACGGTGCCCAGATGCCGGTAATCCAGTTCCACGGCATGACGCTGGTGGCCGAAAGCGCTCACTTTTGGGTGAACCAGAACGGCGGTGAACCACTGTCCACTGTGCCGGACGACACCCACCACGATACCGCGGCTCACACCCATTTGTCGCCCGAAGACGTGACGCCGCACCACCACCACAACGAAGGCGTCGCCGCCGGTGGAGACGCCTGATTGATTTTCGAGCCCTTTGAATTCGCTTTTTTTGTCAAGGCCATAATCGCCGCCAGCCTGGTGGGCGGCTTGTGCGGTCTGATGGGAATTTATATCGTCCTGCGGGGTATGTCCTACATCGGACACGGCCTCTCCCACGCTATCTTTGGCGGAGCGGTGGTCAGTTGGATCATGTCCATCAATTTTTTCATTGGAGCCACCATCTGGGGATTCCTCTCGGCGGTACTCATCACCTGGACCACCCGCAAAAACCCAATCGGTTCCGACGCTGCCATCGGTATCATTACCACCGCCAGCTTTGCGTTGGGAATCGCGATCATCAGCCGCAACCAGAGTTTTACCCGCGATTTCGAAGCCTCGCTGTGGGGCAGTGTTCTCGCCGTAGACAATAACGAAATTATCGCAATCGCGGTGGTTACCGGTATCGTGGCGGCGGTGTTCTTCCTCGCCTACAAACTCTTCCTGTTCGCCACCTTCGACCCTGACGTGGCGGTGTTCTACGGCGTGCCCACCGGTTGGGTGGACACACTTTTCTCCCTCTTGCTGGCCGGCACGATTGTTGTTTCCATGCAGGTGCTGGGCGTAACCATGATTGCCGCCGCCATTGTCATTCCTCCCATCATCGCCCGCCTGCTCACCAATAGTTTTCGTAAAATGGCTCTGGCATCCACTGCAATAGGCGTTTTTTGCGGCGCAACCGGTATTTACATCAGCTATTTCATAGACGTATCGTCAGGTGCCAGCGTAGTATTGCTATCGGCGGCCCTGTTCGTTACGGCGCTGGCATGGTCCAAAGTTCGCAGCCGCCTCAATCGAACGGCTGACAGCGAGGGCAGCCTGTCCCGACTGCCGCAGAGTTCGGGCAGCGCTCTCGAATAACCTCGACTCATCTGGCCACAGGAGGTCCTAATGGCACACGCACATCAACACGCCGCGCCTTCGGTAATTGAAGGTCGCACTGGCGTCCGGAGAGGGGCCGCTTTCATCATTGGCGGCCTGTCCAGCGGTCACGGGGTTTTCCACTCGATAGCGCAGAGCTTTATCGTGGTGCTGCCAGAGGTTCGTGACCTGCTCCTCGGTGGCAGCATCATTGCCGCCACCAGCATCCAGACCACGCGGGAGATTGCATCCGGTGTGGTTGCGTTACCCGGCGGCGTGCTCACCGATGTCTTACGACGCTATTGGGGCTGGGTAATGGCAGTTTGTATGGCCTTGTTCGGCGTCGGGTGGTTGCTGATGTCTGCCGCCGGATGGCAGGTGCCGGGCAGTTCCTGGGTAGCCGCGGCGCCGTCGGACGGCCTCGGCGGCGACCTTCCGCCATTCAACCCGTTGGGTTACGTACTCCTGACAATCGGGATGGCGGTAGTGGCAATCGCCGCATCGGTTTGGCATTTGCCGGCCATGGCGGCGTTGTCATCCCACTTCACACACCGGCGGGGCGCGGTGTTGTCGTTCCATGGCGTAGGCGGCAATATTGGGGACGTTCTGGGACCAGTGCTGACCGGGTTCTTGCTGTACTACCTGGCCTGGCACGCGATTATCACCATTTATGCCGCCGTGCCGATTTTTCTCGCCTTTCTGGTGTTCTGGGCCTTTCGCGACATCGGCCAACGCGCCCAGGCAGCCGTGGAAGAACGCGCCGTGGGCACAATGCGGATGCAACTCGATGAAACGAAGCTGCTGGTTCGCAACCCTCGGGTGTGGGGGATTACGCTAGTAGCCGGACTGCGCGGCATGGCCTACGTCGGATTCATCACCGTGCTACCCCTTTACCTGGTTGACGAATTGGGACTTACCATCACTGAGCATCGCAGTTTTGAAAATCTGTTTATCCGGGGCTCCCTCATCGGTCTCGTCGTGCTGGTGGGAATCTTCGCCAGTCCCGTGATGGGCTACCTCTCCGACCGGTTCGGGCGCAAGATAGTGCTAATCCCGGGGATGCTGTTCCTCGCGATAGTCACGCTCCTGATGGCCCCTTTGATCAACGGCCGGGAAGACCTGTTGGTGGCAACCATCTTGCTGGGCGCCCTCGGGTTGTTCCTCTACAGCGACCAGCCCATCCTCACCGCCGCCGCAATGGACATAGTGCGCGAAGGGACTGCAGCCACCACGCTGGGACTGCTGTCAACCTCCCGTTTCATCCTCAGCGCCGCATCTCCCATCATTGCGGGTTTGCTGTACAGCATCAACTTCGACTACCTGTTCTACTACACCGCCGCATTGTATCTCGCTGCGGCAATCATCCTGGCACTCGTGCGGTTACCTCGTCTGGAACCCGTAGCCGACGGTGACCACGGCGCTCATGGCGACCACGGCGCTCATGGCGACCACGGCGCTCATGGCGACCACGGCGACCACGGCGACCACGGCGCTCATGGCGACCACGGCGACCACGGCGACCACGGCGCTCATGGCGACCACGACGCTCATGGCGACCACGGCGACCACGGCCACCGGCACTGATCGTCAGTCAGCTAACTCCTTAAAACTCGTAGGGGCGACGCAAGCGTCGCCCCTACTTGGTTAAAACCTGTCTGACCGAGCTGTTTAGGTTTCAGTCTGCTCCGTCTGGCTGCCCTTCACCGTGATGGTGATATGAGACATTGCCGTGGCGTCCGGAGCGCCGTGCCAGTGGTCTTCCCCGGCGGGAATGATGGCAACATCGCCCTCGCTGACAACTACCGACTCATCCCTGGTAGCAACGGTACCCGTGCCCTCGGTCACGATAAGAATCTGGTCGCCGCTGTGCTTGTGGAACTTGTTCCGCACGCCGGCCCCAAAATGGACGATACCGAAGTTAAAGTTATTGCTGTCGTCGGGGTCCAGAATCGCCTGGCGGCCCACAGGTCCAGTGAACAGGGGAGCCGTACCTTCGGTCTTCGGTACGGCCGACATCTTTACAATCTTCATCGCTCCTCCGTAATTCCACAGCTATTGGATCAATATGGCTTCTTTTTAATGCCTGGATCAATCATACCTGCGCAGGTCATTATCGTCCAGTGGACGCACCGATCGGACATTGGCGGCAACGCACTCCGAGCCCGTGGATTCGCCGCCCAATAGCATCGCGTTGACAGTGCTACCGGCTACCCGTACACTGCCTCAACGTCCCCGCGCTGAATCAAACCACTGGGCGCTCCGTCTTTTGGAGGTAACCAAAATGAGTTTTGACCAGTTTGAAAAAGGCATGAAAGTAGAAGCCATCGCCGATTTCCAGGTTCGAGAAGTCATGGCTTCTCCCGTCGGATCGTCTGTCCGCAGCATCTCAGTTGGTGACTCGGGCGAGGTGCGCGAAAAGCGTAGCGTCGGGCCCGCCACTTGGCTGATAGTCTATTTCGACAGCGTTAAGCGCCAGATCAATGTCGACCAGACCAACATAGATAATATCAAGCCCGCCTGAGCGCCGGGAGCATCCCGCCATGGCCGCCGACCACATCGCCTCGGTCAACACTCTTACCTTCGACATCTTCGGCACTGTGCTTGACCTGGGCGGTAGCCTTACGGCTCCGGCAGCCGATTTCCTCGCTCAGCATAACTCTGCGGTACCACCCGATCAGTTCTGGATCGATTGGCGCAACCGGCAGCGCGTCGAACAATATCAGGACAACCTTTTCATGCTGGGGCACAGCGGGTACCGGGAAACCTGCCGGCGCGCATTCATCTATTGTTTGCGTCTCCACGGCGTGTCGTTTGACTACGCCGAGGTCGATCGCTTCATGGCCGTCTATGACGACCTGCGTCCCTATCCGGATGCTGTTGAGGGCCTGCAAAAACTGGCCGACAGCAACCGGTTCCAACTGGTGGCGCTGTCTAACGGTGAGCAGTCGTATCTCGAAAGGCTGGCCCGCCACAACATCGGCATCCCGTTCAGCCACGTAATATCAGTCGAACAGGCCGGCGTCTTCAAACCTCATCCCGCCGTTTACCGCACCGCCGCCCGCATCATGAACAGAGAGCCGGCTGAGATCATGATGGTGGCCGCCCACTCGTTCGACATTACGGGTGCCCGCGCTTGCGGATATCGCGGCGCTTATGTAAACCGTTACCAACTCCCCAATGAGGAATCTCCATACCAGCCGGACTTTGAAGTCTCTGACTTCCACCAATTAGCTGAACGTCTGCTCGACCAATCTCCGGCGGTCTGATCGAATATGCCCGCCGTTGATGGCAATTCCGGCTGGTTACTAACTTTTTCCGCACTTCGCCACCGGGATTTTCGCTGGTTTTTCCTCAACATCGGCGTTCAGTCTTTCGGTCAGGGAATTCAGTTTCTCGGCATCGGTTGGCTGATCCTGGATATCACCGGCGAAAAAACGCAACTCGGCCTGGCCGTCAGTATCTTCGGGGCCGCCAATCTGCTATTCGTTTTTGTAGGCGGCGTCCTGGCCGACCGGGTGGAACGGCGTCTTTTTCTCATTGTCTGCGTGCTGGGTATCGGGTCGGTAACCTTGGCGCTGGGCATGCTGGCCCTGCTTGACGTGGTCAAGATGTGGCATGTGTTCGCGGCAGTGTTCCTGCTGGGAGGGCTGGGCGCCATGCAGACGCCGGCCCGGTTTGCATTGGCAGCCGACCTCGTACCCCGGGAAGACATCATGAATGCCCTGGCGCTTCACACTTCCATCAGCCAGATTGGCAATATCGTGGGCCCGTTGATCGGTGGTTGGGTCATAGAACAAACAAACACCGGTTCAGCAATTGTCCTCAATGGCGCCAGTGTGCTGCTGGGTATCCTGTTCCTGCTGGCAATGTCCAAACCCCCGCCAACCCAGCGCACCGGCGCATCTCCAGTCTCCGATTTGATTGGGGGATTCACCCACGCGGTGCGAACTCCAATGGCCGCCATCCTCATCACGATGTCCGCCTCATTCGGGTTCTTCGGCATGGCTTACATGCAGGTAATTACCGGCTTCGCCCAGGAGTTCCTGAAACTCAGCCCCGTGCAGACCGGCGTATTGATGATGTCCCGCGGCGCCGGTGCATTCCTAGGTTCCATTGTTGTGGCCGGCTGGAGAGATCGTAAGTACAAGGGCCTGTTGATGTATGCGGAAATTACTGTTTGCTGCATTGGCCTGATCGCAATGGCGTGGTCTCCCTGGTTCTGGGTAAGCTGCATCCTGGTTGCCCTGGTCGGGTCCACCAGCATCGGCGGATTTTGGCCGGTCTCCAGCTCGCTGATGCAGTTAACCACCGCTCCGGAATTGCGCGGGCGGATGATGGCCATGATGCAGCTCGCCCCGGTGTTTCACTTCCTCGGCGCCTACCCCCTCACCTGGCTGGCGCAAATCTACAGTTGGTCCCTGGCCATCAGCAGCGGTGCTGCCGTCCTCCTGGTTATATCCGTCGCCGGCTGGCTCTACCGCCCCATGGTCCACCGCATGGATGAGGTGTAAACACTGGCCGCCCGAACCGAAACAGCCCGGTCCGGCTGATTCGCGTCTCGACATCTTCCTTGCCCACCATCCTCAATTTGTCGTATATTATCGCCAACAGGCGCCCACTCTCATCAAAAAGGAGCACCAAAATGGTTAAACCCAAGCAGGTAGGCCACCTCGTAATCAACGTCACCGACGTTGCGGCATCAACCAAGTTCTACACCGAAGTCCTTGGCTTCCAGATCGCCGTCCAGCGGCCCACCGCCACCTTCCTCACCTGTGGCGACATTCACCACGACCTGGCTCTGTTCCAGGCCGCTGACGATGCTGCACCCATGCGGAAGGGCAACGTCGGGCTGAATCACTTCGCCGTGCAGGTCGATGACTTTGACTCACTGCGCGACCTCTACCACACTCTCAAGGACAACGGCGTCGCGGTGGACCGCACTACCGACCACGGCATGACGGGCAGCGTCTATTTCGAAGACCCGGACGGCAACGGCATCGAATTCTACTATGACAAGTTCAATAACCCGGCCGACGGTCTGGCCGAAATGCGGCGTAGCGACCGCGAAAACACCGTACTGGTCCTGGACTAACTGTCGGGGGAGCGGGCCGGCGCCGGATGAAATCTCCAGAGGGGCGACGTAATTGTCGCCCCTCTTCTGTTTCACCGGCGGGTGCTTGAGATTCGGCCCCGACTTATTACGCCGGGGCCGCCATTTAATACAGGTATCGTTCGGAAGCGCTCAATTTGCGGGCTGTTCGTCGTCCTCTCCGTCGGAATAGTCAAACTGCCCCAGAATATCTGCCAGCGTCCCCTCGAGGCCCGCATCAAGTTCCACCGGCTCCTCGTAGGGCATGAAGTGATATTCGTTCCGCACCCGTTCAATATAGCTACGCGCTTCCTCGTTGGTTTCAGCCAACCGATCCAGCGATTCCTGCAATCGGCTCGCCTCTTCTTCATATCGCGGGCGAAGATCGGCCAAATCTATATTCAGGGAATACAACGCCCGCAGGCGGCGCATGATGTCGTAAAAGGCCCGGTGATCGGTGGTAATGCCAAGTTGGCCGCCGCTGCCCCCGCTGAACGGGAACATGGGCGCCATCGCTCCGATTCGCAGCATCTCAAGGTCGGGACGTTGATAATGGGCTGCGTTCACCAGAGCCATTCCCACCGTTGGCCCCTGCCGCTGCTGATAACCGTAGCTTGAGAACAACATGCCGTGCTGCCGCAACTCATCGGCCATCGACGCCTTGCTGTACACGCACGAAATTCGCCGCTCCAGCTCAGGGGGAGCCGGTCCGTTGTACCCTTCAACTGCCACCACCTTGGGGCTCCCCATGGCATCTACGGCTTCAAAGAAGCCCTGGCTGTAAAGGTCAAACCGGAACCAGGGTTCTATGCCCAGGAAAATGACCACGCCATCGCCCGCATCCCAGAACCCGTTGTCCCAACGCATGGGTCGGGTCGGAAGGCCATCGGTGAACGAGGCCCGGGGCCGGTACAGGTCGTGGGTTCCGGCAACCTGGAAGGGAAAGCACATCCTGGAGATTTCATCGGACATCTGGCCGATACGCCGCGCTGACCATTTTTCGATCAGCCAGCGCGGCATACCGCTGGAAATGTTGCCCCCATCTGACCACTGGCGTCGCCAGCCGGCCAACAGTACCCGCGCGGTTGGCGTTTCGTCCAGGCTGATCAGTGGTTCGGCCATTTGATCCGCACCTCGGTAACCGTCAGCTAAATCAGCTGGGTCGGCGTAAAGATGCCCTCCATGTCTGCCTCGGTGGCCGGTTGCCTGGCTGGCTGACCCAGTTTGTCGCCCATGAACCAGTAAACCTGCTTCAGGTGGTGAGTGCTGTGACTCAAAATAATATTCAGCAGTTCCAGCACAGTAACCTCGCCACCGTAGTGGGCCGGCACCACGCGGTCAAACGCTTCGGTATTGCCGCTGTGCAGGAATGCGACAACCCCGTCTGAAACCTGCTTTGCGTAGGCAGCGATCTCCTCAGGTTTCGCCAGGTGCTCCAGGCTCGCCTTGCACGCCCGCATATCCTCCGTGGACATCGACCCGCGGGTGCTGCTGGTGTAAGCCAGTTCCGGGAATGACACGATGTGCACCAGCGAGTCACGGAGCAACTCCGGACGCCACATTACGGGTTGTGCCAACTGTTCCTGCGTCATCTCCAGCGTTACCGTCGCCGCTGCTCCCAGGATGCACTGATATTTTTCGGCCAGCCAGGCGGTACGGCCCGACAGGTCAATGGGCGCATCTGCCAGTCCCAGCGCCGGGATCAGCTTCTTGGGGTAATACCCAATGATCACCTCGGTGCCGTCGATAATGGTTACCGGAGCTGACAGCACACCGCGCGACTTCAAATCCTCACGGGCAGCGTCATCGGTCAACAGGTCGTGGTGCTCATACTGAACACCGTTGGACGCCAGAAATTCCTCCAGCGTCCGGCAACTGAATCAACCAGGGTTGGTATATACGTGTACTTCTCTGGGTGTCGTAGTCATGGTCGCTCTCCCTGCCGGCTGCCGCGTTCTGAATGTCCGCGTGCAACGGGTAACGTGTTATTTGATTACCTGTTTTACTCGCCGGCCCGGAACCAGTCCGACTTGCGCTCGGCTATCATGATCGTGGTGCAGTTGGTATTGGCGCGGATGCAATCCGGCATCACCGACGCGTCGGCTACGTGCAGGTTTTCCAGACCGTGCACCCGACAGTGTTGGTCAACCACCGCCATGGGGTCATCAGCAGGCCCGATCTTGCAGGTGCCAGATATGTGCTGCGACGTACTGACGATTCGCTTCAGCCAATCGTTCAGCGCTTCGTCACTGGCCAGGTCTTCCGGTCGCGGGTCCAGCAACTCATCAACTATGCCCGCGTATTGCTCGGTCTTCAGCAGGTCGACGCAAACACGCACTGCCTCCCGCATCCGGGCCAGGTCAAATTCTTCCTGGAAGTAATTGTAATTCAAATCAACCTGATCGTGCGGGTCGGTGCTTGCCAGCTTCAAATGCCCGGACCCGATTGCCAATTCCAGTATGCACGTGAATCGGATGCCCTCCGCTTCCAGCGGGTCACCGGCAATGGGCGAGGAGAACGACGACTGCATAATCTGGATGTCGTTGCGCAGGTGACTGCCCGAAGCCGTGTAGCGCAGACATACTTGCGTGCGCGGCGCCTGCGGGTCCAGCGGAAAATCGTCCTTTACTTTCACCGGCACCCGGATGTTGGGATGGTCGCGCAGGTTCTGGCCCACGCCCGGCAATTCGTGGATCACTGGAATTCCCATCTCGCGCAGGTGCTCAGGCGGACCCACACCAGACAACAGCAACAGTTGCGGTGATCCAATCGATCCCGAACTCAGGATGATGTCGTTGCCTTCCACGGTAAATACATCGCCGCCGCTCTCCACCTCAACGCCCACCGCCCGCTGGCCCTCAAAAATAATCCGACGGCACGTTACGTTGGGCCTGATGGTCAGGTTGAGCCGATGGCGCGCTTCCCGCAAATAGGTGATGGAAGTGCTCATGCGAACCCCGTTGGGGTTATTCATCGGCACCGGACCAACCCCTCCCGAATCAGGGTGGTTCATATCCGGATCGTGAGGGTGTCCCGCCGCCTGGCAGGCTTGCCAAAACGCCACCTGAGCCGGCAGCCAGTCTTCCTGCTTGTGTCGCCGCACCGGAATCGGTCCGGTGTTGCCGTGGAAGTCGTCGGAGATATCCGTGTCGGTCTCCAGCTTGCGGAAGTAGGGCAGGCAATCGGTGAACTTCCATTCGTCGTTGCCCATGGCCGCCCAGGCGTCATAGTCTTCAGGGACCCCGCGCAACAGCACCTGCCCGTTGATTGCCGAGGAACCACCCACCACCTTGCCCCGCGGGACCGGCATCGGCTGGGACTGGCCGGGGTTCTGCGCCCAGAACGTCCAGTTGTGGGGAGCGTCAACCGCCGACGCAGTCTGGTCGTAACCAAATTTCAGATCATCGGGGTACAACTCAAAATCCGGGTAATCCGGCCCCGCTTCCAACACCAGCACCGAACGCTCCGGGTCTTCGCTGAGCCGGGTTGCCATCGTGCATCCGGCTGATCCGGCTCCGATAATGATCACGTCATATTTCATTGCGATACGCCTCCGTTAGCATGGCTGTCATTCATCTGGCCACATGCCCTCGGTCGCGGGACCCGGGGTGGCCGTGCCCGCAACCGAACGTATTGTCAGTAAATTATGCGCCCAATCATAGCGGCTGCAACAATCGCCGGCAAGCGCATGAAGTCCTCACGCGTACCCACGTAACAGTTCAGACTCGACGTGTGATTTCCATACCACTCCGTCATTCCGGCCTTGAGCCGGAATCCAGAGACGTCTTTTAACCGCAATGTTGCTTATCCTCGGCCTCCTGGATTCCCGCGTTCGCGGGAAAGACAGGTTGGGGCCAGAATACTACCTTCAACTCTGAACAGTTACGTACCCACCCAATTCGTTGACACTGGCGCATCCTCCCCAATATGCTGGCTTGAATTCCAATGCAGAGCTCGACCGGATGCCGGTGGCGCCAGCAAACCCCGGAGATGCCAACATGACGCGGGAAGAGCGATTGAGAAAGATACACTCCTACGGCAACGGCTACGATGCGCTCATGAACGGCCTGCAACGATTTCCTCAGGAGATGTGGGATTATCGCGACGAGCACGGCTGCTGGAGCATACGGCAACACCTGGTGCATATTGCCGACAGCGAAGCCAATAGTTACATCCGCTGCCGCCGGCTCATCGCGGAGCCCGGTGAACCGTTGATGGCCTACGATGAAAACGCCTGGAGCCGTTCGCTGAGCTATTCGGACCAGGGCATCGATGACGCTCTGGCGCTTTTCCGCCTGCTCCGCAGCCAAACTTATACCCTCATCCAATCGCTGCCCGACGCGGTTTGGACCAACACCTGCCATCACCCCGAAAACGGCGATATGTGGCTGTATGACTGGCTCGCGGTGTACGAAGCCCACATCCCGGAACACCTCCAGTTCATGCAGGAAAACTGCGACGCATGGCGGGATAACCGCTGAGTAATCCCTGAGCCCCATACCCTTCGATGTAACGGTCGCGGTTGGCGGATTGCCTCCGCCGATGCCGCCAGGCATTCACCGCCTCATCACACTTTCCAGCATTCCCAACCCTTAAAGATTACGCTATACTGCGCCCCAATAGGCATCCCGGCATGTTGGCGCTGGATGTCGGAGTGTTCCGCACCAGGATGAACCGATTGCGCCCACAGCCCCAATTTTGCCGCACAGGAGTTTAACCATGCAGTTTGGCCTGCTTTACGAATGCCAGCGCCCGTACGAGGGCACCGAAATTGACTGGAACGCGCTGTACAAGGAAACACTCGAGCAGTGTGAACTCGCCGACCAGATTGGTTTCAACAACCTATGGTTCGTCGAACACCACTTCCTTACCGGCTTCTCCGGCTCGCCCGCCCAGGATGCGATCTTCGGCGCACTTAGCCAAATTACCAAGCAGATTCGCATCGGCTACGGCGTCTGCATCCTCCCCTACCACCATCCGGTGCGCGTCGCCGAGCGGGTCGCGTTGCTCGACCATCTCACCGACGGACGCATCGAACTCGGCACCGGCCGCTCCAACGCCTACGAACAGACCGGTCTCGGTATTGACCCGCGCGAAACTCGCAGCCTGTGGGCCGAGTCTCTCAGCATGATACCCAAAATCTGGACTTCTGATGAGTACGAGTACGAGGGCGAGCACTGGAGTGTTCCCAAGCGCCGCGTCCTTCCCAAGCCGCTCCAGAAGCCTCACCCGCGCATGTACCTCGCCTGCACCTCCGAAGACAGCTTCCGCCTGGCCGCCCAGAAGGGTATCGGCGTGCTGTCGTCCGCTTCCTACGCTGTGGAAGTCCTGAAAGAGAAGGTGCAGATTTACCGCGACTCACTCAAAGACTGTGAGCCGGTGGGCGAATTCATCACCGAGTTCTGGGGCAACAACGTTCATGCCTTCTGCGACGACGATGACCAGTACGCCAAAGAGCTGGCCGCCGAGTCGATGAAGACCTTCTTCGGTCCCGACAAGCCTTACATCGCTGGCCGCATCGGCGCCTACGAAGAGTTGCTGGAAGCCTGGGGCGGCGTGCCCGACCACCTGCAGGCGGACTTCGGTCGCTGGCTCCGCCAGTCTGACGACGAACACAAGCAATTGGCCGCCGAAGTTGGTCTCTCTCTGGACGCCGGCCCGGGCGCCGCTCGAGCCGCAATCGCCCAGCTGGACGGCAACACCCTGTCCGACCGCGGCGTCATCATCGCCGGCAACCCCGAGTCCTGCATCAAGACCTGCCAGATGTACGAAGACATCGGCGTCGACCAGGTCATGCTTATCATGCAAACCGAAACCATCCCCCACGACAAGGTGATGGCCTCCATCGAAAAGTTCGGGCGGGAAGTAATCCCCGCGTTCCAGGGCAACGGTTCCAAGAAGTAACTCGCCCCTCGCCGAATTTTTGCGCCCTGGGCGCGCTGCCTATATTGGCTGCGTCCAGGGCCTTTTCATACCCGCATCTCCAACATCCCCGGGAGATCCACAATGACCAACGCGACCCACGGCCCATTGCTGAAATTCAACGTCCGGATCAATCAGCATCGGTACAGCTACGAGGACCTCCAGCGCATTTGGCTGGAGGCTGACCGGTTGGGCTTTTACTCTGCCAGCCTGTATGACCTGCTGAACTCCGATGCCCTGGAATGCTGGACGACTTTGACCGCGCTGCTGGCGCAAACCGAACGGATCCGCGCCGTGCCGATGGCGCTGGCCAACCCCTACCGGCACCCAGCGTTGCTCGCCAAGATGGTGGCCACCCTGGACGTGATCAGCGGCGGACGCATCACGCTTGGCATCGGCGCCGGTGGCAGCCGTTCGGATACCACGGCCAGCGGCCTGAATTTCCCCTCCACCCGCGTACGCTGCGAGATGCTGGAAGAAGCCGTTGACCTGATCCGCGCTTTATGGACCGAACCCTCCGTCGATTTCCTCGGTCGTTTTTACCACGTTGACAACGCATCCATTCAACCCAAACCCATCCAATTTCCTGCGCCACCCGTCCTGGTCGGCGGCCACGGCGAGCGTCATGTACTACCGATGGTCGGTCGCATCGCCGACATTTGCAACGCCGGCTCCAACAGCTCCGTGGCCGATCACCAACGGTGGCGCACAATTATCGATCGCGCCGCCGAAGGCGCCGGCCGTGACCCCGCAGACATCGAAACGACTCATAACTCCAACGTGGTGATCGCCCCCACCCGGCGCGGGTTCGATCAACTGGTCGCCCAACTGGCCGGGCAGTCTGGCATGACGATGCAGCAATACCACGAACATCGCTTGAACAACACCATCTCGGGAACCCCGGAGCAGTGCGCCGAACGAATCTCGGAGTACGTGGCGGCCGGCATCTGTTACTTCTTCATCGTTTTCCCCGACTTCGCGCCCTCGGAGGACCTGGATCTCTTCGCCCATGAAGTGATGAACCAGTTCAACACTTTACCCGGCTCCGCCTAGCGGCGTCCGTGATTTTCCAACTCCGCCAGTCTGTGCAACGGCGACGACCGCGCGGCCCAACGTGTGCGAACAGACCCGAATAGAGACCTAATCGTCGGCCGGCGTGGTAGCGCCTCGCGTGATGAGCCGTTGCACGTCGACGCGGCGGCGCTGCGACGGAGATAGTCGCGGGTTCCCCAGCATCAGGAACAGCACCGAACCGATTGCACTCACCGCGGCCACCGTGGCGAACGGGATCGTGTAGTTCCCGGTTACGAAGTCTTTCATCATCCCGATGTACGGCACCACGAAAATAAACATGATGTTCATCGGAATCATGGAAATGCCGGTTATCGTCGCGAAGTTGCTGCGACCGAAATATACTCCCCGAATCGACGTGGTCAGAGGCGTGCGTCCTCCAAAACCGATTCCCATCAGGATGGCGAACAGCATGAACATGGGCATCGTTTGGGCAAACAGCAATATCCCGACGGCGATCGTCTGCAGGAACGAAAACGCGAATATAGCCCACCTGATGGGTATGCGGTCCCCAACCACGCCCCCGATCAGCATGAAGGCGGTGGCCGCGGTGGTCTGCACCGACACCACCAGGCCCACTTGTACCAGCGAGTAATTCCGTTCCACCATCAACAGACCCAAATAGGTCATCACGCTGATGATTATGATGGACGAGCTGGCGTGGCCCATCGTAATTAACCAGAACGAACGAGCCCGTATGGCCTCCCGCCATTGGTAATCCGGAGCAATTTCCGTCGCCTCAAGAGTTTCCGGCGTCGACGCATCCACGGCCGTTTCCGGTTCAATACCGTCGGGGTGCTGGTTATAGTCCTCCGGGCGGTTCCGCATGAACAGCGCCAGCGGTACTGCACCAATCAGCGCCACCAAACCCACCGCCAACGCGGTCGTCTGCCATCCCAGCCGGCCCTCGATCAACTGTCCGGCCTGGGCGTCCCAACCCATCCCCCACGCCATCAACGGCACGATGAAAATCCCGCCCACGCCGAAACCAATCATCGGTATGGCCATCGCGGTAGACCGCCGCCGCCTGAACCAGTTGTTCAACGCGCTATTGGCCGGTAGCCATGAACCCAACCCCGACCCCAGACTGATCACCATGAACGCAACGTAGAACATCCACAATGTGTGCGTCCGGCTGAACAGCAAAAACCCCACGCCGACAACAATCAGGCCAATTATGACCATCTTGCGAGGGCCGAGCTTGTCCACTCCCCAACCGGCTATGGGTCCCATCACCGTGCCTTCCGCCCGCGTCAGGGCGAATCCCCACGACAATTGACTGTCCGTCCAGCCGAAGTTCCCCTGCAGCACCGGCATCCACAAGGAAAGCGCCTGAAAGAGCGGCACCGTACCGATAACCATGATTACGGCGCCGAGAACGGCCAGCCACCAGCCGTAAAATAGCCCTCTCGCCAGTCGCACGGGATGGACAAGTTCTCGCGCCTGCAGCAATGGATGCTCCTTCTATCTATTTGCCGTGAAACGCTCCGCTTGGCGTCACTTTTGGCAGCACAACGCCAGATATTATACTGCGAATCTCAGGTGTATACGTGTTCGTGATATGTTAACTCTACGAAAATCAAAAACCCCGTTGCAAAAGACGGGGTTTTGATGTAATTCAAAACGCGGGGAATATAGCCGCGGACGCTATCCGGCCACCGGCACACCATCTTCGTACAGGTGGCAGGCGGTCATGTGGCCCGAGCTGTATGCCTTCAACAGCGGTATGTCCACCGAACACCGTTCCATCACGAACGGGCAACGCGGATGGAATGTACAGCCACCAGGGGGGTTCAGCGGCGAGGGCACCTCACCCGCCAACACAATCTCCTCACGTCTCTGGCGAGGATGCGCCGGCAGCGACGCCGAAATCAGCGCTCGGGTATAGGGATGTTGGGCGTTGGTGAAAAGCTCCGCCGGTGGCGATTCTTCCACGATCTTGCCAAGGTACATCACCCCCACCGTATGGCTCATATACCGCACCGTTGCCAAGTTGTGGGCGATCAGCAGGTAACTGAGATTATAGGTGGATTGGAGCTCCTTCAGCAGGTTCAATATCTGCGCCCGGATCGAAACATCCAACGCCGATACCGGTTCGTCCAGCACAATCAGCTTGGGTCGCGTCGACAGGGCCCGCGCGATGGCGATGCGCTGGCGTTGCCCTCCACTGAACTCATGGGGATATCGCTCGGCGTGAAACGGATGCAGGCCCACCACCTGCAATAGCTCCTGAACTTGCGAACGCACCTCCGCACGACTGAGACTCCGGTGCGTTACCAGCGGTTCCGAAATTATCTGATCTACCCTCATGCGGGGATTCAACGAACTCCAGGGGTCCTGAAAAACCGCCTGCACCGACGCCTTGAAATTCCGCCGTTCCGCACCGCTGAAACGGTTCATCGGCCGATTGTCAAAGTAGATGCTTCCTTCCGTGGGCCGGTCGGCCATCAGCACCATTCGGCTCGTCGTCGTTTTGCCGCAGCCAGATTCGCCGACCAGGCTGTAAGTCTGGCCGGGCATTATCTTGATCGAAATGCCATCCACAGCCTTGACCGTGCCGGTCATGCGCCGCAGCAGATTCCCTCTGTATACCGGGAAATGCTTCCTGATGCCTTCCAGTCGCACCAGCGACTCATCGCTCGCGGTGGCCTCGGCGGCCACGGGCTCCGTCGATGCTGTTACCATTATTCTGCCCTCCAGCACCGCGAGGTGTGACTAGCGGCGATCGTGAACTCCGGCGGATACTCTTCGCATCGTTCGTACGCGTAAGGACACCTGGGTGCAAACGCGCAACCCACCGGCAGTGAATCCAGTGATGGAGGTTGCCCTTCAATGGACGGCAGCATGTCCACGTCGGTGTCCAGATCCGGCACCGACTGCAACAGCGCCTCCGTGTAAGGATGCCCTGGATGATCGAACATATCCTCAACGTCCGACTGCTCGACAATCCGGCCGGCATACATCACCGCCACCCGATCGCACATCCGCGCTACTATCCCGAAGTCGTGGGTAATGAATATGATCGCCGCCCCGGTCTGCTCCTGAATATCCTTCAGCAAACGCAGGTACTGTAGCTGGATCGTGGCATCGAGCGAAGTCGTCGGCTCGTCGGCGATCAGCAGGTTCGGCGACCTGGAGATTGAGATGGCCCCAACCACACGCTGCCGCATTCCGCCGCTCATCTGATGGGGGAAGTTGGTCATACGGTCTTCCGGCGCCGGTATTCGAACGTTGGCCAGCAAATCGATCGCACGCTGACGCAACGACCGCCTGGACTCGTTGTACTCAAGGCGCAGGGTTTCCGTCAGCTGGTCGCCCACCGTAAACACCGGATTCAACGACGTCAACGGGTCCTGCATTACCATACAAATGCCGGAACCGCGTATGTCCTGCATCTCCCCCTTGCTTTTGTCCAGCAGGTTTTCTCCCAGGTAATGTATGCTCCCACCGACGATTCGACCCGGATGAGGAACCATTCCCAGGATCGACCATGCGGTCATGCTCTTACCGGATCCGGATTCGCCGACAATGCCCAACGTCTCGCCGCGATGCAGTTCGAAGCTGATTCCGTCTACCGCCTTCACCACACCGGTGCGAGTGAAGAAGTGGGTCTGCAGATCTTGAACACGCAGAATTAAATCGTTAGTCATTCAACACACTTTGGCGAACGTCAGCGCGCCCTTCTCAGTTTGGGGTCGAGGTAATCACGCAGCCAGTCGCCAAAGAAATTAAAGGCCAATACGACAATCGTGATCGCAACCCCGGGGAACAGCGAAAGCCACCACACATCCAGTATTACATCCTGTCCTTCCGCCACCATTATACCCCACGCCGGCGCGCCCGGAGGCAACCCCAATCCCAGGTAGCTCAACGCCGCTTCCAGCAGGATAATCTGCCCCACCATCAGGCTCGTAATCACCATCAGGGTGTTGGCAACGTTGGGGAAAATGTGACGCAGCAGGATGATCGGCGATCGTACACCGGTGATTTGAGCCAGCGTCACGAAGTCGTATCCTTTCACTGTGAGGACGTCGCCTCTTATCATGCGGGCAAACCTGGCCCACACCGTCAGCAGAACCGCCAGGATAATCGTCATTGGGCCGCGGTCCATTATCACCGCCACCACCAGCGCGACCAATATGGTCGGAAATCCCAGGGCGGCGTCGGTAATACGCATCAACAGCGCATCCACCCAACCTCCCCAGTAGCCCGAAACCAGCCCCACCAGCGTACCCACAATTGCGGTGAGGGCCAATGCGATCACGCTGATCTGTACCGTGGTACGCGCTCCGTAAATCAAGCGGCTCAATACATCCCGGCCCAACACATCGGTACCCAGGATATATTCAGTGCTCTCGAACGGCGCAATGTTGCTGTCGAGGATATTGAGCTTTTCGGCGTCGTAGGGCGCTACCCAGTTGGCGAATGCGGCGCAGAACACCAGCACCGCCAATACAAATATCGGGATCCACGGCAGCTTTTTTTCAGCCAACCGCTGTCTCATCGACAGTTGCGGTTGTGAGGTGTCCAGAATCAGATCATTCGTGGTTGCCATGCGCCTTGCCCCCGGTTAGCCTAACCCCTGATCCTGGGATCCGCGTACACGTACAATATGTCGACGACGAGCGCAGTCAGGATGTAGAAAAATGCCGATGCCATCACGGCTGCCTGCACTACCGGGAAATTTGCGCTGCAAAACACCATCCAGCAACAATCGGCCCAGGCCAGGCCAGGCAAACACGACCTCAACCACGATAGCCCCGTTCAGCAGACCGGCCAGGCTGATCCCACTGAACGTGAGGATGGGAATCAGCGCGTTCCGCAGGGCGTGCTTCCACACCACCATCCCGTCTTTCAATCCCTTGATGCGCGCGAAACGCACGTAGTCGCTGTCCATCACTTCCAACATGCTGGATCGCCCCAGCCGCATGATGCCGGCCATGATAGACCAGGCCAGCACAAATGCCGGCAGGATAAAATGATCCGGGCCGCCACGGCCATAGGTCGGCAGCACCTTCAGAATTGCTCCGAACAGCAGAATGAGCATGATCGCCACCCAGAATTGGGGGGCTGCCATGCCAAGCACGGCAAATAACTTGCCGGTTTTTATCGAAAATCGAGTCGCGTCTTACCGCCGAAAGAATCCCCAACGGTATGCCGACTACAATCGCCAGCAACATTCCGGCCAACGCCAGTTGCAGCGTGGCCGGCAACCGTTCCAGCAGCAAATCCCTGGTCGGCCTACGGTCTCTGATCGAAACTCCGAAATCCCCTACCACCGCGCCGCGCAGGAAAATGTAGTACTGCTCGGTCAGCGGTTTATCGAGGCCGAGCTGTTTCTTCAACCGTTCGTAGTCAGCCTTCCCCGACGCCTCGGGTGGCAACAGGACCAGCGCCGGATCACCCGTCAACCGGGTGGCCAGGAACACCAGCAGGCTGATGACCACCAGGGTAAAGAATCCCTGAATAACTCGTATGGCTACGAATTGCCACATTGGTTTTTCCCGTCCATCAGCCTGCTGCTAGGTTCTAAGATTCCGGATTTCAGCTGCATCGTCCAGATCGCCGTCTGGTACGCAACCACCGGCCAGGGATCCCAGGAAGCAATCCGCGGCCCGACTCCCCAGGGCAGATTCACATATCCGGTGCCAAATTCGTAATGCTCCTCGTAGAGGATCTTGTAGGCATCGTTGAACGCCTGTTGCCTCTCGGCCGGGTCGACGACCGCGAGCGCTCCCTTGGCCACCGCGATCAGATCGTCGCGCCGCCCGCCCAGGTGTGCGCCGCCTTCAGGATCGCCGTATACAGCGTTCGTAATGCTGCCACCGTCCCAGCGGGCCTCGTTCGCCCGCACGATGATTTTGCCGTCCAGCTGCCGGTCGATCCACCGCTCCCGAACGGTTGCAGCGTCGCCAACCAGCACGTCCACCTCGATCCCCAGGTTCTGCCGCCACATGTCGGCGATCAACTGGGCCTGCTCCGGCAGGAACGGTACGTCCCCGCCTTCCAGGTGTGAACCTCCAGCGTCCCAAAGCCTTCGCCCCCGGGATAGCCCGCGTCGACCAACAGCTGTTGCGCCAGCTCCGGGTCAAACGGGAACGGGTCCAGATCTTCGCTGTATCCCAGCGCATTGGGAGTTACCCAGTTCCAGCCTTTCGACGCGCGCGCTTCCGGCCCATACAACTGGGAGATGATCAGGTCTTTGTCAATCGCGTAGTCCAGCGCCTGCCGTACTTCCTTCTTGTTGCACGGGAATTGCACTTCCCAGCATCCCGGCAGCAGAATCCACATGTACGATGACTCTTGCGACCAGATCAACCGACCGCCGCCATCTTCAATCTGTTCCTTTACCGACAGGTTCGCCTCGATGACGTCAGCATCGCCGGCTCGCAACGCGGCTGTGCGCGTCGACACTTCCGGCACCAATCGCATATCCAGTGTCTGGAACGTGGGCTGCGCTCCGGCAGGTAGTAGTCATCGTATCGTTCCAGCAACATTTGCTCGCTGATGACGTGGTCCTCCAACCGGAACGCCCCCGCTCCGACCGGCGCCGCGTTGTATCCGTCCTGTCCGACGCTTTCAAAGTATGCCTTCGGCAACACCACTCCGGCGATGCCAAAACTCAACTCAGATATGAAGAAGGGGAAAAACGCCTTGGGGGATTTGTGGGTCACCCGCAGCGTGGTGGAGGAGTCGATGCTTCGATACTTTCCGTGTCCGCTGCCTCGGCTTGTACGCTCGGGGCTCAGCGACGTTTCAATCGCCTCCGGGCCGAAAACGAACTCCATGGTGAACAACGCGTCGTCGATGGTTAGCGGGTCGCCGTTGTGGAAGGTAATACCTTCCCGCAACGTCACGTCCCACGACAACCCGTCTTCCGATACCTGCCAGTCCGTAATGACTCCCGGCAGCATCTCAACATTCTCGTTCCCGTTGATCCAGAAGGCGTGCATCTGCCGACCGTAGGTGGCCGTCTCGCCGACGCCGTCCCGTGGAGTAAACAGCTCGTTGGCCCACACCGCGTTCATCAGCGTTACCTTGCCACCGGTGAATACAGTTTCGCCACTGGGCGCGGCGGTCGTCTGCTGCGGCACCGCGGTGGCCCCGCCGTCAGTGGTCTGATCCGTAGTAGTGGCTCCGCTCGACCCATCGCCGTCGGCGCCAGCATCCTCGGATGGACTGCCGCACGCCGCCAACGCTGCCAGGAGCAGTACGGCTGCGGCCACCATTATCGTCTTCATACCCAGTTTATCGACCAGCATGTGGAAACCCTCCATCAGGACACCAAAATCAGTTATCGCACCCCCGCATGAAATACGGAGTTGCGTGGCGGCGACATTAGCACAGACATCTGGCGACGTCAAATTGCGTATTACCGACCTGTTTTGCGTACGGATACAGGAGAAATCCACATCCCCAATGGCGGTATCGAAACACGTTCGCAGTATCTTGGATATTTTTGATATTGCGGTCATACATGACAGATTTGTGGAGTCATATTAGTAGAATTCGTAGCTACCCTCCGGTGAACCCAATTCCCGGGGTGCGGAGTCGATCACATTTGGTAATCACGGATGGCTGTCAGGTGGCAATGGCGCCCGGCAGGCTGATAATTGCCGGGGTGGAGAATTCCCTGACCGTTCGCATGGACAAGCATCGCCCAACCACACCCGACAAACAATTCCTCTACCGAATAGCATGGCGCAGATTACGGGTTCAGTTTCATCGTCCAGATCGCCGTCTGGTATGCCACCACCGGCCACGGCTCCCACGATTCGATTCTGGGTCCGACTCCCCAGGGCAAATTCACGTAACCAATCCCGAATTCGTAGTGCTCGTCCCGCAAAATCTTGTACGCCTTGTTGAACGCCTCGTGCCGAAGGGTCGGATCTATCACCGCCAATGCCTCCTGAGACACTGCGATCAAGTCTTCCCTTTTGCCGCCCAGATGTGCGTTGCCTTGCGGGTCTCCGTATATGCCGGCAGTTATGCTGCCACTCATCCAACGGGCCTCGTTCGCGCGAATGATTATCTGCCCGTCCAATTGCCGTCATAACCACGCTCTCGGACGGTGGCGGCCTCGCCAACCAACACATCGACCTCTATCCCCAGATTCTCCCGCCACATGTCGGCGATCAACTGCGCCTGCTCCGGCAGGAACGGTACGTCCCCCGCCTTCCAGGTGTGAATCTCCAGTGTCCCAAAGCCTTCGCCCCCGGGGTAGCCCGCGTCGGCCAGCAACTGCTGCGCTTTTTCGGGGTCGAAGGGGAAGGGGTCCAGGTCTTCGCTGTAGCCAAGGGAACTGGGTGTGGCATGAACCCAGCCTCGCGATACGGCGGCATCGGGGCCGTAAAGTTCGTCAATGATCAAATCCTTGTTGATTGCGTAGCCCAGAGCCTGCCGGACCTCTTTCTTGTTGACAGGGAAACTGCACTTCCCAGCAGCCTGGTAACAGTATCCAAGTGTACGAAGATTCCTGCGCCCAGATGAAACGTCCGCCGCCGCTTTCAACCTGGTCCTGCACGGCCAGATTTGCCTCGATCACGTCGGCGTCACCGGCCCTCAGGGCAGCAGTGCGAGTCGACACTTCGGGCACCAGGCGCAGGTCCAGCGTCTGGAACGACGGGCCGCGCTCGGGCAGGAAGTAATCATCAAAACGTTCCAGCAGAATCTTTTCGCTTATGATGTGCTCTTCCAGTCTGAAAGGACCTGCTCCGATCGGCGCCTCGTTGTAGCCGTCCTGCCCGACACTTTCGAAATAATCCTTGGGCAGCACCACGCCCGCGATGCCAAAACTCAAGTCGGACAGAAAGAAGGGGAAGTAGGCTTTGGCTACGGAATGCGTGATCCGCAGCGAGTCGGGACCGATCACCTCGATGCTCTCGGTTTCGGCAGCCTCGAGTTGAATGGCCGGGCTGATCGATGCCACTACGGCTTCAGGGCCAAACGTGAAATCCATGGTGAACTTGGCGTCATCAATGGTAAAAGGAGCGCCATTGTGGAATGTGATCCCCTCGCGGATGGTTAGATCCCAGGACGTCCCGTCTTCAGACACACTCCAGTCCGTCAGCACGCCCGGACCCATCTCCAGGTTTTCGTCTCCATTGATCCAGAAGGCGTGCATCTGCCGACCGTAGGTGGCCGTCTCCCCAACGCCGTCACGAGGTGTATATAGCTCCGTGGCCCAAACCGCGTTCATCAGCGTTACTGTGCCGCCGGTGTATTCAGCGGTGCTGGGAGCGCCGGAGGTTTGCTGCGGAACGGCCGTGGCGGCAGTTGCCGACCCGCCGCCGTCGGCTGGTTGATCGGTTGTAGTAGCCCCGCTCGATGCGTCACTGTCGGTACCAGCATCCTCGGATGGGCTGCCACACGCCGCCAACCCTGCGAGAAACAGGGCGGCGAGCATAATCGCTATCGTCCTGATACCCAATTTTCGAAACAACATAAGAAACCCCACCACGCCGATCGCTAGTGCTTTGGCCCGTTGGCCATTAGGTAGAAAGCAATGGGTAACCGAAACAATAACATAAACAGCAAATTGGAGCAATTTCCTTTATTTTCTACGTATTTAGACTCTATAATCATCACATTATTTATCATTATGTGGTTTTCGTAATATCACCGTCCCAGAAAAACTATGGTGCGATTGGCCGGACCCTCACGGCAAGGACCCGGCGGCCGGGGGCCTTCCCGCGTCCTCACGCCGACGTGGCTGGAAACGCAACAGTATCGGGTCACCCGGTAGCCGGGTGACCCGATTTCGCATCAGGCTGAACACCTTGAGGCGATAATCCCCACGCCACTCTTTATGATTACGATTACGCCCACAACCACAGGCAGATCGTTCCTCTGCCGAATAGCATGGTTCAGATTACGGGTTCAATCGCATCGTCCAGATCGCCGTCTGGTACGCAACCACCGGCCAGGGGTCCCACGACGCGATTCTCGGGCCGACTCCCCAGGGCAAATTCACGTATCCCGTACCGAATTCGTAATGCTCCTCGTAGAGAATCTTGTAGGCGTCATTGAACGCCTGTTGCCTCGCGGCCGGGTCAACAATCTCCAGCGCACCCTTGGCCACCGCGATCAGATCGTCGCGCCGCCCGCCCAGGTGTGCGCCGCCTTCAGGATCGCCGTATACAGCGTTCGTAATGCTGCCACCGTCCCAGCGGGCCTCGTTCGCCCGCACGATGATTTTGCCGTCCAGCTGCCGGTCGATCCACCGCTCCCGAACGGTTGCAGCGTCGCCAACCAGCACGTCCACCTCGATCCCCAGGTTCTGGCGCCACATGTCGGCGATCAACTGGGCCTGCTCCGCAGGAACGGTACGTCCCCCGCCTTCCAGGTATGGATCTCCAACGTTCCAAAGCCTTCGCCGCCGGGATATCCCGCGTCGACCAAAAGCTGTTGTGCCAGCTCCGGGTCATAGGGGAATGGGTCCAGGTCGGCGCTGTATCCCAGGGCGTTGGGGGTCACCCATACCCATCCCTTGGACGCTCCCGGCTTCCGTGCCGTACAGCTGGGAGATGATCAGGTCTTTGTCAACTGCATAATCCAATGCGTGGCGCACCTCCTTCTTGTTGCACGGGAACTGCACTTCCCAACAACCAGGAAGGAGAATCCATATATACGAAGATTCTTGCGACCAGATCAGCCGCCCGCCGCCGTCTTCAATCTGGTCCTTTACTGACAGATTGGCCTCGATGACATCAGCGTCACCCGCCCTCAGTGCGGCAGTGCGCGTTGATACTTCCGGCACCAATCGCAGATCCAGCGTATCGAACGTCGGACTACGCTCCGGCAGGAAGTAATCATCGTACCGTTCCAGCAACATTTGCTCGCTTATGACGTGGTTCTCCAGCCGGAACGGTCCCGCTCCCACCGGCGCCTCGTTGTAGGCCTCCTGCCCGACGCTTTCAAAGTAAGCCTTGGGCAGCACCACACCGGCGATGCCAAAACTCAATTCAGAGATGAAGAATGGGAAAAACGCCTTGGGAGCCTTGTGCGTCACCCGCAGCGTGGTGGAGTCAATGGCTTCAATAGTGTCCGTATCCGCCGCCTCCGCCTGCACGCTTGCGCTGATCGATTTTTCGATCGACTCCGGCCCGAATACGAACTCCATCGTGAACAGCGCGTCGTCGATGGTTAATGGATCACCGTTGTGGAAGGTAATGCCTTCGCGCAACGTCAAATCCCACGACGACCCGTCCTCCGATACCTGCCAGTCCGTAATGACTCCCGGCAGCATCTCAACGTTTTCGTTCCCGTTGATCCAGAAGGCGTGCATCTGCCGACCGTAGGTGGCCGTCTCCCCAACGCCGTCCCGTGGGGTGAACAGTTCGTTGGCCCACACCGCGTTCATCAGCGTTACTTTGCCGCCGGTGAATACAGTGCTACTGGGAGCGCCGGCAGTTTGCTGAGGCACTACGGTGGCGGAGGCTGCCGACCCGCCGCCGTCGGCTGGTTGATCCGTTGTAGCAGCCCCGCTCGATGCGTCACCGTCGGCGCCAGCATCCTCGGATGGGACTGCCGCACGCTGCCAACCCTGCCAGGAGCAAGGCCGCGAGCGCAATCATTATCGTCCTGATACCCAATTTTCGTAGCAACATCAGGAAATCCTCCATGCCGATCGTGACTGCTTTGGCACGTTCACGTTCAGGGAAAAGCAATTGATAACAGAAGAAATAGCATACCCGCTAATTTTCGTCAATTTCTATCATGGCAATTGAGTTATACACCGAATAACAACACAATATATAAGACAGTGTTGTATTACGTAAAACGGAAGTGACAGCAATACCATCGTGCGATTGGCCGGACCCTCAGGGCCAGGACCCGGCGGCCGGCAGGGCCATCCCGCGCACTCACGCCCGTTTGGGCGGGCTCCAACCCAGGATGCTATCGCTTCCGGAACATCTAGCGGCGACGCTTCACGATCTGTCCTGCGATGTGGCGACTACCCCGCGGGAGGAAAACCCCGCCGGTCAATCGGCGGGTTCGAAACAACATAGCTTCCGGTTCAGCCTGCCCGGCGCAACCGCGGGTCCAGATAGTCTCGCAGCCAGTCGCCAAAGAAATTGAAGGCCATAACAACCACGGTAATGATGAGACCGGGGAACAGTGCGATCCACCACGCCTGCGTCAAAAATTCCCTGCCTTCTGCAACAAGAATCCCCCATGCCGGGTCTCCCGGCGCCAGTCCCAATCCCAGAAAGCTCAATGATGCTTCCAGGAGAATAACCTGCCCCACGCTAACGCTGGTCAGTACCATCAATGTGTTGATCACGTTCGGGAACAGGTGCCGCCACACGATCATTCCGGGTGAAACGCCGTAAATCTGTGCCAGTACCACAAAATCCCGGTCGCGTATCGACAGCACTTCGCCCCGAAGCATGCGGGCAAACCGCGCCCATTGGGTCGCCGCGATGGCTATCATCACGTTCCATACGCCGGTACCCAGGTAAGTCACGATCAGCAGGGCCACCAGAATCGACGGAAACCCCAGTACAGCATCGGTTATTCGCATCAGTACTGAGTCAGCCCAACGTCCGGCGTAACCGGATATCATACCCACCACGCTGCCGGCGAGAATGGCCACCACCATCGACGGGGCGGTAACCTGCAGCATCGTGCGGGCCCCGAAGATCAACCGGCTCAGCATGTCTTTGCCCAACCGATCGGTGCCAAGTATGTGTTCGGTGTTGGTGAACGGTGGTTCCAGTTTGTTCCGAACGTCGTTCTCCCGTGGATCGTGGGGAGAAATCAGGTTGGCAAAGATCGCGCATAACAGGATCACCGACAGAATCGCCAGCGGAACCCAGGGCAGCCTAGCTTCCCGTATCCGCTGCCTCAACCCGGCGGGGGCCCGTTGTTCAATCACCAGTGCAGGAGTTTCAGCGGCCAATATCGCCCTCCGGATGTGCCTAGTTCAGCCGAACCCGTGGGTCGGCGTAACCATAAAGAATGTCAACAACCAGGGCGGAGAGAATGTAGGCCGCTCCCGAAACCATGATCGCCCCCTCAACCTGGGGGAAGTTGTTCGACAAAACCCCTTCCAGCAACATCAAACCCAAACCGGGCCAGGCGAACACCACCTCTACAACCACTGAGCCATTGAGCAGGCCCGCCAGGCTGATGCCGCCAAAGGTTATCACTGGAATCAGCGCATTGCGGGCGGCGTGCTTCCAGATGACAGCCCGGTCTCCCAAGCCCTTCACCTGGGCGAATTTGACGTAGTCAGTATCCAGAACCTCCAGCATCGCCGATCGGGCCAGCCTCATGATCGCAGCGATAATCGCCAGCGCCAACACAAAAGCCGGCAGAATCAGGTGGGCAATCGTGTCCGGTATTTGCGACCACGTGGGGATCCACCCGGTTATGTCGCCCCGCCCGAAGGCCGGCAGCCAGCCCCAATAGCCGGCAAACAGAATTATCAGCATGATGGCGATCCAGAAACTGCGGAACCGCCATGCCGAATATCGCGAAGGCTTTGCATACCTTGTCCAGCAACGTATCCCGTTTCACCGCCGAAATGATTCCCAGCGGCACACCAACCACGACCGCCAGTATCATTCCCGACACTGCCAGATGCACCGTCGCCGGGATCCGCTCCAACAATATTTCCTTTACCGGGCGCCGGGCGGTAAAGGAAGTGCCAAAGTCCAGGCGCACTGCTTTGGTGAGAAAATTCCAATACTGGATAATGAACGGTTTATCCAGGCCGTAGGCAGCCTTTTGCGCCTCGTAAACCGATTCGTCGTGTTCCGCGGTAATCGGCAGCAGGAAGCGCGCCGGATCGCCGGTGAGGTGCACACTGCCAAACACCACGAAACTCAGTGCGATAAGCGTTATCACACCTTCTACTATCCGCCGCCCTATGTAGCCGGTCATCGTTTCTAATCCGCCAATCTAAAAATCGATCTTGTCCAAAATTCAGGTGACACTTTGGCGCGCATAACGCGATTCCCGCGTCCATACCACCAAAAAGTCACCCGAGTAGCATCGTGCGTCCCGATCGGAACCGCGGGGTTCTCCAACCGGGACGCAATTTTTCAGTACCTGTTGAGAGGGTCGCCTATTTGAACTTCAACGTCCAGATGGCGGTTACATACGGTACCAGGCTCCACGGTTCGTAGGACTCTATCTCAGAGCCCAACCCCCACGGTACATTGGGTATGGAAGCCGTCGCCCCAGTGGGTCTCCTCCTGCAGGTAATCCCACATCGCGTTGTACGTGGCATGACGAGTCTCGGAGTTCAGGTCGGACAGACCCTCCATCACCCTGGGAGTCGTAGTGCTGGCCCAGGGTTCCAGCGCCGGGTCGTCGATTACCCGCCAGGCGATTTCCTTGTTCAGGTACGAGCCCTGGGCGATTGACGTTCCGTCGTACCGAGCTTCATTGGTACGTACCAGCACGTCGCCCGGCAGCTCACGGTTGTTCCATTGCTGGCGAGTGGACGCAGCGTCGCCGACGACTACCTTTACATCCCAACCCAGGCCGTCAACCCAGAAATCTTTGTATAGCTGGGCCAGGTCAGGCAATCCCGGAAGGTCGCCCGCTTCCCAGGTATAAACGGTGAACGACACCTGTTCGCCGTTGGCGTCGGTCCCGTCGTCGCCATTGGGGCCGCCAAATCCGATCGATTTCAGCAGCTCGTAAGACTTCTCCAGGTCGTACGGCCGTGGCGCCAGGTTTTCGCCCAGCCAACGATGGCGTTATGGGGTTACAGGGAAAGCCGTTGCGTGTACATACCGCTTCCGGCAGCGTGTAGTGTGTACAGGTCGTTGACGATGAGGTCCTTGTCGATCGCGTGTTCAGCTGCCTGACGCGCTTCCTTGCGGTAGCACCACATCGTTTCTTGCCAGCAGTCCACGTACACCACCAGGTTGTAAGACGACTCGTTTTGCCAGGCGATCGAAGCGCCGTCGATACTCTGGATATCGCCAATCATGTTGATATTGGCTTCAATCAACTGTGCATCGCCGCTACGCAGTGCAGCCAGACGGGCCGCCGGTTCGGGCACCAGTTCAATAGTTAGCGTGTCGAACGTTACTCGGCGGTCTTCATCGTACCCGTTTTCGGGAGTCCAGAAGAAATCATCGAACCGCTCGAAGGAATATTTCTGCTCCAGCACGAAATCCGTAACGCGCATGGATCCAATGCCAACGGGGTCAGTTTCATAACCCTCGAACCCGTTGGCGCCGGCCCGCTCCCGCATCGACGCTTCGGGAACGATCATGGGATTGGCGCTCTGCGAGTTTTCAGACCAGTTGAAGGCGAAGTCCAGCCGCACCGTGTTGAATGTAATCTGGACCTGATTGTCCGCCGGCCCCTTCGTTACACCATCGATTAGCGCCGTCAGAGCAACGTCGCGCGGCTCGTAATAGGTCGTCTCCAGCAACCGCAGCGCTTCTACTCCCAACCTGGAATCCAGGTTGAAGAACACGTCGTCACGGGTGATCACGTTTCCATCATGGGCTTTGATCACGCCGTCGTTGATGGTAAAGGTCCAGACCTTTCCATCTTCGCTGACCGACCATTCTGTCGCCACCGATGGAGTCAATTCGCTGCCGCCCTGACCGCCAACCAGGGGAGCCTGGAAAATTCGCTGGAATTTCAGGTCTTCGCCTTCGGTCAGGAACGGGTCCAGTTTACCGTTGCCGATGTTCGTAACCAGCAGGTTCACGTGTCCGCCGGTAATCTCATAAGCCGACGGCTCTTCGGTGGTTTCAGGAGACGCAGTCGTGTCGCCGGTGGCAGACCCATCGGTCGCTCCGGTAGAAGCCGCCGTATCCGCGCCTGCGCCGTCGGTTGCCGTGTCCGGTTCCCCAGACGAACCACAGGCCACTGCGCCGATCAGCGCGGCCGCCATACCAACTGCCAACAGCAGCCGGATATCCAATAATCGTCCTAATCGCATGATTCGAGCTACGCTCCTTTGTCACGTCGGCGCCACCGGATTCCCCGCTCGCCAACTTGGTAGGATAAGTTCGGATTAATACGCCGTAATACTGCTTTTGCCAATATTATGTTACGAATTCAGTTCACATAACGTGCGAATAATCGCAGAATCTGTGCTAGAATCGCTCTATTAAACGACCGCGTTTGAAGCAATCATGATTGGAATTACCGCAATTTTTATGCCACACATCGTGTATCAACCCCGGCGCTGGCCCGGTCCCCACAGGTTCACCAATGTTTAACTCAACCAGGCTTCCCTACATATTGGGAGCCGCAGCCGGCGGAATCGCGGCGGGCGTTTACGTTGCCTGGTCTATCTTCGCCCGTTTCAGCTTCATCGCCGCGCTCAACGACCGATCCATCGTGGAGCCGCACGTGATGATTGTGCTGGGCGCGGCGGCGGCGCTGATTGCTTTTCCACTAGGAGCAGCAGCAGGTCTCGGCGTTACCGCCATCGTAATCCGCATCGTCGATTATGCGCGGCGCTCCCGCGATTCCGCAGACGGCAATGCTCACAGCTCATGGGTAACCCGCCGCAATTCCGGCGGCGACTGATCATCCCCTGGCACGGTGGTCATAGATATTTCCGCTGGATCGGATCGCGGACCCTCATCGATTCTGCCCGTCTGCTCGCCGGTTCCAACCCCAGCCAGCCTCGAGCGCCCGGGCCGAGTGTGTGCTGTCAGGCGTGTGCCGTTATGTATAATGCCCGCAGATAACCGACGCCGGACGTGGTTGTACCGCCGGCAGCACGACAAGGAGTTCCTGCAATGCCCCAATTCCTGCGCGTTTACAGCGGCCCCGATGGTCAGTCTCATCTGGAAACTTACGAACCGCCCTTCGAGGATTTCATCGATACCGAAGGAGCCTATGGCCGTGGCACTCCCATGCAGCCGACCTCCGGAATGACCATCCGAATTTCTCCTCCGGATTATTTCCTGGGCTTCCACTGCGCTCCCCGCAAACAGTACACCGTAACCCTGGCCGGTCAGGCCGAAATCGGCCTTGGAGACGGCAGCACGTACCAGGTGGGACCCGGCGATGTACTAATGGCAGAGGACCTCACCGGCCAGGGACATACCACCCGGGTGATTGGTGACGAAGAGCGCGTGTACCTCGTGATACCGTTTGGCGACTGACCTACCTGCCCTATAAACTCCCGGCCGGTCTCTAACATGGGCGGGCATCGGCGGGCAGCCGGAACTCGCCTGACGACCATGTTCCAACCGATCATATTATTGATGCCACCACGGTAAACCCGTCCCGTAACCAGGGGAAACCAGCACACTTCTACGGTTGGTGGGTGGTGGTTGCCGCAGCAGGTCTCGGCTTCGCTGCCTTCGGCGTCGTAATTCCCGGATTTCTGGCGGTCTCAGAGTCCATCCGCGCCGATCTCCACATCACCTCTGGCCAATCGGCCTTCGTGGTTGGCGCCGCCTGGGGTGTGGGCGATATCACGTCGCTGGGCGCCGGTTGGCTTGCCGATCGTTACGGCGCCCGTCGGCTGGTGCTGGCCGGTGGCTTGATGTGCGGAACCGGATTCGCCGCCCTCGCCTTCGCCGATTCCTTTTGGATGGTGGTCTTTGCCTACTCCGGGTTGGCAGCCGTGGGTCGGGGACTGGGCATTTTCCCAACACTGATGACTGTCGTCAATCAGTGGTTTATCCGACGCAAAGCCCTTGCCATTTCAATCGTGAACACTTCGTTCGCCGCCGGCGCCGCGGCGTTGCTGCCGGCCATGAGTTGGTCGGCCACGCTGGTGGATTGGCGCGTCAGCGTGTTCGCCAGCGGAGCCCTCGTGTGCCTGCTGACCCTGCCCGCCGTTGCAATAATTCGCAGCCGGCCCGAGGACATTGGCCTTCAACCCTACGGAGCAGAACCGGATGCCGATAGCCGGCGGCTCGTCTCGCCCAACCGGATCGAAGCCGGTGGAACCTCCGGCGGCACCGCCACAAAGTATTCCGGCAGCAAGTATTCCGGCAACGAGTTTTCCGTCCGGCAGGCTCTGGTGACCATGTCGTTCTGGATGCTGGCAATCGGTGCGGTCCTCCGCACCATCACTTCCGACGTGTTGATAATCAACCAAATCCCCCTATTGATCTGGAAAGGCGTACCCGAAGGCCGCTCCGCATATTATTTGTCCCTCACCTATCTGGCCATGATTCCGTTCCGGTTCGGCATGGGCATAGCCGCTTCGCTCTTGCCGCCGCGTCTGTTGCTCGGGGGAGGAATGGTTGTAGCAATGCTTTGTACCGCCGCCGTCCTGATCTTTTCCGGCGAGCGGGTGGCCTGGTTTCTCATCCTGTCATCGGCAATCGGACAGGGAGTGAGCGCGCTGGCCTGGCTAGCGGTTGGCGAATATTTCGGACGCCGCAGCTTCGGCACGCTGGTAGGCATGATGACGGTTTGCTACGGCGTAAGCGGCCTGATCGTTCCGGCAGCCGCCGGTTCGGTATTCGACCGGTTTGACAGTTTCGTTCCGGTGCTGCTCGTAATCGGCCCGCTGCAATTCGTCGCCGCCAGCACCCTCTTCATGGCAAAACGACCCGCCGTGTCTCCAGCGTGAATCGGCGTCGGACCACCACCGCCTCCCGAAATGCCAAAGTCTGTATACTCCACTTCCGACATGGCGCCACGGAAGTTAACGATCCCAGACAGAGACAACCGGAGACGCCGCCGGCGCTGCCTGTTCGCCGCTTTGAATCGCCCTGCCTGATTGCCGTGCCCGCGCCCGCGCCACACTACGACCGCGGTGAAGCCGTCCCGGCAGCTAATCGGGGCGGCATTTATTATGGCTGGTGGGTACTTGCGGCTTCCAGCGCCCTCGGCTCATTGGGCCTTGGCGCTGTGATACCCGCTTTCCTCGTATTCGCACTCCCCATCAGCGATCAGCTAAACATCAACGAGGCCCAATTCGCCTTCGTCGTCGGAGCAGGCTGGGCCATCGGCAACGTGGCGTCGTTGGTCGCCGGTTGGCTCGCCGACCGGTATGGCGGACGCCAACTGGTGCTGGTGGGCGGTTTGCTCAGCTGCATCGGATTTACGTCGGTGGCCTTTGTAAATTCCTACTGGCAGCTGTTTCTGGCGTATTCGGTGGTCACCGCCATCGGTCGTGGCATCGGGATCGTTCCCAATCTGATGACGATCATCAACCAGTGGTTCGTGCGTCGCAAGGCTTTGGCAATGACCCTGCTGAACACTGCCTTTGCCGCCGGGGCCGCGATCATGGTGCCGTCCCTGGCTTACCTGGAAGGATGGTACGGTTGGCGCACCATCATTCTCGGGTCTGGAGCGCTTCTGCTGATACTGACAGTGGTGGCCGCCCGCGTCATCCGCAGCCGCCCGGAGGACATCGGACAACTCCCCGATGGCGACCCGCCCAGCGACACCGACCTGCCGACAATCCCTGGTCGCCGCCGGGAAACGGTGTACACCGCCCAAGACTTAACCCTCAAACGCGCCGTGTCGACCCCGGCTTTCTGGCTCCTCACCGTCGCGGTAACCCTTCGCATCGCCTGTTCCGACGCCCTGGTAATCAACCAGATTTCCCTGCTGGTGTGGAAAGGAGTGCCAAAGGACCAGGCTGCCTATTATCTTTCCCTAACCTTCCTGGCCATCATCCCGCTCCGGTTCGGCATGGGTCTCGCGGCTACTGTGATCCCTTCCCGTTGGCTGTTGGTGGCCGGGATGACCATCGGGGCCGCCGGTACGGCCACCGTGCTCTGGTGGTCCGGCAATATCGCTGCCGCCTTCTTTGTGATCTCTCTGTCGTCTACCGAAGGGATCGCCACCCTTGGATGGTTGGCCGTTGGAGAGTATTTTGGTCGCCGCAGCTTTGGCACTCTTACCGGGATTATGACCGTGAGCTTTGGGGCCGGCGCGTTGGTGGCTCCGGTTGCCGCTGGATGGGTATATGTCCAGACCGACACCTATGCGACCGTGCTGATGGTCGCGGCTCCCCTGCAACTGATATCGGGACTGTGCTATTTGCTGGCCAAACGCCCCGCTCCCATGCCGACGCCATAACCGCCGCAACACTCTGGATCCCGGCCTCCACTCCAATCGTGACCGGCGAATCCAATGCGCTGCCCGGCAACCGGTCAGCCGGAACGTGGTCGGTCAACGTAAAGGTTGGTCAACGTAAATGAAGTTCGGTATATGAAGCACGGCGACGATGACTCACGCCACCGCCGCCGTCTCCGGTATTTGTCCGCATCCTGTCCCTGCGCTGGTGGTTTTCGTCACACCGCCCGACGCAAACACAGCCAGACCTATTGCGCTAACCGCCCAACGCAGCCGTGAGAACCCACATCGGCCGTTCACCCACCGCATAGGTTTGTAGCGGCGTCAGCGCTCCCGTTCCCTGGTCAATCGCGTAGGAAGCCAACATCCCGGTCGCCGAACCCGCCGCGAACACAAACTTGCCCGCTGGATCCAGGCTGAACGCACTGGGCACCGCCTCGGTGGCAGCGTGGCCCACCGGAGTCAGCCTTCCCGTGCCGTCCACCGAGAAACTGGCAATGCTGTTGTGCCCGCGATTCGGCACGTAGAGAAAATCCCCCGACGGCGAGAACTGAATCTGCGAGCAGGTATTCCGCAGGGTAACTCCCTCTGGCAGACTGGAGATCGTTTGCATCGGCGACAGTCTGCCTTCGGCGTCGATATTGTACGCAGAGACGCTGCAACCCTGCTCGTTGGAGAAGTAAACGACGTCTACTGACGGATGGAAACAGTAGTGCCGTGGCCCAAGGTCGCCATCCTGGGGCAACGTGGGCGGGTCGTTCGCCGTCAGCTGCCCGTTGGATTCGTCGAATTTGAACTGATAGATTACGTTGGGGCCCGGATTATTCTGCGGCGGTTCCAGTACGTTATCGCTGATGCGGGCGATGTGTGGCACGTACGCGAACCGGTTGGTGCGGTCGGTCAGCATGGAATGAGCGCCGATCGCGGTGTCGACCCACGCCGTGGGAGCCCCACCCAAACTGCCGTCCTCGCCCAGTGGAAACACACCTGCGTGTCCCCCCTGATAATAGGAAGACAACAGGTAGCGGCCGGTGCGGTCTGCGGCCAAAAACGCCGGCTGCCCGCCGGGGATCACCGATCCGTTCTGCGTCAAGCCCCCGGTGTTCTGGTCAATGCTGTAACTGGATAGTTCGGGCTCCTCGCGATGACCGGCGTACAGGACCTGCCGGTTGGGACTGATCGCAAGCAACGACGGTCCGCCCGACACCGGCGTTTCCCCCGCCGCCGTCAGTTGACCCGTTCCTTCGTCCATTTGAAATATCGAAATCTTGTTGTCATCCTGGGCTGCAACATAAACGTAACTGGGCATGTGGTGACCTCCTAGTTCGCGACCGTCTGTCGCGGGCCGTTGCTCTAATTTCTTTCTCTAATTTCTTTATTGAAAAGCTAACGAATCAAATTTTCGGCCATCCTCTCCAATTCCTGACCCATCTCGGTTTCGGTGGCGCAATGGGTGGGCCAAACCGAAACCCGATCGGCGCCGGCGTTCAGGAACGCATCCACCGACTCTCTCGTGGTCTCCGGTGGTTGCCCAAACACCGATATGGTCAGCGATACCGGATCTCGCCCCCGCTCATCCGCCAGCGCGTCCAGCATTTTGCGGCTCTCTTCGATCTGACCGGGGGTTGCCCGGTTCGGCAACCAGCCGTCTCCCCAACGGGCGACCCGCTGCAATACGTTGCGCGCGTTACCGCCCAACAACACCGGTGGGTGAGGCTTTTGTACGGGCTTGGGGTAGGAGTATACCGGCGGGAAATCGTAGTAACGGCCGTGAAATTCCGCCTCATCCTTGGTCCACAGCTCTTTCAGCGCGGCCACGGCTTCCCTCGTCTGCGTCCATCGGTGATCGAAGTCGCCGCCCATCATCGTAGTTTCCTCACGATTCCAGCCGGCGCCAACCCCGAATACGAACCTGCCATTGCTGTGCAGATCCAGCACCGCAATCTCCTTGGCCAATATCAGCGGATTCCGCTCCGGCACCAGCGTAATCCCGGTCGCCAGCTTGATCTTGCTGGTAACCGCTGCCGCCATCGCCAACGAAATATACGGTTCCGAAAAATGCCGGTAAGTCCAGGGAATCTCCCCTCCCGTCGACGGAAAGGGACTCTCGCTAGTCACTGGCAAAAATCGGATGTTCGTGGTACCATATCGACTCGAACCCCAGGTCTTCCGCTTTTTTGGCAATGAAAGCGGGATTTATCGTATAAGCCGGCAACGGCACTATTATTCCAACAGACATCCTTCCCTCCATACGTTCGGCTGGATACGGTTCGCCCTGTGGGAATTTTCCCAATGTGTCGCCAGGCTCCGAATCATGCTCAAATTAGCACAGCGGCACTCGGATAACAAACACGCTGAATCCCGAACCACTTCCGGAGCGAACACCGCGCATCAACGCCCCGGACGCTTTGCCGATTGACGACATTCGACGCGCCCGCCAACCGCAAAGGGTTGAGTTGGCGCACGCTTAATGCTAATATTCGCACCAATTAATGGTGTGCTTAGATAGAGGAGGTTTCTCTATGGCTGACCATGGTATTGCTTTGATGGCCCACCTGATGCGACGCGCAGGTTTTGGGGCTCAGTATCATGAATTGGAAACGCTGGCGGCCCAGGGATATGAAGCAACGGTAGAAGCTCTGCTAAATCCCGAGGACCAGCCCAGCGGCCTGGACCTGGATCTGGCAGAACGCTACTTCATTGAGTGGAGCCATTTCACTCGTGGCGTACCAGAGTACTGGGCTTGGCGAATGATCAACTCCAAACGCCAGTTGGAAGAGAAAATGGTGCTGTTCTGGCACGGCGTTTTGTGTACTGCGACAGCAAAACCCAGAGCTACCCCACCTCGTACGACGAACTGGAAATGTTCCGCCGTTTGGGAATGGGCAGCTTCAAGGACCTGCTTCTGGAAATCTCCCGCGACCCGGCGATGGTGTTCTATTTGGACAACTGCCTTAGCCACAAGGGCGCGATCAACGAGAACTACGGGCGTGAGCTCCTCGAGTTATTCTCGATGGGCGTCGGTATGGACGGCCAGTTCAACTACACCGAAGACGACGTAAAAGAGTGCGCCCGGGCTTTCACCGGCTGGACTCTGGCCAACAACGTGCCGGGCCAACCCTACGGCCGGTACTCGGCGAAATTCCTCTTCAATCCGGCCGACCACGACGGCGGCGAAAAAACTTTCCTGGGCGAAACCGGGCGCTTCAATGGCGACGATATCGTCGAAATCATTGCGAAGCAGCCGGCCACCGCCAGGTTCGTGTCTCGTCATCTCTACAGCAACTTCGTGGCCGACGAGGCCCAGATTCCGGCCTGGATGGACACTCCTCCCCAGGATCCGGAAACCATTCAGATGCTCGAGGACGAATACTATCGCTCCGATTACAACATCGGTTCCATGCTTCGGGTCCTGTTCCACTCCGATGCGTTCAAAAAACGCTCGGTTCGCCAAGGTCAAGAGCCCGGTCGAAACCGTCATGGGCACCATGCGCCTCATCGGCGACTGGACCAGCCCCAAACCCGGCTTCGAATTCATCTTCGACGAAATGAAGTACATGGGTCAGGAATTGTTCAACCCGCCGTCCGTGGAGGGTTGGCACACCGGCAAGGAATGGATCGACGGCGGAACCCTGGTGCATCGCATCAACTTCACCGCCGATTTCGTTGGTGACGTCAACTATCCCGGCGTCCGGCAGATTGTCGACCGTTTGGCCGCTGCCGGCCCTACCATCTCCGCAGAGCGATTGGTGGATGGCTGCCTGGAAATGCTCGGACACTATGAGCTTCCCGGCGAAACACGCGAAATGCTCACCACATTGGCGGGTAAGGGCGGCGCATTGCACACCGACACTGACGCGTTCCTGGAACGGGTTAGCGAGACCCTGCAAATGATTGTCGCCACCAAAGAGTATCTCTACGGTTAATAAAAACGGCGGGCGGTTCCTGTGGCCCGGCCCGTCGACTCAACTACAGACCGCACCTCGGGGAGGAGAACATCGTGACCGCTAACAAGAAAGACCCCGTCCTGGTTGTTTTGCAAATGTCGGGAGCGTTTGACGCTCTCAACACCTTCATTCCCTACAACGATCCGTTGTACCAGGACTACCGCCCACACCTGCGCGTGGAACCCGAACACGTCCTGGCCGTTAACGACCAGGTGGGTTTCACCCGGCAATGGCGCCCATCAAGGACCTGTACGACGACGGCAAGGTGGCGGTGATTCAGGGCATCGGTTATCCCAATCCCATTCGCTCCCACTTCCGGTCCATGGACATTTGGCACACTGCCGAACCCGCCAAGATGGGAACCGAAGGCTGGTTGGGTAAGACCGTCGGCGACCTCGACCCCAACAAAGAAAACATCCTTACCGCCGTCAACTTCGGTCGCGGCCTCCCCCGCGCCCTCGCGTCTCCCGGCGTGTCAGTCGCCTCGGTGGGCAGCCTTGAAACCTACGGCGTGCTGACCTCCATCGACAGCGAGGAAAAAGCGGTCGGAAGCCCTGGAAATCTTCGGGCGCATGTATTCCCCCATGATCGGCAGCGGCCCGGTCAACGATTACCTGTCCCAAACCGGACTGGACGCCTTGAGAGGCGCTGACATCCTGCGGACGGCGCCGGAGAAGTATTCGTCCAGCATCGAGTACAACGGCGACTACTTCTCGCAGTGGGTCAAGAACGTAGCCCAGGTTCACCTGGCCGACTTCGGCACGCGGGTTTTGTACACCGGTTTCAACCCCGGCGCTTTCGATACCCACGCCAACCAGCCGGCAGCGTTCCACCGGCTGTGGTCCGACGTATCCAACGCTGTTAGCGACTTCTACTACGACCTCAAAGAACACAACAGTGGCGAAGAAGTCGTCATGTTACTGTTCACCGAATTTGGTCGCCGCGCCAAGGAGAACGGCTCCGGAACCGACCACGGTTCTGGCAGCGTAGCCTTCGTAATCGGCGATGGCGTAAAGGGCGGGCTCTTCGGCGAGTATCCATCGCTCGAGCCGGACAAGCTGGATGAAGGCGACCTGAGGTGGAACAACGACTTCCGCAACACCTATGCCACCATCCTCGACAAGTGGATGGGTGTGGACTCCCAGGAAGTTCTGGGCGCCAACTACGAGCACTTTCGACTTCATCAGGTAACAGACGCCCAATTAACATCACTCCATAGACCAGCATCCGCGCCCGTCCATCCGGCGGGCTCGGTCAGTAAGGTGAGGCAATATGGTTACGGAAATTGCTCCGGTAACATTTCAATACAGCCATACCATCGGGCGGCAGGAATCCCGGGGCGGCAACGGGTTCTTTAACCCGGTGGCCGTGACCCGTGGCCCTGGCGACCGCATCTACGTGCTCAGCCGCGGCACCGAAACTCCGGCGTTCTTCCCCTGCAAACGGGTTACCATCTGCTCCATTGACGAGGAATACATCGGGGAGTTCGGCGAAAAGGTAGGCCCGGAAGACGCCGTACCCACCGCCCATGACGGCGCCTTTTTCTGGCCCACCTCGGTCACCCTCGACAGCCAGGGCAACGCTTACGTCGCCGACGAATGGCTGAACCGGATTTCCATTTTCACCCAGGACGGCGACTGGATCGGCAAGTGGGGCGTCCCGGGCGAAGGCGACGGAGAGATCAACCGTCCTTCCGGCCTGGCCTTCGACAAGGACGACAACCTCTATATGGTTGATTCCTGCAACCACCGCATCCAGGTGTTCACAAAAGACGGTGAGTTCCTGTTCAAGTGGGGCCGGCAGGGAACCGCAGCCGGCGAGTTCAACTTCCCCTGGGGTATCGAAATCGACCAGCACGGCGACGTTTTCGTAGCTGACTGGCGAAACGACCGCATTCAGAAATTCACCGCCGACGGCAGGTTCCTCATGGAGTTCGGAAGCACCGGCCAGGACGACGGTGAGTTCAATCGGCCCACCGATGTTGCCGTGGACAACGAAGGCACCATCTACGTCACCGATTACAAAAACGACCGTGTGCAGATTTTCGACGGTGACGGAAAATTCGTTACCAAGCTGCTGGGGCAGGCCACGCTCTCCAAGTGGGGCCGCGAGCGCGTCGATCTGGATCCGGTTATCCTGCGTGGGCGCGAGAAGGCTCAGCACCTCCAGGACCGCGAAGGCCCGTTCCAGGGACCCATTGGCGTAGACGTCGACGACGATGGCCGCGTGTTCGTTGTCGAAACCGCCCGCCACCGATTGCAGGTCTTCACAAAACAGTCAGCCCTCTTCGCAGGTGACCCTCTGTAGTCGATTCAACCCGCCGACCCGAGCGTCGGTTACCATCGTATCGGTCAAGAATAAACCTCCGTTGTGGTGACACAACGGAGGTTTGTCTTATGCGGCGCACCCCGCATGAATCACGCCAGGGCCACTATCCTTCAGCGATCCAATTGGCCACGCGCTCGCCGATCATAATCGTGGTGCAGTTGGTGTTGGCCCTGATCACGTCCGGCATCACCGATGCGTCCGCGACCCGCAGTCCTTCGATACCATGAACCCGGCAGCGCTGGTCCACCACCGCCGTGGGGTCGCTGGCCGGACCCATTTTGCAGGTACCCGAGAGGTGCTGCCCGATGCACACCTCTCGCAACATCCAGTCATCCAGCGCATCGTCGGAAACCAGGTCAGCTTCGGCAGGCGAAATAAGGCCGTCGTAGATGTCCTTGAAGGCATCATGCTCCAGCATCTTCAGGACTATTCGCACCGATTCTCGCATCCGTTCCCGATCCCACGGCGCTTCCAGATACCGGCAGTCAATGTGGGGCTGCACGTCAGGGTCGGTCGATTGCAGAGTAAGCTCACCGGCGCTTTGGGCCAGTTCCATCATGCAGGTCATGCGAATTCCCTCCTCAGCGAAGGGATCACCGCCCAGTGGCGTGGAGAACGAAGACGGGAATATCTGCATGTCGTTGCGCGCGTCCGACCCGTTTGCCGTATAACGCAGCACCGTCTGAATCCTGGGCGCCGCCGGGTCCAGCGGAAAATCATCCTTCACGCGCACCCTGACCGGCACCAGCGGATGGTCCCTCAGATTCTTCCCAACGCCCGGCGCGTCCTTCACCACCCTGATACCCAAACGTCCCAACTGTTCTGCCGGCCCAATACCCGACAGCATCAACAGTTGTGGCGACGCAATCGCCCCGCTGCACAGCACAATCTGGTCCGCTTCCAGCTGGAACGTATCGCGCCGCTCTCAACCTCCACCCCGGTGGCTCTCGTGCCGTCGAACAATATGCGCCGCGCCCGCACGTTGGCCCTGATAGTCAGATTCAACCGGTGCCGGTTTGGGTTCACGTAGGTCAGCGCCGTGCTCATCCGCACACCGTTGGGGTTGTTCATCGGAAACGGCCCAACCCCGGTGGAATCAGGATGGTTATGGTCATAAACCTCGGCGTATCCACCGTCCAGGCACGCCTCATGAAACGCCTCCTGAAGCGGTAGCCAGGCTTCCCGTTTGTGACGGCGCACTGGAATCGGGCCGTCGAACCCGTGAAAGTCATCCCTGATGTCCGTGTCCGTCTCCAGTTTGCGGAAGAACGGCAGCACGTTGATGTAACTCCACTCGTCGTTGCCCCAGGATGCCCACCGATCGTAGTCTTCCGGAACCCCGCGCAGAAAAACCTGGCCGTTGATGGCGCTGGTTCCGCCCACCACCCGGCCCCTGGGAACCGCCACCGGTTCCGCCTGACGCGGCGTGCCGGTGCCCACGAACGACCAGTTGTGGGGCGCGCCCATCTCAGACGCCGTTGGCGCGTAACCGAACTTGAGGTCGTCGGGCAATTGCTCTAGGTCGGGGTAATCCGGTCCGGCCTCCAGCAATAGCACCGACCGGTTGGGGTCCTCGGATAATCGGGTAGCCATGGTGCCGCCGGCAGAACCCGCCCCGATGACAATCACATCGTACTTCATAGCGTCTCCCCTCTATGAATGCGCGTTTGTGCCCGTATCACGGTGATCACGGCAGCGCCTGCAGGAAATCATCCACCGACATCACCTGACCCTGTCGGGGATACACCTTCTCCGTCAGCACCCGGTGCACCTCGGCATCTCCGTCGGAGCAGGCGTCAGATAACACGATGAAGCTGTAGTTAACGTCCACGGCCCACCGAACCCCCGACAGTACGCAACCACTGGTGGCAACACCCATGATCACCAGCGTATCCCGCCCCATATCGCGCAGGGTCACATCCAGCGCCGTGGTCGAGAATGGGCCAGGCCGTACCTTGGTGATAACCAGCTCCCCTTCCGCCGGCGTAACTCCCGGGTGCAGCTCGATGTCGGGCGCGTAGTCGGCGAAGGGTCCCCCGCGATGCACCACGTATATCACCGGAATTCCCGCACTACGAGCGCCGCTCAGCGCCCTGGCTGCATTCTCCACCACCGCGGCCGGTTCGCTGGCCACGTTGGCGATAATCCGTTGCTGGAAGTCCATGATCAATACTGCCGTACGGCTGGCATCAATCTGCGTAGCCTGCTGCGTCATAAATGTCCTCCCGTTGTTTCGTTTTTGGATGCGATTGCCCGAATCCGGCGCGTGTCGCCTCTCTCACCATCGGGTCGGGGACTCGATCAATCTGGCAAATCCACCATCTGCCAAACCGGTAGCCCGGTTCTGGGCGCATTATACCCCAGGCCAACGCCGGTATAGACAGAATTGTGGCAACCGGCAATCCCGAACGACGGACATGAAAAAACGCCCTGTGGAAGGGCGTTTCATACCATCATCAACGCAAATTTTGGCTCCCCCGGTAGGATTCGAACCTACGACCTAGCGGTTAACAGCCGCCCGCTCTACCGCTGAGCTACAGGGGATTGATGCAGTTCTTCGGCGCAGCGGACCGCCGACAGTGATTCGATTTTAGCACCGGTTGGCGCTAGCAGCAAGACGCCTGCCGCAGTTCCAACGAATCACCCCCGGCCGGTACCGGCCGGGGGTGGAACCATCCTGGGCAACGCCCTTTGAGTACCTTAGGCTGCGTCCTTCACGGCGTGATCCGTAACGGTGTTATCCACAATGGACAACCTCCGGGTCTGCGCCGCCTCGGCGACCGGCAATGCCACCGTCAGCACGCCGTTGTCCAGGGCCACCGCCGCCTGATCCAGATCGAGGTCGCTGGGCAGGCGCAATGCTCGCCGGAAGCTGCCGGAGCGCCTCTCCCGCATCAGGTACTCGTCTGACTGATGATCCACCTCGGTTTGCCGGGTGGCTTTCACCGACAGCACTCGGTCCGGGCTGATGGTAACGTCCACGTCGTCCGCCGTGAAGCCCGGCAGTGACGCCTCAACCGTTAACTGCTTGTCGCTGCGGTGCACGTCCATCGGTATCGACCAGGCCTCCACCGATGTTTCGGCTTCCGGCTCGAAAGGGCCTCCCCAGACTCGCCCGCCAAAAATCGGAGTGTGCATCATGCGCCGTAGTTGGTGCATTTCCCGAAACGGATCGAATCGCTGCGTACTCGTCATGGTAATCCTCCACTTGTCGGCCATCGGGCCGTGGTCTCAACGGAAGCCTGCGCAACCGTCAGGATTCACTATAGTTAGTTGATAGGCTCTTGTCAAGTATCTGCTTGATATACACGCAACGAATTGACAAAGTCCGACTACCAATATAGTATCAATTTACCACTATTTTGCTATGCAATGGTGCTGCAATGCCAAACCTGTACGAAACTTTGGGACTGAAACGCTCCGCCGACGAAAAGGAAATTCGCCAGGCGTATCGGCGGCTGGCTCGCCAGCATCACCCCGACGTGAACCCGGGCGACCCCGACGCCGCCGAGCGCTTCAAGTCCATCAACGCGGCTTACGAAGTCTTGTCCGATTCGGATAAGCGCGCCAAGTACGACCGATACGGCGACCAATGGGAACACGCCGAACAATTCGAACAGCGGCGCGGCGCCGGTCGAGATTTCAGCCAGTCCTTCCGATCCGGAGATTTCGGCCGCGGGCGCAGGGGCTCGTTTACCTTCTCCACCGGCGGCGGTTCTCTTGACGACCTTTTGGGTAGTTTCGGCAGGGGCGGCGCACCTTTTCGCTCCCCGCCCACCGACGTACCGGTTGACATCACGCTGGAGGAAGCCGACCACGGCGCCACCCGCCTCGTCAGCCTCCCCGATGGACGCCGCCTGGAGGTAACCATTCCGCCCGGAATCTCCGACGGCGGGCGGGTGCATATCGGCGCCGGGAATCCTTCCGGCAGCGAATTCAACCTCCTGGTTTCCGTGCTGCCTCACCATCGTTTCGAACGCGATGGTCCCGACCTCTACACCTCCGTTGACGTTCCCCTGGCCGACGCTATCCTCGGCGGTTCAACCAAGGTCACCACCCTTCGCGGGCAGATCGAGTTGACCCTGCCACCCGAAACCCAGAACGGTCGACGTTTTCGCCTCGCCGGCCAGGGCCTGTCCCAGCTCCGCAATCCCGATCGTCGCGGAAATCTATTTGCGACCATCAACGTAGTCCTGCCGACCGGTCTCTCAGAGGAACAAAGGCAGCTGTTCGAACAGTTCCGCGAGTCCGTTTCGGCCAATCACTCCTCGGATAACGACTGGGACAACGACTGCTAAGGAAGCCCCGATATGACGCTACAAAACAGTTTCACCACCGAACCGTGTTTCGTTATCAGCGTAGCCGCCCGCATGGTGGGACTGCACGCCCAAACCTTGCGGTACTACGAACGCGTGGGGTTGGTGTTGCCATCCCGATCATCAGGACGCCAACGTCTGTACTCCATGGAAGACATAGACCGACTGCGCCGTATCAAATCGTTCACCGACGAAATGGGGGTTAACCTCGCCGGCGCTGAGGTCGCATTGAAACTTATCGACCGTATAAACGAATTGGAAGCTCAGGTGGAAGCCCTGTCCAGCGAATTGAAACGGATACGGACCAACAACCGGTCCGGCGTCGCGGGCAGGCCCGGAAATCCGGCGCGGAGGTGATTGAACATGGTTATTAGCGCGGAACAATTTACTCGCCAGGCACAGGAAGCCCTGCAGCGTTCCCAGGAACTGGTAAGCAACTACCAGCACAATCAGTGGGACGTCGAGCACGTGCTGCTGGCCCTGATCGCTTTGGAAGACGGCTTGCCGGAAAAAATCCTTCGTGACCTCGGTGTGGACCCCGAGGTCCTGAAAACACGCTTGCATCAGATTCTGGAAGCAGCTCCCAAAGTGGTCTCAGATACCCCACAGATATTCATTACCCCCAGGTTGCAACGCCTGTTGCAGACGGCCCGCGAGGAATCCCAACGCCTCGCAGACGAGTTCATCAGCGTCGAACACCTGCTGGTTGCTGCCGCACGCGAAAGCTCCGGCGATTCAGCCCGCCTGTTCCAGGAATTTGGCATCAATCAGGAGTTGGTGTACCAGGCCATGCAAAAATTGCGTGGCGGCGCCCATCGCGTGGACGACCCCAACGCCGAGCAGCGTTACCGCTCGCTGGAAAAATACAGCGTCGACCTTACGGAACTGGCCCGCATCGGCAAACTCGATCCAGTGGTCGGTCGCGACAACGAAATTCGCCAGGTAATGCAAACCCTCACCCGCCGCACCAAGAACAACCCGGTGCTCATCGGTGAAGCCGGCGTCGGCAAAACCGCCATCGCCGAGGGACTCGCCATCAAGATTCTGGACGACGACGTTCCCGATTCCCTGCGCAACCGCCGCGTCATGGCTCTGGACATGGGCCGTCTCGTTGCCGGCGCCAAATTCCGCGGCGAGTTTGAAGAACGCCTCAAGTCAGTCATCGACGAAGTCGAATCAGCCAAGGGCGAGATCATCATCTTCCTGGATGAGATGCACACCCTCGTGGGCGCCGGCGCCGGGGAAGGTGGCCTGGATGCCAGCAACATGCTCAAACCGCCTCTGGCTCGCGGTGAATTCCAGGCCATTGGCGCCACCACCCTCGACGAATATCGCAAGCACATCGAACGCGACCCGGCTCTCGAACGTCGCTTCCACCCCATTTATGTCGATGAGCCCACCGCAGAACAGACCCTTACCATCCTGCAGGCGCTCAAACCTCGCTACGAGGCACACCACAAGGTAACCATCAGCGATGATGCCCTTGAGGCCGCCGTCCGCCTGAGCAGCCGGTACATTACCGAGCGCCGCCTTCCCGACAAGGCTATCGACTTCATCGACGAAGCTGCCAGCAAAGTCCGTATTGATGCCGGCACTCTGCCGCCCAGGGTGCAGGATCTTGAGACCGAACGCCGACGCCTCCAGGACCTCGAAGAACGCGCCAACCAAATGAGCGATTACGAGCGCGCCGCCAGCTACCGCACCGAACGTATCCGCATCGAGTCCGACCTCACCACCGAGCGCGAGTCTATTGAACACACTACTGGACCCGACCTTGTGGTGAACGAGAAGGACATTGCCGAGCTGGTTTCGAACTGGACCGGTATTCCCGTCGGCCGTCTGTTGGAAGGCGAGGCGGAGCGCCTCCTTCACATGGAGGACGACCTGCACCACCGCGTGATTGGCCAGGATGAAGCCATCAGGGCAGTGTCCGATACCATCCGCCGCGCCCGGTCGGGGCTCAACGACCCCAAGCGTCCCTTCGGCAACTTCATCTTCCTCGGACCCACCGGCGTGGGAAAAACCGAACTGTGCCGGGCGTTGGCCGAGTTCCTCTTCGATGACGAAGAGAGCATGATTCGCCTGGACATGTCCGAATACGGTGAACGCCATACGGTTTCCCGTCTCATCGGCGCGCCTCCGGGTTACGTCGGCTACGACGACGCCGGCCAGCTCACCGAGGCCGTCCGGCGCCGCCCCCATCGGGTCATCCTCTTCGACGAAATCGAAAAGGCTCACCCCGATGTTTTCAACCTCCTGTTGCAAATCCTCGAAGATGGACGCCTCACTGACGGCCACGGCCGCACGGTAGACTTCCGCAACACCGTCGTCATTATGACCAGCAACCTGGGAACCGGCGATTTGTCGCAACGTCCTTTCGGCTTCAACCCCGGTTCCGACAACGCGCCGGAAACCGGGCGGGTCTCAAGTGAACTATCCCGTTCCGTACATGACGCATTGCGTCGAACCTTCCGTCCCGAACTCCTCAACCGCATTGACGAGATTATCGTGTTCCATCCGCTCAGCCGGTCGCAGATCGGACAGATCGTCGGCCTGATGATTGCCGAGGTGCAGGAGCGACTCACCGAGCGCGACATCACCTGTGAACTCACCGAAGCCGGTTGCAACTGGTTGGTAAACGAAGGCTTTGACGTGACCTACGGCGCACGGCCCCTGCGCCGCGCCATCCAGCGCCACGTGGAGAATCAGCTCTCTCGCGGGGTGCTGTCCGGCGATTTCAAAGCCGGCGACCACATCGTTATCGATTTGAACCCGGCCGGCGACGGTCTGGACCTCAAAGCAGGAATGTTGGCCCCCGCCGAACCTTCACCGGTGGCCGCACTCTGATTCAGAGTTTCTCCGCACAGTGACAGGGGGTGTTCCCCATACGGAACACTCCCTTATGCGTGGCGAATTTCCGGCACGTTCGATTGATCGCAACGCCTAATTCAGCATCAACACGGCGGCCGACGTCCCGATCCAGGCAGCGATGGCAACCAGCATGGGAACATCGCGCATGATCAGCAGCTCGGGCGACTCCGCGTCCGCGCTATGATTCAACAGGTACAGGTACCTGAATAGCCCGAGAATCACCATCGGAACCGTCAACAGCATCGTGTGATTGACGGGCAGGTTGGGAGCCTCCACCGTGTATAGGGCATAGCTAACCAGGGCCGCGGTGGCGGAGAGCGTCAGTAGTTGCCCTCCCAGGGGCGGCCCGTAATGTTGCAGCGTCGGTCGCTGTGCCCCGGAGTCTTCCCCCGACAGTCTCGCTTCGGCATAACGGCGCCCGATCACTATGAACAGCGCTCCGGATGCCGTTACGGCGTACAGCCAGGGAGACGGCGTGGCCCCCACCGCGATTGCGCCCGCTGCGGCCCGCAGAACATATCCGGTCGCTACCAGAACCACGTCCACCAGCGCGATGCGCTTCAACCTCATCGAGTAGGCCACGTTGATGGCCAGGTAAATCGCTCCCACGACCCACACCCCCAGCAACGATAAAACCAGCCGCTCCAGACCAACCATGATCCCCGCCGCCATGAGTATCAGCAGCGCGGCCCCTGCCACCGCCCAAACAGGTGTAACCGCGCCGGATGCGATCGGCCGGTTCCGCTTGGCAGGATGCTGCCGATCCGCCGGCCGGTCGGCCAGATCATTGATTATGTAAACAGCCGAGGACAGCGCGCAAAACCCGGCGAACAGGATCAGCAACGCGACAATGTGCGGCCGCAGCGTGGACAGATCCTCCGGCGACCACACCAGGTCGACAGCAAACAGCAGCGGCAAAAACACCAGCAGGTTCTTCACCCACTGGCGCGGCCGGATGGTTGCCAGCAACCCGTTCAGCAGCGTCATCAGTCCGTCACCAGGGGTTCGCCGGAACCCGCGATCCCAGTGCGTTTCGCCGGTTCGTTCGCGATAACCACAACCAAGCCAGCAAGCCAATCAGCACCGCCAGCCACAGCGTAGCCAGCCGAGTCAGCAAGGTTGCCGTGGAAGCAGCAGCCACCGTCAAGCCGGCCTGGCGCAACAGGGCCACCATGCTGCCCTCGAAACCGATCAGCCCACCGGGCAATATTGTAACCGCTCCCACCAGGGCCGCCGCCGCTGATATCGGCAGCGCCACCGTGATCGGAACGTACTCACCCAGGCCGATGATGATCAGCCACAGTGCAATTCCCTCCGACGCCCACGCCAGCACTCCCAGCGAAACCGCCATCGCCAGCATGCCCGGCGACATCAGCCGGCGCAGTCCGTCGTGAGAGTGCGCCAACGGCTCGCGCCACCGCCGTAGAACGGGAAGTCCCAGCGCCGCTGCCCCGTAACGCGATGCCGCCAGCCATCCCGCTCCGATGCCCAATGCCAGAACGACCCCAATGGCAACTGAAACTGCCAACGGCAGCAGCGCGAGGCCCACCAGCCCCAGCATCGAGATGGAGATTACGTCAGTAAGACGCTCCATCACCACCGCCGGCGCAGACCTGGCAATGGGCGCCCCCGCCCGCTCGCTCAACCACACGCACTTGAGCAGTTCACCAACCTTGCCCGGAGTGACTGACAACGCCAGTCCTGCTGCGAATACCGGTATGCTATCCCGGGGAGCCACCCGAATCCCCAGCGCACCGAGATACAACATCCAGCGCGCGTACCGCAGAGCGTAATTCAGTACGGCCAGACCCATCGCCGCCAGTAACCATCCCGGCGGAAATCGAGCCAGCAGCGCTCCAACTTGTCGAACGTCTCCGTACCCCAGCAATCCGGCGAACACCAACGCCGTAACCAACCCCAAAAGCAGCCACCGACGCTTATTCACCGCCGACGTGATCCTCGGCAACCTCGCCACGCGCCGGCATGTGCAGAATCTGGGCCGCCAGATATCCAGCGCCAAACCCGTTGTCTATGTTGACCACCGCCACTCCCGGCGCGCAGGCGTTCATCATGCCCAGCAGCGCCGCGATGCCATCGAAGCTGGCCCCGTACCCAATGCTCGTAGGAACCGCGATCACCGGCGCCGACACCAATCCGGAAACAACGCTTGCCAGCGCGCCCTCCATCCCGGCTGCCACCACAATGACCCGCGCCTCCTCCAGCCGATCCCTCTGGTCCAGCAAACGATGCAACCCAGCAACGCCCACATCGTTGATGCGTGTCACGTCACATCCCATCAACGTGGCCGTTAGCGCGGCTTCCTCGGCCACCGGTGCATCAGCCGTGCCGGCGGTCATCACCAGCGCCCCTGCCATCTTTGCGGCCCCACCCGATCCATCCGGCGCCACGATGCATCGAGCCTCCCGGTGAAACTCCGCTGCGGGCAACAATTGCTTGACGGCTTCAAACGCCCTGACTGATGCCCGCGTAACCAACACGGGAAAACCACGCCCGGCCATCGCGTGGACAATACCGGCAATCTGTTCGGGTGTTTTCCCTTCGCCGAACACCACCTCCGGCCATCCCGTGCGAATCGGACGGTGGTGGTCCAACCGTGCGTATCCTAAATCCTGGTACGGCAGGTCTCGCAATTCGCCGGCAGCGTCCGAAACAGACACGTCGCCGCTTTGAACCCTTTCCAAAAGACTGAACAGCGCTGCCGAGTCCACGATTCAGCCAGCCGTCTCACCGGCTAACCGGGCCGCCTCCAGCTTTCGCAACTGGTACAGCGCCCCAAGCCCGCACATGCTCGCCGCGTAACTCGCTGCCACACCAACACCGATCCACATCAGCGCCCCGATGTGGTTGGGCATGTTGATGGTCAACATCACGATCAGGGCAGCCGTCACCAGGATTGCCGCCGCAGCCGCCCCCACCAGTGCGCCGAATTTCACCGCCACCACCATCGAAGTTGCGTCGTCTGCCGGTACCGACCGTATCCCGAAGTATCCGGCGATGAATGGGCCAAAGGCCTGGATCAACGGCAGCACGCCGCAGCCCGCCATAATGGCTAGTGCGATAAAAAGTCCTCTGGTCATGGCGCCGTGTTATCCGTACTGATCGACTGGTTGGTTCCGTGTTTGGCCAACCAGTATATCCACAAGCCGACAAATATTGCACCGTAGCCACCAATTCCCATACGTCTTAACCGCGTCAGCATCGACCCCCCGCGTATTGATGTCGGACGACGGCCCCCGAGTCTCGCCAGGTATGGGCCGGCCGGTTTGCGGCCGTCTGTATAATGCACCGCATCCACGCCAGCGCGTTGGCCAACGAGGAACAGATGAGCCAGGAAGAAACTACTCCCGGTCCGGATGGGCCCTTCGCCGATCTTCTGGGCATACGTCCCGGCGTATCGGAAGACGGCGTGGGCACCGCCTTCATGACAATAGCTGACAAACACCGTCAGCGGGCCGGTGTGGTGCAGGGCGGATTGCTGGTCGCCCTCGCCGACTATGCTTTTTTTCGTGCCTGCCGTTCGGTCCTGAAAGAAGGTGAACATGCCGTCACCATCGAGCTCAAACTGAACTTCATCGCCCCGGCCAAAGACGGGACGCTGACCGCCCGAAGTAGCATCAAAAGCAGGGGCGGAAGAATCATCGTGGGCGATATGGAGATATTCGGCGCGGAAGGGCAGCTGATTGCCACCGGAATCGGTACATACATGACGGTTTACGACCGACGCGGCGCTAAATCGACGGAATCAACCCAATAGCCGCCCCGCCATCAGCGCAATGCCGTCAGGGCATTTGGCATTACGGCTGCAATGTGGGTATAATAACAACAGATACGGAGGTGTCGGTTTGCGCATACCCATGAAAGTCGACTATGGCGTCCGCGCATTGGTTGAGTTAGCCATGCGCTACGGAGGTGGTCCCGTGCAGACGGCAACCATCGCCTACCGGCAGGGTATTCCCGAGCCCTACCTCGAACGCCTCATGTCCACCCTGAACAAAAGCGGTTTCGTCCACAGCCGTCGGGGGCCGCAGGGAGGACACCTGCTCGCCCGCACCCCGGCCGATGTAAACCTCTACGACATCATGCAGGAACTCGACGGCAACGCATCGCCCCTCGACTGCCTTACCATCCCCACCGACTGTATGTTCGCCGATTCGTGCGCCCAGAAAGAAATCTGGCAAACGGTGGAAGATTCAATTCAGCAGGTGCTGGAAGCCACTACCCTGGAACACCTGGCAACGCGGCAAAGCGCCCTCATCAGCGCCGCCGATCATCAGGCAGACGCCCAGGAGCGGATGTTGCATCCCATTCCCATTGGCCGGCCTTCCTGAACCGAGCCGGCGCCGTTTCAATCTGCGTGGCGCTCCCGCGCTAAATCCGCGCTTCCCCAGCCAAGCCGATTCGTGCGCCCAGGAAGAAATCTGGCAAACGGTGGAAGATTCAATTCAGCAGGTGCTGGAAGCCACTACCCTGGAACACCTGGCAACGCGGCAAAGCGCCCTCATCAGCGCCGCCGATCATCAGGCAGACGCCCAGGAGCGGATGTTGCATCCCATTCCCATTGGCCGGCCTTCCTGAACCGAGCCGGTTCCATTTCAACCTGCGTGGCGCTCCCGCGCTAAATCCGCGCTTCCCCAGCCAACACGACTAATAATCGTGATTGCGACCGCAATCAAGCCAAGTTCCGTGAGCACGATGGCGACTTATTGTGTCAATGCGTTGCGATGCCGGATTGCAGGAACCGAAATGGGCTATTGACAACGAACATGTTAAAACGACGCGTCGCGAATATGCTGAATGGACCTATAAGCTCTATTTTTCTTATAGGGGCACATGATACGGGTCTGACAACGGAGGAATTGGCGAAACCATATCGCTCTTTTCATCTGGCAACCCAAAGCGCAAGTTTCATAGAACGTCCGAATCCCGACCGATTGATAATGATCAACCGTGCTAAACGGGTCGCCGCCAATCTTGAAGAATACGCAAAACGGTTGCTCAATTGTGATGCGACATCTTGGTGGTTCGACCCGATTGATCTTGATAATCAGATCTGGGTATCGCATTCAAAAACCATACCTACACCTGATACGTGGGGGTTATTCGATGATGAACGCGGTGGTGGGCAAACACCTGCTCGTGCTTACGGCACTTCTACATATCGAGAGCAAACCACGTCGGAAATGACCGATTTGGATTACATGTGGGGAGTAACACCGCGATACCCGTTGAGCTGTTGGCGACTGAAAATTGATTCACAAGCAAAGGTCTATGAAATTGATGGCCCGGAGTCATGGCATAGCCTGTGCGCTCGATACCCTGCTTCTTGGCGCATAGAGGACAGAGAGGATCGTCACATTTTGGTTCCCGATTGGCGCGCCGTGTCCCAAGATTGGGATGGTGTCCATCTGAGCTTCGGGGGATGGATCACGACCGAACAAATCAGGTATCGGTCCTCAGCCGGGGAATCAATGATGGAGTTTTGGAATTCTGAGAAAACGGTTTGGTTGTCGTCGGTTATGGTTGATGCGGAAGAGATGCCGGCGCATTACAGGGATCGAGATCAGATTGAGTTTGAATTCTCTTCGTTACGATAATAAAAATTCTGGAATGCGAACTTGACTGGAATTGCACGGGATATGAGCATGCGCAGGATGATAAAGCACGATGGAGACGATAATTTGGATGTCGATGGTTGGGGTGTATTTGTTGGTGGCCTTGTGTGTCGTAGTTCTGATGCTGATGCGGAAGTCCAATGGTCAGAGGCGGGTACGTAAGCTTAGCCTCTCTCCTCTGAAAATATCCCTGTTCATCCTAATTGGTCTGACTGCTACTGGTATGATTTTTATGTCGGTCGTCGTCGGGGTGATGATAGTTGATTGGCCAGACGGTGAGCCGTCGTCGATAGTGATCGAGATTCCAGGGGCAGCGGGTGAGCCGTCGTGGAGAGTGGACGATATCCCCGAGCAAGTGGTCCGTGACCTCCTCGACGAGAATGGCTATATAGTAAGCCCAAACCAGTGCACCGCCAAAATAACGGAAGAGCATGGAGGTGGGTTTGGCGGTTACTACTGCGGTGACACTGACCGAGCTGTGGCTTACGCCTACCCGTTCGGAAGCCGAAGACTATATGCGCCGACAACGCGAAATTTGCAGGGGGAGCACGGTGCGGAATGTCGCGAAGCTGTCACACACCTTGGGTTCGACCCCAATAGTGCTGAATACTGGGAGAACATCGCGCTCCCCGAATACGGGAAGACAGTAGGAGAAATCAAACTCTGACAGGCTGTAATCATTGAGCGAGACATGGTGAACGCCACCGAGGAGGAACATGTTGCTGCCCGAAAGGCCCCACCGGGCGAATTACGGCCAAACGCGGTAATCGTCTGGCATGACCGGGACCTGGAGCGCAGGTGTCAAAGTGCGTTACGGTGGGAGTAGGCAACCATGGACAACCAACCAACATTAGAGGGAATCGACCGGCGCGCTCACCTCGACTACGGGAACCCAAACAAAAAACCATGCGATTCGTACTCGGCTGGCCCCGAATCGTAGATTGGATTATATGTAATGCGTCAGTACCGCCGCCGTGTTCAGTTTATAACGCTCACAGGGTTCCCAATAAATCCACCACCCAGATCGAGACGACGCCACCGACCCGAATCTATTGACAAATTTCAGGGCAGGCCGATAAACTGACGCTGAAATGATGCGTTTGCAACTGCCACGTTACGCCTGCGCCTGTCCTCACACATAGGGGGCAGGCGGTTTGCAATCAATGCCGCGCCTGCGCCCATCAGAAACCGCTGCCTGCGGGATTTCGGGTGCAGGTTTTGCAGTGTTTCACCCCCGCATCATCCAGGGAATTCAGCCAGCAACATCCGCCGGCATTGCATAGATTCCGGCGCGTCGCAAACCTCGGAGGAATCGGTAATGGTCCAACCTCTTCGCCTGACTCCAGACCAGGTCAAACGCTACAGCCGCCACATCATCATGCAGGATGTCGGCAGCGCCGGCCAACGCAAAATGATGGAGTCCAGCGCGCTCATCATCGGCGCTGGTGGCCTTGGTTCCCCTTCTGCCGTTTACCTGGCCCTTGCCGGAGTGGGCAAACTCGGTATCGTCGATTTCGATGTCGTCGAATTGTCCAACCTCCAGCGCCAGATCCTGCACCACACGCCCGATGTTGGCCGACCCAAGGTGCAGTCCGCCAAGGACAACATCCTGTCCTACAACCCGGAAGTCGACGTGGTGCTCCACGAAACCTGGCTAACCTCAGAAAACGCCTTCGATATCATCAGCCAGTACGACATCGTTATCAACGGCGCCGACAACTTTGCCACCCGATATCTGGTCAACGATGCCTGCTATCTGCTCAACAAGCCATTGTTCGATGGCAGCATCCTCATCTTCGACGGCCAGGCCACCGTGTTCCTGCCCGGCCAGGGTTGCTACCGCTGCCTCTTCCCGGCCCCGCCCCCACCAGGGATGGTTCCCAACTGCGCCGAAGCCGGCGTTTTGGGTGCGTTGACCGGTCTCGTCGGCTCCATTCAGGCCACCGAAGCATTGAAATACATCCTCGGCATCGGTGACAGCCTGGCTTCCCGGCTCATGGTCATTGACGCGTTGAGCATGCAGTTCCGCGAAGTACGTTTGCGGCGCAATCCGGAATGCCCCCTCTGCGGCGACAACCCCACCGTTACCGAATTGATCGACTATGAGGTCTTCTGTGGCGTCGCCGAAATCCCCGAACCTGCAACCATCGCCGCCGGAGCGGTATAACACAGTCGCCCGATTGCCAGGCAGAGCCCAACCGACGCTGACACGACAAACAGCCCCGCCGGATTAACATTCCAGCCGCCCAACAGCCGATCATGCCCACCAATTCCACATACAAAGGCATCATCGCTACCATCGGCAACACCCCTCTGGTGGAGCTGCAAAAACTTTCACCCAATCCGAATGTACGCATTTTCGCCAAGCTGGAAGGCCAAAACCCCACCGGCAGCGTGAAGGACCGCATCGCGCTCAAAATGATCGAGCGCGCCGAAGCCGACGGCGAGATCACTCCCAACCGTATCATCCTGGAACCCACCTCTGGCAACACCGGCATATCCCTGGCGATGATCGGTCGCGTCAAGGGATACAAGGTGAAGGTGGTGATGCCAGAGAATGTTTCCGCCGAACGTACCCAGCTGCTCGAAGCCTACGGCGCCGAGATAGTCTATTCCGATGGCACCCTGGGCACCAACGGCAGCGTCGTCGTGGCTCAGGAGATGGTTGCCAAAAACCCCCACGATTACCTCATGCTGTACCAGTACGGCAACGACGGAATTCCTGATGCCCACTACGAAGGCACGGGTCAGGAAATCGTCGAGGCCCTCCCCGACGTGGACGTTTTCGTCGCCGGCCTCGGCACCGGCGGTACCCTCATGGGCAACGCCCGCCGGCTGAAAGAACATCGCAGCGACATCAAGATCATTGCCGTAGCCCCGGAACCCGACGACTTCATCTCCGGCTTGCGTCGCCTGGAGGACGGTTTCATTCCGCCCATACTTGACATCAATCTGCTGGACAACCGCTTGCTGGTCAATAGCTTCGATTCCTTCCACATGACCAAGGAATTGCTGGACAAAGAAGGCATCTTCGCGGGTATCTCCTCCGGATCGGTAATCGCCGGAGCGTTGAAACAGGCCGATCGAATGGAAAGCGGCAACGTCGTGTGCCTACTGGCAGACGGCGGATGGAAATACTTGAGCAGCCAGTTGTGGACCAAGGACTACGAAACCCTCGCCAAAGAAGCACAGGGCAAGATCTGGTGGTAATGCCCCCTTTCTTGACCAGACACATACTTGGCGGCGCCAGATTGCGCCGCTTTCGTTGTTAATGCCCCTTCTCGCCAACCAATCAGCTACGGCGGGACCCGTTACCCCAACGTAACCTCGCCGGCCCGCCGACCGTTAATCGACCGGATTCGGTGTTGCCCCTGACGGTTGCCGGTGCTATACTACGTGCACATAACGCCCTGCTATAGATGAATACCATCGGTTCAATGCACATCTATGGCGAGAGGTTTGCGGGTTTGGAAAGCGGGGCGTGTACCCGCTTTACTCTTGTAACATTGCCGGGCGACACCACGGAAATCAGACTACAGCCCGCACCGCGGAGGACGACGATGAAGAGCGATTTCATGATGGCATTAAATCAGTTATCCGCTGAACGCGGCCTGGCGAAAGACCAGGTACTGCGAGCCATTGAAGTTGCTCTGGCCTCGGCCTTCCGGCGCGACGATCCGGCCGGTGGCCAAAACCTGTCGGTTAAACTGAACCCCAACACTGGTGATATCAGCATATTCGCCCTGCGCGCCGTGGTTGAAGAGGTCGAATTCCCCGAAACCGAAATTTCCCTGCAGGAAGCTCAGAGCATTCGACCCAACATCCAGATCGGCGACGAAATCGCCGAATCTGAAGAGGTTCCTCACGACGCCAGTCGCATCGCGGCTCAAACCGCCCGCCAGGTTATCATGCAACGCCTTCGCGAAGCCGAACGCGAAAAGATTTTCGAGGAATACTCCGCATACCAAGGTGAATTGATCAGCGGCAGTATTGAAAGCGTCGAAAAGGGACCGACTGTTTTTGTAAACCTCAATCCCCATCAGGCCCAGAACCAGAACCGGGCTCGCGGCGTCATGCGCCCCGACAATCAGGTCGGCAACGAACGTTACCGCAAGGGCCAGAACCTCAAGGTGCTTCTGGTTGAAGTACAGCAAACTCCCCGTGGCCCCGAAGTCGTGGTGAGCCGCACCCATCGCGACCTGCTCCGCCGCCTGATGGAGGCGGAAGTCCCGGAAATTGGCAACGGTACGGTGGAAATCCGCAGCATCGCGCGCGACCCCGGAGTCCGCAGCAAGGTCGCAGTCGCGTCTCACCAGGAAGGCGTTGACCCGGTCGGTTCTTGCATCGGCTTGCGCGGCAATCGCATCCAGAGCATCGTCAACGAACTACAGGGCGAAAAGATCGATGTAATCGAATGGGATTCCAACCCCCGGGTACTGATCTCCCGCGCCCTCAGCCCCGCCGACGTTGGCGCCGTTGAGCTGGACCAGGACGAAAACACCGCTTACGTCGTGGTTCCAGAGAACCAGATGTCGCTGGCCATCGGTCGCGACGGTCAAAACGCTCGTTTAGCCGCCCGCCTCTCCGGATGGCGGTTGGACATCAAGAACGTTGAACAGTGGGAAGCCCTGCGCGAAGCCAGAGCCGCTGAAGCCGCCCGTGTCACCGCAGAACGCGCCGCTTTGGCCGCCACCGCTGCCGCCGAAGCCGCCGCTGAGCAGGCCGCCGCGACCGTGGAAGAAGCCGTGATGCCTGTTGCCGAGGCCGCAGAAGCCGCAATCGCTGAAACCGGCCTGGTCGCCGAAACGGTTGAACTCATCGAATCCATTGAAGCCAGCCCCGAGACGGCAACCGTAGACGCCGCAGTCATCGCCGACATCGCCGCCGTAATCTCCCAACCGCCAGCGGAATCAGCAGCAGTAGCCGAAGCCCCGGAGGCTGAGGTTTCAACCCCGGGTCTGGCATTCGATGAAGATGCCCTCCTCGAAGCCCTCATCGCGGAGGAAGAGGCCACCACCGTCAACGCCTCCGCTTCAGGAACGCAACCGCAGCCAGTCGGCCTCAGCGTGGAGGCCCTGGGAAATCTTACTATCGACGATGTGATCGTTGAAGACGATGACGAAGAACTCGAAGACGACGATCCAGTCGAGGAAGATATCGCCGACCTGTTGGCAGGTCTGCCCAATCTGGCTCCCGACGCTGGAAAGATCAGGTTCGCTGAAGACATTGTCGGAGACTTCCGTGGCAGCGACAGTCGTCGCCGTCGCGGCGGTGGCAACCGTCGGGGCGGTAACGTTCCCGGAGCCCGTGGCCCTGGTGGCCGGGGCCGGTGATACTGTCCTCTCACCTACTCTCTGACATCTTTCGGATGGAGCCGTGGACCCGCCATTGCGGGACTGCTGCTCCACTCAGGTAACACCTATTCCCAAACCCCGTCACATACCGGAACGTAGTTGCATCGCCTGCGGTCGCAAAGGACCAAAGGGCGACTTGGTTCGCGTGGTTCGCGCTCCGGACGGTTCTACCAGCGTGGACGTGGTGGGCCGTGCCAACGGTCGTGGCGCCTACTTGTGCCGGCAGCCAGAGTGTTGGGATAAAGGATTAGTCAAACGCGCCCTGGAGAAGAGCCTGCGCAGCGCAATTTCTTCCCAGGATCTGGATTCAATGAGAAATTTCTACCTTGAGACTATCGCATCTGCCGCAGCAAGCAATGGAATGGCTTCGGCTGGCGACGTCGTGCCCAACATAAACCAATGAAACCGGCAACGCTGGGAGCGTTGGTGGGGCCGTTCCGCTAGAGGAGGTTTTGACCATGACTACTGACCAACGCGACAACGCATCGCGCCGGACCCGACGTGCCGAACCACGTCGCGCCAGCCCTCGGGCTCTTACCTTGCCCGAAACCCTTACCCTCAAAGAATTGTCCGAACTCCTCGACCAAACGCCCGTGGACGTAATCAAGCAACTGATGCGCCACGGTATCATGGTATCGGTGAACCAGGTAATCGATCACCAGGTGGCCACCGTGGCTGCCGCCGCGTATGGCGTGCGAACCCGCCTCGCCGAATCCAATGCCGAAACCGCGCCGATTACCGCCGACTCCACCGCACAAATCGATGCGCAGCTGCAACCTCGTCCGCCCGTCATCACTATCCTGGGCCACGTCGACCACGGCAAAACCAGCCTCCTCGATTACATCCGCGAGTCATCCGTGGTCCAGAAAGAAGCCGGCGGTATCACCCAGCATATCGGCGCCTATCAGGTGGAACTGGACGGTCAGCCAATCACGTTCCTGGACACGCCGGGCCATGCCGCATTCACTGCCATCCGATCCCGCGGAGCCCGTGTTACCGACATCGCTGTGCTGGTCGTCGCCGCCGACGACGGCATCATGCCTCAAACCGACGAAGCCATTTCCCACGCCCGCGCCGCGGAAGTTCCCATCGTCGTTGCCATCAACAAGATGGATTTGCCCGGAGCCCAACCCGAAGTCATAAAACGCCAGCTCAGCGAACGCAACCTGCTCGTAGAAGAGTGGGGCGGAGACATCATCGCGGTACCGGTATCTGCGCAAACCGGTGATGGTGTCGGAGACCTGCTGGAAAACCTCACCGTTCTGGCCGAAGTCATGGAACTCAAAGCCGATCCAACGCGCCCGGCCGCCGGCGTTGTCGTCGAGGCAACCCTCGACCGGCGTCGCGGTCCCACCGCCACGGTGCTGATCCAGTCGGGCACTCTGCGAGTTGGTAACCAAATCGTGGTCGGCGGCGCCTGGGGCCGGGTGCGCGCCATCACCAACGAGCGCGGCGAGTCCATGGACTGCATCACACCCGGCAGCCCTGGCGTGGTAACCGGCCTCAACTCCACCCCGGAGGCCGGCGACATCCTGCAGGTCGTGTCCGACGAGCGCACCGCCCGTCAAACGGCTGAGCGCCACGGGCGGCGCTCTCACACCGGTAACCTGGACACCGTGCTCACGCTGGACAACGTCGTCAAGCAGATCGACTCCGGCGACGTGAAAGAACTCATTGTTGTTCTCAAAGCTGACGTCCAGGGCAGTGTGGAAGCCATCGTCCAGTCCATAGAGAAACTGTCGGAAGGCGAAGTGAAAGCCCGCGTTATCCACTCTGGTTCAGGTTCAGTCAGCGATTCCGACATTCAACTGGCGTCGGCTTCCGACGGGATCGTGCTGGCCTTCAACGTCGGGTTCGAGATCGGCGCTGAACGCACTGCCGACCGCCTCGGCGTGGAAGTTCGCAGCTATCAGATAATCTACCGGCTGCTGGAAGACATCGAGCAGGCTTTGAAGGGCATGCTGGAACCGGAATACCACGAAATCGTGGTCGGCAGGGCCGAGGTCCGCGAAATATTCTCCGGACGACGCAGTATTCAGATTGCCGGATGTCGAGTGCTCGATGGCCGTATCGCACGTCAGAGTACCGTTCGCCTCATGCGCCAGGAAAACTCGGTTATCGAAACTGGAATCAACAGCCTCCGACATTTCCGCGACGAAGTGAACCAGGCCACCGCCGGTACCGAATGCGGCATCGTGCTGGACGGTTTCAACGATTACCAAGAGGGTGACGTCATTGTCGCCTACCGCATGGAGCGCGTGAGCTAACTCCGGGCATTTTTTACAGACCGGCTGGGTGGAAACGCCGCGGCGCTTCCACCCAGCCGAAGCCCGTATACGGGGAGGTGCAGCACATGACCGACCGACGGCGCGTTGAACGGGTCAATGGAGTCCTGCGCGAGGAAATTTCCGGCCTCATCGCTTCACAACTCAACGACCCCCGTTTGCGCGGCATCATCAGCATCACCCGGGTGAGTGCCACGTCCGATTTGCGTAGTGCACGGGTCTACGTCAGCGTCATGGGGAGCGAGGAAGTACGCCAGCAGGCCCTCTCTGGTATCCAGTCATCCGCCTCCTACCTGCGCCGGGAGTTACGCAGCCGCGTGTCCCTGCGTTACGTTCCCTTCCTCACCTTTGTGCTGGACGACGCCATGCTGGAAGCAAATCGCCTGATGCGCATCATCGACGACCTCGGCGACGCCACCGCATCCCCTGACCCGGCCGCATCCCGACAGCTGAAGCAAACCTGATCTCATGCCCGGTAGCGAACGCGGCGGGACGGCGGTCAACGGTTTCCTGAACTTCTACAAACCGGTTGGCATCACTTCAATGGAAGCCCTCCGTCGGGTCAAACGTATCACCGGTCAACGGAAAAAAGTCGGCCACGCCGGCACCATGGACCCCCTCGCCAGCGGCGTTCTGCCCATCTGTTTCGGGCAGGCCACTCGCCTCATGGAACAGGTCGTTTCCGGGCGCAAACAATACCGAATGACGGTTCGCCTGGGAGAATCAAGCACTACCTACGATGCCGAGGGAGTGATCACTCAGGTTGCCGATCCGGCGGGACTATCCCACCAGGTTATTCACCAGGCTCTGCAGAGCTTCATCGGCTTGATACCGCAGATCCCGCCCATGTTCAGCGCCCTCAAAGTGGACGGACAGCGCCTGTACGATTTGGCGCGAGCCGGCAAGGAGATAACCCGCCGGCCGCGCACCATCGAGATTTTCAGCATCACCATAGATTCCCTAAACCTGCCCGATTTAGATCTAACGATAGATTGTGGTCCCGGCACTTACATGCGTTCCGTCGCCCACGACCTGGGTCAGATGCTGGGGTGCGGCGGGTACGTGACCGCCCTGACCCGCTCATCGTGTGGCGGTTTCGACGCAACGGACAGCGTTACCCTGGAGCAACTGGAAGACCTTTCTCCCGCTTCCGAATGGCAGAATCTCCTCCATCCGCTGGACTGGCCGGTTCGCGCTTTATCCACGTTAACGGTCAGCGAAACCGAAGCTGCCGGAGTGCGGAATGGTCAGCCGGTGCCGACCCTGGATAACCCTCCGGAGCCATTCGGCCCCGATGACCAGAGGCGTGTGTACGACCCCAATGGTTTGTTCCTTGCGTTGGCCAGGTTCGACGCCGAGCATGGCAGGTGGCAACCAACACGGGTTTTCGACAGCCGGGAACCATCCCCATTCGCTGGTAACGCGGGCTAATACGGTTCGCTGCTGGCAACGCTGTCAGACATCACCTCAGCATGGACACCCCTCATCCGCCGTGCGCCCGGTGCAACCGGATTACCCGAAGCGGCTCATCCTACACCTTTCGACCCCGTGGCGGCGCAGTTGGAGTCACCAAGTGTTTCCGTTGCTCCCTGCGGCACTGGCCCATGATTCGCCGGTCCCTGATCGCCAGCGCGGTGGTGGGCACGGCCCTCACGGCGCTGAATCAGGGCGATACCATTCTTGCCGGTGAGATCACCGCGGCGTTGGCCTGGAAAATACCGCTAACCTATTGCGTGCCTTTCCTGGTAGCAACCTACGGGGCATTGTCCAACAGCCGCAACTAACCCGTCGCCACTTTAATACTGGCGCAACACCTCGACCACCCGCCCGCGAATCTCCACGTTGCCAGCGTCGGCGTATATGGGTTCCATGGTGCTGTTGGCGGGTTGCAGCCGCACCTGAGACCCTTCCCGGTAGAATTTCTTCAGGGTCGCTTCCTCTTCCTCGCGCAGCCAGGCCACCACCATCTCGCCGTTACGGGCTGTATTGGTGGGCTTTACCACCACCACATCCCCGTCGTCGATGAGGGCGTCGATCATCGATGTTCCCTTAACCGTCAGCGCGAACAGGGTCCCGTGCTTCTTTTTCAGGTCCGGTCGCACCTCTACCGTATCGAACTCGACAGCAGCCGAGGCCCCTTCAGTAGAAAACGCCGGAATCGGTTCGCCAGCTGCAATATAACCAACGATCTGGACCCTCACCGCTCCGTTGGCGACCGGTTGGCCCGTCTCATCCAGCAACTCAATCCCCCGCGCCACTTCCGACCGGCGTTTCAGGTAGCCGTCCCGCTCCATCAGGCGCAGGTTATAGTCAACCACCGACGTGCTGCTGATGTCGCATCCCTTTTGGATATCGCGCACAGTGGGCGGTATGCCGTTTTCGTCCATGAAACGTTCTATATATTCCAGAATGCGCTTCTGACGCGGTCGCAGGCTTTTTAGCGGTGGCATTGCTAGCTACCTCCCGGGGTCAAGTGTTCGATATTAAACAAAACTTATGTTCAGCACAGATATGCTATTATTGCGCGGGTACTTTGTCAACTCCACCGGGTCACAAAAATAGCGCCCGGCGCTTGATAAAAACCGCCGGGCGCACCAATTTTCGATGGAGCGGGTTATTCCTGTTGCAATCGGTTCAACGCCGCAGCCAAACGAGCCTTGCGCCGTGATGCGGTGTTCTTGTGGAACACACCCTTGCGGGCGGCAATGTCCAGCAGGCTCATCGCCTTGTGTACGGCGGCGTCCGAGTCGGCGTCACCAGCTGCCAATGCCCGCCGTGCCTGCACGATCGCCGTGCGAGTGGTGCGGCGTACGCTCAGGTTGCGAGCGTAGCGTTTTACGGATCGATGAGTGGTTTTTTGGGCTGGCACTTGGTTGGCTCCTGATGTTTTGCTTTTCAGACATAGATACTATCAAATCAAAGCCAAAATGTCATCCCGATGTATCATGCTGTAACAGTTCAGACTCGACGGGTTGTTTCCATACCACTCCGTCATTCCGGCCTTGAGCCGGAATCCAGAGACGCTTAAACCTCGATGTTGCTTATCTTGGGCTTCCCGGATTCCCGCTTTCGCGGGAAAGACAGGTTGGGGCCAGGATATTGCCTTCAACTCTGGACACTTACATCACGCTGCCAGGGCCTTTCGATTTTCGGAACGTGGCGGTCAAAGGTGAGATGGCGACAGCGTTGGTCGATACGGCTACAAGATTGCCTACCCCCGTATCGAGTACGGGGTCGCAATGACAAAGTGGGCACCCATGAGGATGTATCATGTTGTGCCGTTGCAGGATGCGCCCAATACGGCACCCCTCGTTTTGCCGTTTCCGGTTGCCTCCAATCCTCGCGTGGTGCATCATGTACCGGCATCATCAAACACAGTTCGCCAAATAGAGCTCGCCAAATAGAACTCGGCGCCAACGGCCAGCCCAACCACCGGAGGTTCGTTATGTCCATCACTAACCTGACCCGCAGCCCAGTATACGGTCAGCACGGCATGGTTTCCTCAGATTCTCCGTTGGCCGCCGCTGCCGGATTGCGAGTGCTGCAAAACGGTGGCAACGCCTTCGACGCTGCCCTGGCGGTTGCCGCCGTAGAATGTGTAACCATTGTCCCAATGTGTGGTCTCGGCGGCGACTCTTTCATCCTGGCTTACGAGGCATCCTCGGGCAAGGTAACCAACATCAACAGCAGCGGTGCGGCCGCGTCGGGCGTCGAGGCCAGCTACTACCGCCAGCAGGGACTCGACCTGATGCCCATCGCCGGCCCCCACTCGGTATCCGTCCCCGGTGAGGTGGCCGCCTGGGAATCGCTCCATCGCGATTTCTGCACCCTGCCCTTCGCCGACCTGCTGGAACCCGCCATCCGATACGCCCAATACGGTTTCCCGGTTCCGCCCCGCATCGCCAGAGTGTTTGCCAACAGCGCCGAGTTGCTGGCGCGGTTCAGCTCCACCGCTAATGTTTACCTCACCGGCGGAAGGCCCCCACGCGAAGGCGACGTGCTGGTCAACCAGGACCTCGCTGCATCTATCCGCGCCGTCTCCGAGGGTGGCGCCGATGCTTTCTATCGCGGCCCCCTGACCGAGCAGATGGTAGCCGGGCTCAACCACTTTGGTGGAGCATTCGCCGTCGCCGATTTCAACAATCATCACGCCGATGTCGGCGAACCCATCAGCGCCGAATACCGTGGCCACCGTGTCTACCAGACCCGCCCTCCGTCTCAGGGGTTCCTGATGCTCCAGATGCTCAACATCGTCAGCGGCCACGATCTTACGTCCATGACTCCCAACTCGGCCGACTTAATTCACCTCCTGGTCGAGGCCAAGAAAATCGCCTATTCCGACCGCAACCGTCTCGCCGGCGACCCCAATTTTGTCGAATGGCCCCTGGACGGCCTGCTGTCCCAGGAATACGCCGACATGCGCCGTGACCAGATCCACCCCTTCCAGGCCGGCGGCGAAGTAAGGCCGCTGACTCCCGTGGACGGCCACGGCGACACCACCTATTTCTGCGTCGCCGACGGCGACGGCAACGCCGTCAGCTGGATCCACAGCCTTTCCAACGGTTTCGGTTCCGGAGTTGTGGCCGCCGGCACCGGTGTCCTGTTCAACAATCGCGCCGGCCGTGGGTTCAGCCTGGAAGCCGACCACCCCAACGTCATCAAGCCCGGCAAACGCACCATGCACACCCTCAACTGCTACCTCACCACCGTCAACGGCCAGGTCGCCATCGTCGGCGGAACACCTGGCGGCGATCTACAACCCCAGTGCGGCGCACAAATCCTGTCCAAGCTCATCGATGGCGGCCTCCAGTCCCAGGACGCCGTGGAGTCTCCTCGCTGGTACAGCTTCCCCGGCACCGATCCCGCCACCATCAACCGGCCCGGCGAACTGCGCGTCGAGGTGGGTATGCCCGATGACACCATCCGCGACCTCACCCGCATGGGTCACAACGTGGTGCAAAACTCGCTGGGATCCTACCACGGCGTGGTGCAGCTCATCGTCCGCGACCAACGCCGTGGCGTCCTCATCGGCGCCTCCGACCCCCGCGGCGACGGCCAGGCCGTGGGCTTTTAGGTGAAATACACCCGTAACCCGATTGCCAGCCTGTCAGCGTGGTTGATCATATCCCTCGGGGTGGCCATCATCGGCCTTGGGTGCCAGGATGACGGGCCACCGGTCTCCCACGGTGCCACGTCACCGACCAACACTCCGCTGCGCGGTGCGGCGGCCGGGTCAGGTTCGGGCAACACGCAACAACCGACGACAGCACAGGGGTATGCCGTGGCCCCGATTGCTGACTCCGCTGCTGATATAACCATGGTTGATTTTTTCATCCAGCCGAGGCGGGTTGATGCCGACTCGGTATGGTTCCCACTGGTTGGTCAGAGGATAGACGACCCTGATGAGTTCTCGAAATATCTCGCCATGTGGGACGAAGCCAATCCGTGCTACGGCGAACTGCAAACCAGTGTCGCGGAGTTGGGGGAGGACACCTGGTTCGACCCGTTGGATTTTATCCAGTATGTGCGTATTACCACCCCTGGAGTTTCCACCTGCGTGCAAGAGTTGTTTCCGCAGTTGGATGCCGACAATTTTTTCGCCTATACGACACGCGCCGCGAGCGCCGGATCGAAAGGCTGCTCAACGCGTTCTCGAACATGATTCGGGTCGGCGACCAGATGGTGTTCCCCGAGTGTGAGACCGTCATTAACTCCCCCCTGCCGAATTTGTCCGGCGCCACCAACCCCACGCAACTGCGCGACGGATTCCGTATCGCCGCCCGCGAGTTGTTCAGTTGTTTCAGCGAACAGACGCAAATCCGATTCCCGCATCTGGAAGTACATGAGCTATTCGCCTTGCCGACGGACGAACGCCTCGCCACTATCGACTCGCAGTTGTTGGCCGCCGGGCATATCGCATCACTGCTGTATGAAGTTCATTTTGACGTATGCCGCGAATCATACCAGGCGCTTTTCCCTACGATCCACCAAGCTCCCAGCCCGCGGGACTTAGAGGTTGCAATGGACGGAGCGCATGAATCATTGTTCGCCTGCTTCGAACGGGCGCTTGAGGCAGCGCAACGGGATGAATATCCCCATGTGGCAACGCCTGACCCGCAGTCTACTCATTCTCCAGGCCAGTAGGCTTACGGAAAGTAGTAAACCGCCGGCAGCCCCCGGTATCGTTCATCCAGGTCCATCCCGTAGCCCACCACGAAATGGTTGGGAATGCTGAACCCCACATAGTCGTACCCGATTTCGGCTTCGCGGCGGTCGGGTTTGTCCAGTAGCGTACATATCCGTAGCGAGGCCGGCTGCATCGCCTCCAGGTACTCCGACACCGCAACCAGCGTGTGGCCCGTGTCGGTAATGTCGTCCACCAGCAGCACATGCCGCCCGGCAATGTTTTCGGAGGCGGGCGTCCCCTCGATCCTCACCGTCCCCGACGACGAGGTGCCGCTGCCGTAGCTGCTGGCCCTCAGGTATTCGACGCTGATGACCTCCACCCGTAACTGCCGCAGCAAGTCAGCGACAAACAGTGCCGCGCCCTTCAATACACCGACCAGCACCACACCCGTATCGGCATAATCCCGGTCGATCTCTCCCGCCAGCCGTGCCACTTCACATTGCAGCTCGGCCTCCGACAACAGCAGGAGCATGCCATCGGTCGGATCCACGGCGGCGGTTCGAACCCTTGTGGTCGTCCCGATTGCTACACGTCCAGGTTACGCACCTCGGTAGCGTGGCTTTGGATAAAGTTCTTGCGGGGGCCAACCTGCTCACCCATCAACATCTCGAACACGTCGTGCGCCTCGGCCAGATCATGCGCCGAAACCCGCAGCATCTTGCGCGTTTCCGGATTCATGGTCGTGTCCCAAAGCTGGTCGGCGTTCATCTCCCCAAGACCCTTGTAACGCTGCACCGCCGGTTCGGCTCGCGCCGTGGACATCTTCTTGATCAGTTGGTCCTTTTCGTCCTCGCTGTAGGCGTAGGCGATGTTGCGGCCCCGTTGCACCCGATACAACGGTGGCTGGGCAATGTACAGGAACCCGCCATCTATCAGCGGTCGCATCCTCCGGTAGAAATACGTCAGGATGAGCGTGCGGATATGCGATCCATCCACGTCGGCGTCGGTCATGATGATGATGTAGTGGTAGCGGAGCTTGGAGATGTCGAATGCCTCGCCCTCTCCGGTTCCGACTGCCGCGATGACGGCCCGAATCTCCTCGTGGCCCAGGATGCGTTCCACCTTGTCCAGGAACCGTTCCACATTCAGGATCTTGCCCTTCAGCGGCAGGATGGCCTGGAACTGACGGTCACGGCCCATCTTCGCCGAACCCCCAGCCGATTCGCCCTCCACGATATACAGTTCCGACTTGGCCGGGTCTCGCTCGGCGCAGTCAGCCAGTTTGCCGGGTAGCGAAGTGCCGTCCAGCGCGTTCTTCCGCAACACCAGGTCCCTGGCGCGGCGAGCCGCTTCGCGGGCAGCATGGTTGGTTTGCACCTTATCCAGCATGCTCTTGGCGGCGGTTGGGTTTTCTTCCAGGAACCGCGTCAAACCTTCGGCGGTGGCGGTTTCTACGCGGCCGCGGATTTCGGGATTGCTCAACTTGTTTTTGGTTTGACCCTCAAACTGCGGATCCCCCAACTTCACGCTGATGATGGCTACCAATCCGCCCCTGGTGTCATCGCCGGTGAAAGAATCCTTCGGGTCTTTGAACACGTTCTGCTTGCGGGCATGGTCGTTGAGCACCCGAGTCAACGCCGACCGGAACCCGGCCAGGTGTGTCCCGCCTTCAGACGTCAGGATGCAGTTGGCAAACGTGCGCTCGTCGGCGGCCAGATTATCGTGCCCGTCGGTGTGGTGATACTGGAACGCCACTTCCACGTCCGCGTCATCCGCGTTGCGTTGGTAGTAAAACGGCTCCGGCATAACCACGTTGCGCTTGCGGTTAATGTTTCGCACCATGCTGGCCACGCCAGTGTCAAAGAAGAAGCTGCGCTCCACGTCGCCGTTGCGCTCTGCCTCGTGGAACTCGCTCACCAGGGAGATTTCCAAACCCTTGTTCAGGTACGCGGTTTGCCGCAGCTGCGCTACCAGGCGCCCAAAGTCGTAGGTTATCTCCGGGAAGATGTCCGGGTCGGCGCAATACGTTACCATCGTGCCGTGCTTGTTCACCCGCTGGTGGCGCACCAGTTCGGTGGACGGAATTCCCCGCGAATAGTCCTGCGTGTAGCGGTGACCTCCACGGTAAACTTCAGCGTGCAGTTGTGACGCCAGCGCATTCACCACCGAAGCTCCCACGCCGTGCAGCCCTCCCGATACCTTGTAGGCTGCTCCGTCGAATTTGCCCCCGGCGTGCAGCGTTGTCAGCACCGTTTCCAGCCCGGAAACCCCTGTGTCAGGGTGCACGTCCACCGGAATCCCGCGTCCATTGTCAGAGACAGTAACCGCGCCATCCTTGGCCAGATGCACATCGATACGGTCGCAATGGCCGGCCAGCGCTTCATCCACCGCGTTGTCGAGCAATTCCTTTATAAGATGATGAAGCCCGTCAACCCCGGTGCTGCCTATATACATTCCAGGACGAACCCTGACGGCTTCCAACCCTTTTAGCACCTGAATGTTATCAGAAGTATACTGTGAAGATATATCTGTTGCCGAAACCATAGATTGCTGGGTCATATTATGATTATTTCTCCACAGATTAGGCCAACGGCAAATCCCTGCCACGCGATTTGTTTATTACGCACAGAAATGGTATTGCCTGAGCACATCAATATTATACCCGATCCACTTCGGGATTGCTACGAATTTGCCGACGTGATTGGGTGATTTTCAAGAATCAAAAGATGCGCTCGTATACTCCCGGAGACCCGTTTGCGAACCGCATCGACGGCTGCACATGCCCGTTCCACTGCGGGGTAACCATATCCCTCAGCGCCTGCCATTCTGTACACTCTGCAACTTCCGGACCACTACATTCGTGCACAGTAGTGTATTTAGGCTCTCCCATCACAACTTCCCACCGTCGCCCACGTATGTATCCCGGGATCCTGTAGTACAAAGGCAGTCGCTCATCGTTATATGCCGCATTGAACAATTCATCCAGCGGTTCCGGTATTTCCATTCTCCCTACCAGCAACGCCGGCGCCATCTCCGCCACCGCCGTGTCCTCCGACACTTCCGTTGGATAGATCAGCCGGTACAGGTTGCGCACGTAGTTGATGCCAATCACGCCCGGCGACATCCTCTGCGACCACTCGGTGGGGTTGTTCAGGTGGTACTGCCAGCCGTCGGAATACCAGGTTTCCGCCGTTTCGATCTCGTAGCACGCCAGGTATTTCGGACCGCCCCGCACCGCCACATATCTCGCCGCATTCAGGACTCCCGGAATGGACAACCGTTCGGGAATGTGCTCTTCGTTATACCAGCGGTTGAATTCATCCTCATGCTCGGCGGGCACATCGACGTACACCATCAACAGTCCCTGTCTTTTTTTGGCGGCCAAGTATCACCTCCCGGTTCTTAGAGCCTGCGTTACAAAATCTTTTCAGGATTCGCGCCATGAAGGCAAGCACCACCATGTGCAGGCTGGTAAGTGAGATTCTTCGCCAGTCTTCCAGAGTCGGCGGCACTGTGCCAGCAGGCGAAAGACCCGCTCCACCACCCATCGCGTCGGCAGCACCACGAAGGTGTGCAGTCGTTGCGTTCACTACTCACCGAGGCTCCCAACAGGCCTTGCACCGCAGTGGCAAAGGGCTTTCCGGGTGTGTAACCCCCGTCCACCAGCACGTTCTGCACATGACTGAGGTCGTCCGCGCGGTCAAACATCGCCAAAGCCCCAGGCCGGTCGGTAACGTCGGCGGTAGTCACGGTATCCCATGGGGCAATCCTTGCGTGTCCACCGCGAGGTGGACGCTTGATTCCCGACACCTTCTGCCCGCGTCATAGCCCTTGCCAGGCGGGTTGTGCGTTGTTCTGACGCTCTGGGGTCCACGATGCAGAAGCTGGTCTGCTCTTTCTCCCATGCTTTGTCGCGCCGCGCCAACCGATTTTTTTAGGACTTGTCCAGAATGGAATCCTGACCGGGCAGCAGCCGTCGCTCCATTGCCGGAAATACTGGTAGCAAGTGCGCCAATTGGAGAAGTCGCGGCCAGCATTCGCCACTGGCACCCGCTTTCAAGAGGTACGTACGCCGCAGAAAACGTCATACAAGTCCACGGTGCGGGGCTTGGTCCGACGGCGCGCCGACTCCAAACGTCGGCAGACATACGGGCGAATTGCTCCCGGCTGATGTCGCTGGGATAGGAATGAGACATGATTACCCCTCCCCTGATAATAGTCTCAACTTAACCTATTTCAGAGATCGTAGACAGGTTCTTAGAAGTGTTGTCAGTCCCAGCCTGTCGCTGGCAATGTGTTGCCACAATAACGTTACGGGCTTGGGTTCGCTTCCGGAAAATACCATTGCCCCGATTTCAGGCTGTCGATCGCGAGCCGCATCGGCTCAAACAACGGTTCCGGAGTACTTCCCAAAGGATACCAACCATACTCTCCGAACGAACCGTCGGCAGCGCTGGGCGCGGGAGTCTGGTCGCCTATTTCGCCCAGGAATTCCACATCCACGTAATGGCGTCCATACTCGATGATGTTGCTCAGACATAACACGCGCAGCCCACCTACCCTCACCCCAAGTTCCTCCTGAGCTTCTCGCCGCGCGCAATCCTCCAGGGATTCCCTAAACTCCAGATGCCCGCCAGCCGAACCCCAGGTGGACTCTCCGTGAGCGCCTTGCCGCTGCGCCAGAAACACCTCGCCACCACGAATGAACACCACTCCCACCCCAACCAGAGGCCGTTTGTCCTGCTCGCCCACGGCCGCAGTATAACATAGCGTTATGTAATCATCCGTCCCCGGACTCACGCGTCCCCGTTGTAATCTGTCATTGCGAGGAGCGTCAGCGACCTGGCAATCTCGTCCCAAATCCTGTCCATCCATGTTGGATTCGGCCCCCCTCTCCCTTGATGGGAGAGGGTTGGGGTGAGGGTCACCGCCCGTTAGTCCTGAGCCTGTCGAAACACCCCCTTTCATTGCGAGGAGCGTTAGCGACGTGGCAACCTCAATGAGGCTGAACACACGTCGACGAACCGCCGTTGCTACGGCGGCGAGATTGCCAACCCCCGTATCGAGTACGGGGTCGCAACGACAAAGTGGGTACGCGTGAGCGTCCCCCGATGCTTGTCGCCGCCCGTCGGCTGGTGCTAGACTTCGGCGGCATTTGTCCCCCACGATCCCGCTGGTTATGTCTCGTAACGACGCCCATCCACCCATTTCGCCCCAGGAGGCCCGCTTCCCATGACCCAGGCCCACCCGACTGATGATCTCCCGATTTCCCGCTCCGGCCACACGGCGCTGTCCGTTTGCGAAACCGCGGCCCGGCGGGCCGGCGAACTGGCTGTCGCCCGTTTTAGCACCGACATCGAGATCAGTTTCAAAGGTCGCGCCAACGTCGTAACCGACGTGGACCTGGCATCAGAGCGCATCATTCTCGACCACATACGTGAAGAGTATCCGGACTTCGGAATATTGTCGGAAGAATCGGCGCCGGTGGTCGGAACCTCTCCCTATACGTTGGTGGCAGACCCCATCGATGGCACGCGCAACTTCGCCGAGGGAATCCCTCATTTCTGCGTGGTCGTCGCCATCGCCCGGGGCGATGAGGTGGTGGCCGGCGTAACTTACGATCCGGTGCGCGACGAAATGTTCGCGGCGCAAAAGGGCCGGGGCGCAACCCTCAATGGCGAACCCTTCCACGTTTCAGACCGGCAGGATATCGGCAAGGCCGTCCTTGGATTCGACCTTGGCTACAATTTTGAACAGGCCGGAAAGTTGCTTCAAATGGCCAGCAGTATGTGGCCGCAAACGCAGGCCTACCGCCTCATGGGTTCCAGCGCCCTCAGCATCGCCTACACCGCGTGCGGACGCATCGACCTCTACTTCCACCACAGCCTCTCGCCCTGGGACATCGCCTCCGGGATTCTGCTGGCCCAGGAAGCCGGCGCCCAGGTTCTCGATCAACGCACCCTGGAACCGGCCACGCTGTTCTCAACGGGCCTGATCCTCTCCAACCCAACCCTCGTCAGCCAGTTCCTGCAACTAACCGAAGGCGCGGCCTGGCGGCGGTTGTAAGTTTCAAGCAACCACGGGCGCTCCGCGATCCGGGCGCCGCAGCAAACTCGTGCGGTTCGTCCAGCCTAACCGACCACGAATACCAGCACTGCTACCGCTGCCGCGATTGCAACGGCGTAAGCGAATGTCATGATGACGGTTTTCTGGTTAAACCTTACTTTCATGGCCTCCTCCGTCAATCAGGGGAACATTAAGCACCTTGGCAATCACACTATACCACCACTGGATCAACGGGGCGGTAGCAAGTACCGCGGGAAGCACCAGAGCCGCTCGGGTCACACTTTCCAACGTCTCTGAACGTCCGGCGTCGAACAATTCCTCCGGCAAGTTGAACCATGCCAGCAACGAGCCGCCAACTATTAGGATGGTGGCCACCAACCCCATGGATATCGACAACACCAGGCGGCGGAAATCGAACCACTTCCAATTTATCAACATTTTCGGCGGCGATCCCTTGCCTGGCGGGTGTGAGCAATTTTCTCGGTATACAGGATGCTCAAAAAGCTATCGCACTTAACACTGCTTATCAACCACCAAATGTCACCTCGCCGCCTGGCCGGTCCCCACTACGCCCCCGTCCACCAGCGCATCCACCTCGGCCTCCGTGTAACCGTGCTCCAGCAGCAACTCCCGCGTATGCTCGCCCAGTCCCGGCCCTCGGTGTCGGATGCTTCCCGGCGTCGCCGACAGCTTCACCGGGATGCCGATGTTCTGTAACTCGCCCATCTCATCGTCGGCCAACGTCACCTTCATATCCCGGGCCAACACCTGCTCGTCGGCGTACACCTGCGCCATATCGTAAATCGGGCCGGCCACCACGCCCGCCGACTGCAATTGCTCCATCCAGTATTCCGTGGAGTGCTCCACCAGGATACCTTCCAGCAACTCCGCCAGCTCGCCTTCCCGCGCCTTCCTGTCGTTCGATGCTTTGTATCTGGGGTCCTCAATCAGGGCATCCTGCCCGATGGCTCGACAAAACTGCTCCCACGTTGGTTGTGACGCCGCTCCGATGTTGATGTAGCCGTCGCTGGTGCGCAGCGCCTGGTACGGCGCGTTGACCCGGTGCGCCGAGCCCAGCGGGCCCGGTATCTCCCCGTTGACAAAATACTCCGACGATTCCCAAACGGTGAAGGCGATCCCCGCCTCCAGCAGCGATGCGTCCACTTTCTGACCCTGTCCGGTGCGCTGGACGTGTATGTAGGCCGCCAGGATTCCGAACGCCGTAAAGCTTCCCGCCCCAATGTCAGTTATGGGAACACCCACTTTTGCCGGCGGCCCGTCGGGAAACCCCGTGATGCTCATCAACCCGCTCATTCCCTGCGCCACCAGGTCAAACCCGCCCCGGTTGCGGTACGGGCCACTTCCCCCGAACCCCGATATACTGGCGTACACCAGCCGCGGATTGATCTTCGCCAGTTCCTCATAGCCCAACTCCAACCGATCCATCACACCCGGCCGGAAGTTCTCCGCCACAACGTCCGCCGACTCCGCCATCTTGCGAAATACAGCCTTGCCCGCATCCGATCGCAGATCCAGTGCGATGCTCCGCTTGTTCCGGTTCAGGGCCAGGAACCCCGCCGCAAACCCGTTGCTGTACCGGCTGCCCATGCGCCGCGTATCGTCGCCGCTCCCCGGACGCTCAATCTTGATTACATCCGCCCCCATGTCGGCCAACAGCATCGTACACATCGGCCCGGCCATAATCTGCGTCAAATCCAGCACCTTCACGCCCGCCAGCGGCCCAGTCGGATACTCATGCTGATTCATCGTTAACTCCTTGCGATAGGCCACTTTTCTAAAGATAAAGTGCCTGGCATGTAGGGCGACAAGTGCGGAAGAAAAGCCCCTCTCTCACTGGGAGAGGGGTGGGGGCGAGGGCCGTCGCCGTTTGACACTCTCACCGGCAAACCGGATAATGCGGCCTCGAACCGGAGGGGCGCAATGGGCGATATTATACTTGGCGACAATCTTGATGTCCTCCGAACCTTGCCCGGCGCAGCGTTCCAACTGATCTATATCGACCCACCCTTCAACACCGGCAAAGCCCAATCCCGCACCCGCATCCGCGTTTCCCGCGACGACGCCGGCGACCGCACCGGTTTCCAGGGCCACCGCTACAAGACTCAGGTGGTCGGCACGAGCCGATACGATGACGCCTTCGACGACTACCTGGCTTTTCTCCGACCCCGCCTGCAGGAAGCCTATCGCGTGCTGGACGATCGCGGCAGCTTGTTCTTCCACATCGACTACCGCGAGGTCCACTACTGCAAGGTGATGCTGGACGAAATCTTTGGCCGCGATTCCTTCATCAACGAAATCATCTGGGCCTACGACTACGGCGCACGCAGCAAAAAGCGCTGGTCGGCCAAGCACGACAACATCCTGTGGTACGCCAAAGACCCCGACCATTTCACCTTCAACTACGACGCTATCGACCGAATCCCATACCTGGCGCCTGGACTGGTCGGCCCGGCGAAAGCAGCAAGAGGCAAAACCCCAACTGACGTCTGGTGGCATACCATAGTAAGTCCCGGCAGCCGCGAGAAAACCGGCTATGCCACCCAAAAACCCTTGGCCATAATCCGCCGCATCGTCCGCGTCCATTCCAATCCCGGAGACCACCTGCTCGATTTCTTCGCCGGCAGCGGCACCCTTGGCGAGGCCGCCAGCATCGAAGGCCGCAACTACACGCTGATCGACAATAAACCCGAAGCGATCAGCGTAATGCGCCAGCGCTTGGGAGATCTCGGCGCCGTTCCAATCAATGCCACTACCTCCACCGGAGAACCAACTTGACCGCCCCCAACCGCACGAAGCAGGACGCCGATTTCATCTTCCACGAGCTGACCCGCTCCATCTGTCCCGAATGCAAAACCGTAATCGACGCCCAGATAATCATCCGCGACAACAGGGTCTACATGCGAAAGCGTTGTCCCACCCACGGCTGGTTCGAGGGCATCATCAGCTCCGACGCCGAGATGTACGTCGGCAGCGTCCGGTTCAACAAGCCCGGCACCATCCCCCTGGAATTCAGCACCGAGGTCAAAGACGGCTGCCCGCTGGACTGTGGACTGTGTCCCGAACACAAGCAGCACATCTGCCTGGGCCTCATTGAAGTCAACACCGCCTGCAATCTCAACTGCCCCGTGTGTTTCGCCAACGCCGGCATCGGATACAACCTGACCCTGGAGCAGGTGGAGTCCATGCTCGACCGCTTTGTCGAAATTGAGGGCGACCCGGAAGTCATCCAGTTCAGCGGCGGCGAACCGACAATCCATCCCCAGTTGCCCGAAATGATCCAGGCCGCCAAAGACCGGGGCATCCGTCAGGTGATGATCAACACCAACGGCGTCCGACTCGCCAAAGACGACAAATTCCTGGCGCAGATGGCCGCTCTCGACCCCGTTGTGTATTTCCAGTTCGACGGCCTGCGCGAAGATACCTACCTGACCATTCGCGGCGAACCCTTGCTCGATACCAAGATGCTCGCCCTGGATCGCCTGGCCGCAGCCGGCATGTCCGCCGTCCTCGTGGCAGCCATCGAGCGCGACGTCAACACCGACGAAGTCGGTGGCATCGTGGACTTCGGCCTGCAGCATCCGGCCGTGAAGGGTGTGGTGTTCCAGCCCGTAACCCACGTCGGCCGCCACATCCCCTTCGACCCTATGACCCGCGTCACCATCCCAGACATCATCCACGGCATCGTTGATCAAACCGACGGCCGCTTCATCCTGGAAGATTTCGTCCCCGTTCCCTGCTGTTTTCCAACCTGCCAGGTCAATTCCTACATCTTCGTGGACGGCGACACCGTCATGCCACTCCCCAGGTTGCTGGAAATCGACCAGTATCTCGATTACATCACCAATCGCGCCCTTCCCAAGGCTCCAGATGCTGCCGTCATTCAGCAGGCCCTGGAGGGTTTGTGGTCGGCTTCCGCGGTGGCCGGCACCGAGAAAACCGCCGGCCAGTTCGAGTGCGCCTGCGGACCCGGCCTCGACCTGCCGTACGAAATGAACCATCTCAAAAATCACGTCTTTCAGATCGCCATCAAGGATTTCCTGGACGCCTATACCTTCAACGTTAAGCAGGTCATGAAGTGTTGCGTCGGTATCCTCACTCCCGACGGGCGCGCCATTCCCTTCTGCGCCTATAATTCCGTGGGCTACCGGGAACAAATCCGTGATCAGCTAACGCTCGAGCAGGGCCGTCAGAAAATCCGCCTTGCCACCACGCAACAGCCCCAGGCCCCTAAACAGTCCCCTCTCCCTTGATGGGAGAGGGTTAGGGTGAGGGTGGAATCTTACCGCCACTACTACCCCCTCACCTCAGCCTTCTCCCGCCCAGGGAGACGGGCGAGTGATTCTATGCGTCTATGCTAGACCCAACCTACGCCGCAAAAATTTGCTGCGCCGACCTGTATTCATCCGAACTGGCGCGGTTCATTCTCGGGGACAGTCTCCACCCCGGAGGCTTGCGCGCAACCAACCGCCTGGGCCGTGCCATGGGTTTGCAGGCCGGTTGGCGGGTTCTGGACCTTGCCTGCGGTATGGGTACCAGCGCAACCGCCATCTCCCGCGTGTTTCGATGCCACGTAACCGGCCTGGAGCTGGGCGCTGATGCCGCATCCGCTTCACGGCGGCGGGCCCTGGAACAACCGGTGCCGGCGAACGTGGACTTCGTGCGCGGCGACGCCGAAGCCCCGCCCTTTCGGCCCGGCGCCTTCGACGCCGTCATCATCGAGTGCGCCACCAGCCTGTTTGTGGACAAACTCGCCGCCATCGACCACGTGCGCCATTTGCTGAAGCCGGACGGCGTGATCGGCATTTCCGACGTTACGGTGGAACCCCGCAGCCTGCCCCCGGAGCTCGATAGCACCGTCGGTATGATGCTCTGCCTCACCGATGCCCTGCCGTCTGACGGATACCAATCCCTGTTGGAAGACGCGGGCTTCACGATGTCGGCCCGCGAGGACCTTTCCGGCGAAGTGCTGCAGCTGTTGGCCGATGTCCGCGGTAAGCTGGCGGTTTTGGGTGGATTGGGGAGTTTCATCCCCGGAGTACCCACAGACCTGGCCGCCGCTCCCGACCTGTTGGACCGCGTCCAGACCCGTGTTCAGCAGGGTCAGTTGGGTTACTCGTTGTACGTAGGACGCAAACATTCCTGATCCCCCGCGCATCCTAACCCCCACCCCGTTCCTCCTGAGCCCGTCGAAGGACCTCCTAAAGCCCCACCCCGTTCGTCCTGAGCCAGTCGAAGGACCATTCCCTGCCCAACGCGCCGTGGCGAGCGTCCGCGCCGGTAATCACAACTCGTGTGATAACATTACATACGACCTTCCCGGGCCTGAATCCGTGTATGTTGCCTGAAGAATTAATCAACCTGACGCCACGTCTGTTGGCCGCCATCGTCGTCGGTTATCTGTTGGGCAGCATCCCCTTCGCGTACCTCGTGGCACGCCTCAAGGGTGTGGATATCTTCGCTACCGGTAGTCGTCGCGCCGGTACTGCAAACGTCTTCTGGCACGTCGGACGATACCGAGGAATGCTCGTGTTCGCCGGCGATGTGATCAAAGGCTCCGCGGCGGTCGTGGTCGCCTGGATGCTGGGTGTGCCCGAACTGATGGGGGTCCTCGCCGGCAGTGCAGCGATCGCCGGCCATTGGAAGAGTATCTTTACCGGTTTCAAGGGCGGCGACGGTATGGTGGTTCTGGTCGGAGTAACCGTCGCATACCTTAGTTGGTTCATGCTGGTCGGTATCGCCGCTGGTATGGTGGCTGTGATACTGTTCCGTCGCTCTCCCTTTCGTTCCTCTTTGGGGATCATCTGGTCCTTCGCCTCCCTACTGGCGTTTAACACCCTGTACGGCGCCGATTGGGCAGTTATGCTGAGCCTGACGGCGTTGGCTCTGGTGGTCATTACCCACAACATCCTCACCCATGCCGACCATCGCCCCGATACCGTCCTGGCTATTATCGACGATGACCTGCTGATGGATGCCACGCCCGATATCCTGAACGAAGTCGCCAGGCTCAACGAGGACCAAATCCTCAATCAGATAATACCGCCGGACGAAAAAAGCGGCGACGCCGTCTGTTGACCCGGAATAACCGTCCCGGAATAACCGTCTAAGATTCCCGACGGTTGTCCTTAATCTTGGACAGGTCCAGAACCCACCCCAGCATCTCGTCCGACTCCGCCTCAGCGTATAACCCCGGTTGCAGCCGGATGGCTTCTGCCAACTGCTGCGCGCACTCCTCGATGTCGCCCCGGTCAGCATAAAGCCGGGCGGCGTTGTAGTAGGCCGCCGCAAAATTCGGCAACGCAGCCTCCGCCGCCAGATAGTCTGCCAGCGCGGCGTCAGCATCACCCAACGTCTCTTGTGCCGCCCCTCGGTTGCTCAACACCTCGGCGAAATCGGGACGAAGCGCCAGCGCAGCATCATAGTCTGCTACGGCGCGCTCGTATTGACCCAGTGCGTCGTAGGCCAGACCGCGATTATTGAGCGCCTCCACGTCGTCAGGTCTCAGGCCGATCGCGGCCGTATAGTCGGTGACGGCATCCTGATGACGACCCACCCGGAAGCACGTGCGCGCCCGGTTAAACCTGGCGTCCGCGTTATCCGGATTGCTCCTTAGCGCCAGGTCGTAGTCGGCAATCGCCTTCTCCGCGTCTCCCAACTCGTCCCAGGCCAGCCCCCGGTTCAGGTACGCGTTGGAGATGTCAGGTCTTAACGCCAGAGCGTCGTCAAATGCGGCGATCGCATCCTGGTATCGCCCCACGTTATTCAGCACAATTCCACGGTTGTAGTGGGCTTGCAGATACTCCGGGTCCAGCCCGATGGCGGTGGCATAGTCATCCAGCGCCCCGGCGGGATCGCCCAGATCGTCGCGGGCATTCCCCCGCTGGTAATAAGCAGGGGCATAGGCGGCATCCAGCGCCAATGCCATCGTCAGCGACCGGTCGGCATCTTCCGCCCGCCGACGCCGCAGGCTGGTCACACCCAGGTTAAAGTGTACCGCGAAGTCGTCCGGACGGGTGCCGGCCAACGCCTGATACACCGCCAGCGCCTCCGGATAACGACCAATTGCAAAACAACCATTCCCGAACATCAGGCTGTGCGGACTCCGACCGGTTGGTATTCCGTCGTCCATGGTCGCCAGTGCGTCCAGCACCTCAGCGACGGCAGCGGCGTCTTCGCCATGCAGCCGCCCGCCTCTGGGTCGCGGCGTGAGCACACCCGTTCCCAGACCGTGCCATTCCAGCATCCCGGCCAGCCGGCTCAGTAGTTCGTCAGCAGATTCCATCAACTTGGCGCCTGCGCCCGGGGGCACGGATGTAACAACGCCATCCTTTCCCAGCGGCGAATTACAGTGTGGAGACGCGCCCGCCGCCCATTTCGGGGCGCAGCGCTATCTGGGCCAGGGCCAGTGCCGTGTAGTAAGAAACGGTCATCGTCAGGTCCACCACACCGCGATCTCCCAGCACGTCATGAACCGCCTTGAAATTCTCGTCTGAAACGTCTTTTTCGCGGGTCATCTGCTGCACGAACCGGGCAATGGCAGCCTGTGTGCCTTCCAGACACCCCGGCGCCTTGCCGGTGCGTATGCCTTCTATCGCTTCGTCGGATACACCGGCGCGCGCCGCCGCCACCGAATGCCCCGTCCACTCAATCCCCGAATCCCATTCCCGGGCCACCAGTATGATTGCCAATTCTTTCAAATCATCCGGCATCGAGGACTGGAACCGAAGCGAAGCGCCCAGCGAGGTGAGATACCCCGCCGCCAGCGGGCTATGCAACAACGCCCTGAACTGCAATCCAACCTCGTCAACCCCCCGGTCCTCCCTGATACGGTCATAGATCGTTTGACCGTCTGAGTCTAATTCGTCGCGAGATACATAGGGAACGCGGGCCATGACATCTTCCTCCGGCTGAACTCCATCCAGCATACCACAGGCCGCCCAACCCCTCACCAACCACCGCCAATAACGCCACGCTCCCCGACGCTTTCGATAACGGATCGGCCGGATGTTCTCTGCTCAACCGGGTGCCGGGTTACGAAGCTTTCCACTCGAAGGCGGGCCGGCGTTGACGGTTGGTCGCGGCTGCGGCTAGCCTGCGACGGAACGGCCGCCGGCCAAAGCAAACCCGAGGTAACGCGCCATGTCGCTGAAATTGGTGAATTGGAATGTTCAATGGGCTACTCCCAGATCGCGCCGAAGCTCCGACATCCTCACTCGCATCGCTGAACATTTTCCCGAGGTCATTTGCCTCACCGAAACACACGTTGCGCTGCTGCCTCATCAGGGCCACCTGATCTGTTCCCAACCCGACTACGGGTACCCGATCAAGGAAGGTCGCCGGAAGGTTCTGCTCTGGTCCAGGGAACCCTGGCATCAGATTGATGATGTCGGAATCGATTCCATGCCACCCGGTCGGTTTGTGTCCGGTGTTACCCGAACTTCCCAGGGCGAGGTGACAATCATGGGTGTTTGTATTCCCTGGGCGGGATCGAGGGTGGACAGGACTGCAACAACGCGCAAAAGGTGGGAAGACCATCAGGAGTATCTGGATGGTCTCTCCCGTGTGCTCGATCGAACACCCGCGGAGCGTTTGATTGTGGTGGGAGATTTCAATCAGCGGCTCCAGCGGGGTAAATCCACGCCACACCGTGTTCGCTGGGCTCTGCAATCCGCCGTGGCATCACGCCTGGACATCACCACTTCGGGGCTGGGATTCCAGGGGCGTCGCACCATCGACCACATCGCGTTGAGCCCGGATCTGGCTGCTGAGTCCCTCGGCATCATCAGCAACATTTGGGAAGCCGGAAAGCTGTCCGATCATTTCGGAATCGTTGCCGCCGTGTCGGCCCAATCCCTCCGGTAGTATGGCTGGCGGGGGAGAGACTTCTTCGGCAGACTCATGCGTGCCCACTTTGTCATTGCGACCCCGTACTCGATACGGGGGTTGGCAATCTCGATGAGGCTGAACACACGTAGACGATCCTTCGACAAGCTCAGGACGAACGGCCCGGTGGGGCCGGCCCTTCGACAAGCTCAGGACGAACGGCCCGGTGGGGCCGGCCCTTCGACGGGCTCAGGACCAGCGGGGGGATTGCCACGTCGCTATGCTCCTCGCAATGACAGATTAAACCTGGTACGCGTGAAGGCTAGAAAGTGGGGACAAGTGTCGTCATTCCCGCGGAAGCGGGAAACCAGCGGTGCGAAAACAACAATGACTGCCGCCCTCAAATCGGTTATCCTTGCCCAATGCTCAGCGACCTGTGGGTAATCGTTGCCAGTATCCTCATCCTGACCGGCCTGCTCGCCAGCCAGGCGTTGATCATTGTCGTCGGCGTTCTGGTGCTCGTCATCTGGCTCACCGGCAAGCATTGGCCCCGATTCGCGTTCCGTCGCGTCAGTTACAGTCGAAGCCTTGAGCGAAGGCGCGCTTTCATCGGCGACGTCGTCGATTACTTCATTACCGTTGACAACGGCAAGCTGCTTCCCATGATCTGGCTGGACATCTCCGATGCCTTCCCCATCGGGTTGCAAACCTCCGGCACCCACCAACGCGGCGTCGGCGCTGAGGCCGAGCTGGATCACCGCATCACCACCTCCCTGCTGCCGTACCAGCGCACCACCTGGCGTTACCGGGTACGCTGCCGCACCCGGGGCAACCACCGCATCGGCCCGGCCCGCCTTCGCAGTGGCGATATCTTCGGTTTCAGCGCCGCCGAAATGAACGTGCCCGACGTGGAATACCTGCTGGTCTACCCCCGCATCGTAGACTTGCGCCAGTTGCTGACGCTGTGGGAACAACCGATGGGCATAACCCGCGGCCTTCGTCGCATCCAGGACGATCCCAGCCGTTTCGTCGGCCTCCGCGACTACGTCCCCACCGATCCGCTTAAACATATCGACTGGAAATCCACCGCGCGCCACGGAAAGCTGGAGACTCGCGTTTTCGAGCCGGCCGCAACCCAGCACATGCTCATCGCTCTCAATGCTCGCACCGGCGACGCCGCCTGGCAGGGGAGCAACCGGCGTCTCTTCGAACGCGCCGTTACCGTTGCGGCTTCCGTCGCAGCCCACGCCGAGCGGCAGGACTACACGTTCGGGTTGGTCAGCAATGCCGTCGCTTCATACTCCAGCAAATGGATCCTGGTGCCCTCCGGGTCCGGTCAACCGCAGCTGGAGGCAACCCTGGAGTCACTGGCCATGGCAGGACCTTTCTGGGTCGCCGAACTGCCGGTGGTGCTGGGCGCCGAGGCACGCCGGTTACCGGCCGGGTCTACCGTTGTGCTGGTTACCGCCATCCTGTCCCGAGCCGTGGTGCAGGAAGCCGACGAGATCCGCCGGCGGGGCCACCGCCTCGTCATATTCTATGCCGGCGACGGCGATCCCGGCCCGGCCGCCGCCGCGTTGCCCGCAGAGGTATCGGTCTTTCTCGCCGGTTCCAGCCTCGCCGCTTTGGAAGATGTTTGGCGCGACGACTGGGCCGCCGACGATCTCGACGCCGCCTGGCGACAGTCCCCCGAGGAAATGCCGGATGAGGAGGTAACCGGTGGGTAGGTTTACCCGATCCGCGATGATCGTGTTCATCGCCCTGTTCCTCGAAGGCTGCGCGGTTTACCTCGTTTGTCGGTTAATCGCAAACGTACTCCAACTGCCCGAAGCAGCTATCCCTCTTCCGGTCATGGCCCTGGCCATGTTTTGGTCGTTCATTCTGTCATGGTACGTGCAAACCATACAATTCTCCCTGAACCTGCGGGGCATCATCGGCCTGATTCTGAGCGCCGCGTCGGTACTGGTTCTGGCCGGTGTCAGCATGGGCGCCGGCTGGTTCCCCCTCGGCAGCGTCTTCAGTGGCGACCTCCGCGCCATTGCTGCTTTGGCGTTATCCATCGCGTTCATGCTGGCCATGTGGTGGCGCGGCACTGCCATCGCCCGCGACGACGTAACCCTGGACGTCCTTCGCAACGCCTTCGTTCGTGGCGTCGTGACCATCGTGGTCGCCGTTGCCTCCGACCCCTTGATCGAAGCCAACATCGTCCAATGGCCTCTCCTGTTTGGTTATTTCGCCGTCGGGTTGTACGGACTTGCCATGAGTCGATTCACCTCCGAGGGCGCCACCGGACACATGAGCCGGGGCTGGATGGCGTCCATCGGCCTGGGAGTCGCCGCTGTGTTGGTCCTGGCTCTGGTGTTGGGAGCCGCCGGCGTGGGCGGACTCGACGACTTGACCCGTGCCGTCACCGGCGGACTCGGCTGGTTGGGCCTGTGGGTGTTGCGGCCCGTACTTCTGTTGCTGGGGTTATTGGCCGCCGGCATGGTCGCCCTGGGCAACTGGGTATCCGGATTTTTCGGCGGCGGCGATCTCAGTGGCCTGGAGCTGGCGCGCACCCAGATTCAGGAACTCCACGACAGCCTCAGGGACGCCGAAGGCGACGGCCCGCCCGGCTTGATTCTCACCGCTCTCAAGTGGTTGGCGGCCATCTCAGCGGTGTCCCTGGCCGCTTGGGTTTTGTTCCGCATGTTTCGACGGCGTCGCCTCGTTGGCGGCAACTACTCCGAAGGTGAAGTCCGAGAATCCCTGTTCACCTGGCAGGGCGCCGGCCAGGATATATCCGACGCCTTTTCCGGTTGGGCCAACTGGGCCTCCAACCTGCGCCGTAACCGTCCGCCACCTGCTACGCCCCGAGACGTGTACCACCGGATGCTGGACGTGGCAACCACCGTGGGTCGACCCCGCCGCGAGGGGCAAACGCCCCACGAACACCGGCGGGATGTCTCCGAAACCCTCCCCGAACCGCCGGTCCACCGTATCGTGGACGGGTTCCAAGACTACTACTACGGGAGGCAGCAAACCGAACCGCCGGCGGATTCCATGTCCTCCCTGTTGGAAGACCTGGATTCCCTGGAACCCCGGCTCTAACCCCGCCTGCCCACCCGGCCGGACTAACGGAACTGCGGGATCACGTCGGCGGCGATAACCTGCATCAACTCGCGAATCCGGGACACATCCCCGGTGTTCAGGGCCATCACCAGATGCGACACGCCAGCCTCACGGAATGCCGCTATGCCGGCCGCCATTCCCGCCGCGTCGTCGCCGGGCAAGCGCGCCCGATCCGCAGCCCGGTCACTGGACGGACGCCCGTGAGCTTCCACCTCAACCCGCACCGACATCACCAGTTCGTCAGGATTTCGCCCCGCCGCTTCCGCCAGTTCCATGATGTGGCGGCGACCAATCGCAAACTCCTCCGCCGTCACCCCCGAGGGATGCCACCCGTTGCCACGCCGGGCCGCCCGCCGGTGCGCTCCCGGACTGTTCCCACCCACCCACAGGGGCACGTTCGGCGCACCGTTCATCACCTGTCGAGGTTTCGGCGAGAACTTCAGGTCGCTGAACTCCCAGCGGGCGCTCTGATAGCGAGGGTCTTCGTTTGACCACAGTTCGCGCATCACGTCCATCGACTCGTTGGTCAGGGAACCCCGTTGGCTGAGCGGAATACCCAACGCCTCGAACTCGGGCGTCATCGCACCCACTCCCACGCCCAATACCACACGCCCCCCGGACATCTGATCCAGCGTAGCCGCATACTTCGCCAGCTCAACCGGATTGTGGTACGGCAGCACCAGTACCGACGTTCCCAGTTGTACCTTCGACGTCAACGCCGATATGTGCGACAGCGTGGCCATCGGATGGTAGTACGGCTTGTCGTCCAACCGTTCCCGGATGTACCCGGTGTTGAACAGGTGGTCCATAACCCACACCGAATCGTATCCCAGCTCTTCGGCCATCGGGCCAAACTCGATCACTGTTCGCGGGTCCTCCAAACCCCAGTTATTGGGGATGGTTACGCCAAATTCCATCAGGTGCCTCCGTAATATGCAGGGCGACCTCTGGCCGCCCACCTCTAGATATCCAGCGAAACGCCGGGGCCCCTAACCTGCCCCGGCGTAAAACGACTACCCAAACGCAGCGGCGCGGCTCAACCGGTTTTGATCGACTGCAACAGCCGGACCGACTCAATCGCCCCCACCGCGCAATCCGATCCCAGGTTGCCCACTTTCCCGCCGGATCTGTTGATGGCCTGCTCCAGATTTTCCGTCGTCAAAACCCCGAACATCGTCGGTATCCCCGTTTCCCTACTGACCGCGGCGATGCCCGACGCGGCCTGATTGCACACCATGTCGTAATGGCTGGTTTCCCCACGGATTACGGCCCCCAGGCAGATCACGGCATCGTATTGTCCCGACGCCGCCAGGGTCTTTGCCACCACCGGCAATTCGAAAGAACCAGGTACCCACGCGGTGGCTATGTCGTCATCGCGCACCCCGTACTGCGCCAACGTAGACAGCGCCCCTTCCATCAGGTTTTTGGTGATAACGTTGTTGAACCGGGCGGCTACAACGGCCACGCGGAGCCCCGAACCATCTATTCCTGCGTTAAGATCTCGTGGCAAGGTCTCATCTCCTGTGCGACGGCCGGAATCAATCGACGCGAAAATCTGGCACCCAATTTCCCGGCCAGTGTACTACGTAGCCGTCAATAATGTCATTACCGACCTATCATCATCCACGGTCTTTCGATTGTCCCCTAATGCCATTGCGACCCCGTACTCGATGCGGGGGTTGGCAATCTCGTTGCCAGGCCTGGCGTACCCCAGTCATTCCGGACTTGATCCGGAATCCACCGGGGGCAGGGGTGGGTGGATTCCCGCCTTCGCGGGAAATACGGGGATGAGGGCTAACCCCCGCTCATCCCGAGCCCGCAGAAAGACCCCCTCTCCCTCGATGGGAGAGGGTTGGGGTGAGGGTGGGCCATGCCGTTCGTCCTGAGCCTGTCGAAGGATCATCCCAACCCGCAGTTATTGCGAGCAGCACCGCGACGTGGCAATTCCGTTGCCAGGCCTGGCGTACCCCAGTCATTCCGGACTTGATCCGGAATCCACCGGGGGCAGGGGTGGGTGGATTCCCGCCTTCGCGGGAAATACGGGGGTGAGGGCTAACCCCCGCTCATACTGAGCCCTCAGAAAGACCCCCTCTCCCTCGATGGGAGAGGGTTGGAGCCTGCCCCGTACTTGATACGGGGGTGAGGGTGAACCCTCCCGTTCGTCCTGACCCTGTCGAAGGATCATCCCAACCCGCAGTTATTGCGAGCAGCACCGCGACGTGGCAATTCCGCCCCGTCCGTCTGCTAACTGTCCTGTTGGTCCAAAATCCCCCGAATCGTAAACATGCGCTGGAACAGCGTGAAACAGGACACCGCCGCGATCAACCAGATCACCCACACCATCACCGGCACCGGAGCCAACCCTTCCGCAATCAACCCTCCGCCCAGAATAACAACCCGCTCCGATCGCGTCATGATGCCCGATCGCGTGAACGCTCCCAACCCTTCACCCCTGGCCCGCAGGTACGAAACACCCTGCGAAAACACCAGTCCCAAAAGCACCGCCAGCATGCTCAGCAACAGCTGATTCGGCTCCAGTTCCGCCCAAAGGTAATACAATCCCAGGCCCACGAACAACGCCGCCTCACCCAACCGATCGAACACCGAATCCAGCAGCGCCCCGAAGGGAGATGCCCGGTTGGTCAAACGGGCCAGTGCCCCGTCAAACAGGTCGAGAAAGCTGCCCACCAGGAATACGATCCCGCCGTACAGCGGCCAGTCCATGGCAACCAGCGCCGCTGCGGCAACGCATACCAGGAAACCGAACACCGTGACGATATTGGGAGTGAGTCCCACCGCGTTCAGCCCGCGCGCTCCGGGAACCTCTACGTAACGCAAAACCGCAGCCCTGAACTGCTCTCTACCTGGCAATGCCACGGATACTGGCCTCCTCGATGCACTGGTAATAATATTCCTCCACGTCGGAGGCGATTAATTGCCAACGATGGTCCGCCGCCGTTTCCCGGCCGGCCGCCGACAATCGCCCTGCCAGGTCCGGGCTGTCCGCGATGCGCCTGATCGCGCTGGCAACAGCTGCCGGATCCCGCGGCGTCGTCAACAACCCCTGCTGCTCGTGGGCAACCACGTCCCGGTACCCGTCGATATCAGAAGCCACCACCGGCGCTCCCGCCGCCATCGCTTCCAGCAGCACGATCCCGAAACTCTCCCCGCCGGTGGCCGGGCTGCAGAATACGTCGGCGCTGGCGTAGTAGCGGGGCAAATCCTGGTAAGACACCGTGCCGGCATCCATCACCGATTCCGCGTCCATGCGGGTCAGCGTGGCAACAGTGCGTTGACTCTCCCTGTCCAGCCCGCCGGGACCCACGATTATCAGGCGCAGGTCGTCCCGTTCGGCACGCAATCGGGCGCAGGCCTCTACCAGGTATCGCAATCCTTTCCGATCGTCTTTTCGGCCCACGAACAGTACGTTGAACCTCCCGTCGCGCAGATGCGGGAAAGCCTCGCCACGGGCAAAATGGTCGTAGTCGATTCCGTTGGGAATGACGCGGTAATCGTGCCCCGGAAAATGCGGAGCTACGAACGAACGCGCCGCCGGAGATACCGCTATCCGACCGTGCAATCGCTGCTGCCAGCGCCCCAGCGAAGGCCGCCAGAATCGGTACAGTCGGTGGCGTTCGGAGAAAGCATGAAAGGTGCCTATATTCACCGACCTGGAGTGTTGCAGTACCATCCAGGGCAGCAGGGGAGCCAGCGGTTCGTGAATGTGTACCACGTCAAAAGATTCCCGGGCCATCAGGTTCCGAACTCGCGGGTAGATCCAGGGTGACATCGAAACCCGCGCCGTGGAACCGCCGGCCGATAGCCGCACAGTGCGCCCCATCGATATGAATCGCCCGCCGTGAATGTCAGTAGCCAACGGTCGTTGCGGCGTTTGCGGTGCGATAACCTGTACGCAATGCCCGCGTTCCCCTAATTCAGCAGACAATTGAGCCACGTGGGCGTTGACACCGCCGGGCCAAGTGAAGTCGTAGGGAGACACCATGGCGATTTTCATGGCCCTGGCTATCTCCCTCCCAACACAGCATCACCCAGCTACCGCACGTTGTTGGCCCTACGCATCGCCTCCGGGTTTCACGATCTTCGCTGCCGCTACCTCCGGGTCGGCGATGAACTCCTCCACCATGTCGTGGGCTTCGGAATCGGTAAACTGGATCGGCGGACTCTTCATGAAGTATGCCGACGGACCGATCACTGCACCACTCTGACCATGGTCCAGTGCCAGCTTGGCGCACCGGATGGCATCCACCACCACGCCCGCCGAGTTTGGGCTATCCCAAACCTCCAGTTTCACTTCCAGCTTCACCGGAGCCCCGCCGAACACCTTCCCATCAATATGGATGTAACACCATTTCCGGTCCTTCAGCCACGGCACGTGGTCGCTGGGGCCAATGTGGATCATATCGGCTTCTGGCTCTTCATCCATCTGGCTGGTAACCGACCCGGTCTTGGAGATTTTTTTGGATATCAGACGTTCACGCTCCAGCATGTTCAGAAAATCGGTATTGCCACCGAAGTTCAGCTGGTACGTATTGTCGATCTCCGCGCCCCGGTTTTCCATCAGGCGCGTCAGCACGCGGTGAACTATGGTGGCCCCAACCTGCGACTTGATATCGTCGCCGATGATGGGTACGCCGCGTTCCTCGAACCGACCCCGCCAGTAATCTTCGCGGGCGATGAACACCGGGATGCAGTTGATCATGGCACAGCGCGCGTCAAGAATCTGCTCCACGTACCATTTGGTCGCCATCTCACTGCCCACCGGCAGGTAATTGATGACCACGTCCACCTCGCGGTCCTTCAGGATTCCCGAAATGTCCGCGGTGCTGTGAGGCGACTTCACCACCACGTCGGCCAGGTAGCGCCCGATCCCGTCGTGAGTCATTCCGCGTTCCACCGGCACACCCAGGTAAGGCACGTCGGAGAACTTTATCGTATTGTTGGGTTCGGTGAAAATGGCCTGCGACAGGTCTTTGCCCACCTTGTTCTGGTCCACGTCAAACGCAGCCACAACCTCAATATCCTCGATGCGATATTCCCCGATGCGATTATGCATCACTCCAGGGACGATCTCGTCATCCGGCAATTCAACGTATTTGCTCAGGCCCTGCACCAGGGACGATGCGCAGTTACCCACGCCAATGATGGCAACCTTAATCTTGCCCAATTTCCTCTCCTTGCACCCCGGCAAAATCCGGGCCCTGGCCCGAGTGTGGACTTTTCATTACGACCGCGGCTAGTTCAGCCTGCCGGATAGTCTACCACATGCAGAATATGGCGCTGCCCACGCCACACGCTAACGATTCGTTTAATAGTCCAGGCTAACGTTGCACTCCCCGCGGGAGCCTTTTGGGTCTTCCCATCACAATCCGGCGGCGAAGCCGGCAATGGCGCAATGCTAACCAGCGCTAAAAAACCTGAAGATGGCCGTTTCGTCGTCGTGGCGGAACCTTCCACCCCTGAATCGTATGTCCCGACCCTGTTCGATGTGCTGATTCACCAGCGCCGACACCTGCCCGCTGGCATCGTCAGCGTCTGCGGCCCCCCTCACGATATTCATCAGCTCGTCGCCAAGCAGATTGTCGCTCACTCCGTCCGTGCAGCCAACCAGCCGATCTGCGTGGGTGATGTCCACCGTGGTTTGAAACACGGTCAGTTTCTCCTCCGCTCCAATCGCCTGAGATACACCCAGGCGTATCAATCCGCCGTGCCGTCCGCTGAATTGTTCATGGCTGTCGGGCCGGATCACGTATATCGGGCTGTCCCCAACACTTACGATTTGCAGTTGCCCATTCAAATACAGCGACGCCGAAAAGGTGGTCAGCAGAAACCGCCCGCCCCCCACCTGAAAGAAATCTTCGTTCTGTTCATTCAGGACGGCAACGATGTCCTCGGGGCCGGTTATGGCGATATCGCGCAGGGCATCCGCAACCGACGTGCTGGCTTCGTTTCCCCCGTGGCCGGTAACGCCGTCCAGCACCACGTCCAGAAAGTTGCCGTCGCCAAGGTCGCGAATCAGGTAGCTGTCTTCGCCGTGGGCGGAGTTGTCGTGGAGTGTAGCCAACGAACTCGTGAGCATGATTCTTCAGTCCTCGCAGTGTTATGAGTTGCTGGAATCAGGCAGACAGGTTGGTAAGTTCAATCTCTGCGTTGAATCGATAGCGTGTCCAGTGGTCTTCCGTCAACCGCCGCAAGGCCGTATTCCACGCGCCCCGCGCCGTTTCACCCTCGGACAAACTACTGTTACGGATGGTAATCAGGTGGAGGCAATCCTGCAAGTCTTTTCCGAACTCGCTTACGCTGCCGTACGACCGGCCGCGAACCTTGCCGATGCACGCGGTAATTACCTCCCGAAGATCCTCACCAGTTCCGGAAAATGACGCTGCCAATTCGTCGCATTCCTGCTCCAGCGAAATCACCGGCCTCTGATTATACGGGTCGTAATACCCGGCTGGGTCGGCCGGCGGCAACAAAGGTGAGATGTAAAATTTCAGCATCTCTACGTAAAAATCGTGCACGTCCTGGGGTCCCCGATTCCCCTGGGGCCGGTTATCGTCCACACCCACCAGCGCCCCGGAATCGATTAGCGAGATTTTGCCCTCGCCAGGCGAATAAAATACATTGTGCGGCCCCAAATCCAGCAGCGCATAACCGGCGGCGGCAAAAATTTCCTGGGCTTCCACCAGTTGCGTTTGAATGGGCCATTCGGCAACACCCTCAGGCCGGGCCAGCGGATGCAGCGCAAACAGGTTCTGCCCCAGCCCGATGGGCACCCTTAGAATTCGGCTGCGTGGGTCTCCCACCAGCGGAATCCCCGTCGCTCGCTCTTCCACGCGCACCCGGTATTCCTGGCCCAAATCCTCGTTGAAGTAGTCGTCATGGATGGCGGCCTCGGTCACGCCGATCACCCGGGGAACCGTCGCGCAAAATTGCCCCGCGGCCTCATACGCCTCCAGGGTTCGGGTGGTGCGCTCCTCGATACCGCCGTGCGTCTGCCGTATCACCGCCTGTGGACTCGGGCGTTTCAGAACCACGGGCAATCCGGTTTCCCGGTCCGTGGCCGCGCGCACGTCGTAATCGGCGCCGCTACCCAGCGGGCCGGTCATCTCAAAACGTTCCAGCGAAACTATGTCCATTGCAGGCACGAGTTAATCAAAATATCAGGCACGTTTATCAAGCATCGGAGTTGTTGGCATCCCGAAGTTGTTCGCATCAGGGCAGATGACAGAAGATAGTAACCCAATCCTCGCGTTGCACGGTTTCGCGCACCGACAACCCCGCCGCTAATATGGCGGCAACCGCATCCTCGTGCTGGTCCACGATTATACCCGAGGCCACGAACACACCCCCGGGCGCCAGCAGCTCCGGTATCCCGGGGGACACGATCCTGACCCCCCGGGCGCTGATGTTGGCCACGGCCACGTCGTATGTTCGCCCGCGCGTAGCCGCCCCGGGGATGCTGCCGGTCTCTGCGTTCACCCGGTCCAGAATCCTGGTCCGTTTGAAGTTCTTGCGCGCCGCTCGCACCGCGTGACCATCAATATCAACCGCCGTAATGTGACCAGCGCCCAATTTGGCGGCGGCTATCGTGAGAATCCCCGAGCCGGTGCCAACGTCCAGAACAGTACACCCGGGGGTTACCAGTTGCTCCAACGCCTCCAGGCACGTGTGGGTCGTCGGATGGTAACCCGTGCCAAACGCCAGGCCCGGGTCCAGGTCAATTACCACGTCACCCTCAATCGGCTCGTAGTCCACCCACGACGGTTTAACCACCAGATTCTTGCCCACTTTCAGCAGCGTGAAATGCTGCTTCCAGCTGTTGCGCCAGTCCTCAGAGTCGTCCAGTTCGCGTATGTCCAATTCGCCCAGGTCGCCCACGCTGGCCGCCAGCTTTACGCCAACCTCGATATGAGCCAGCCGCGTGCGGGACAAACTGGGCAGGTACGAACGCATAATCGCGCAGTCCATCGGTACCGTTTCTATGCTCAGCCCGTAAGCGTAACGCTCAAAAAGATAAGAAACCGGTTCGACGAACTCAAAGGGAACTCTTATCGTCAGTTCGTACCAGGCCATCGTCAATAAACCAGTGCTTTGGGCAAGTCAGCGTGCAGCGGCGATCAATTGCGTTCGACTCAGTCGCTGGTGGGCGAGAACGAATCTTTCAGGCGGTCGAACAAACCACGCTGCTTATCATCACCGCTCTCGGCGTCGGCGTCACGTTCCGGTTCAGACGTTTCGGTTTCCACCGGGTCCGGAGCCGGTTCCTCATCATCAACCTTGTTCCGCGGATTCCTGCCGTTTGCCGACTTGCTGCCCCGCTTTCTGCCAGCTGCCGGTTTTTTCGCTGCCGGACGAGCCTTGCCGTTATTGGAGAACGAATACTCCAGGTCTTCCAGCAACTGCCGCTGATACCGGTTCAGCTTCTCGGGAACGTCCACGTCCACCAGCACCCTGATATCCCCCCGGCGTTCGGTGGGCCGCCCGTTCCGTCGCAGATGCGGTACTCCGCGTCCCCGGACCCGGAAAAAACTCCCGCCCTGCGTGCCAGCGGGAATCTCCAGATCCACCGGGTCCCCTTCCAGCGTCGGCACCGGCTTGGTCACACCCAACGCAGCCTCGGCCACGTTGATCGAAACGCGGTGCAACAGATCAAAATCCTGCCTGTCGAACAACGGATGATCCTGCACCCTCACCTGAACATACAGATTGCCGGGCGGTCCCCCCTTGCTGCCGGCCCCACCTTCGCCGGTTATCCGAACCTGCATCCCCTCATCGACTCCAGCGGGCACCGTAACGGTTCGGGTACGTCGCCGACGTTCAAACCCCCTGGCGCGACAATTGGAGCAGGGCGTCTCAAACGTACGACCCGTACCGCTGCAGGTGGGGCAAGCGGTAGTGACGGCAAACTGTCCGAACACGCTCCGCTGCGCTCGCCGCACCTGGCCGGCGCCGTTGCACGTGCTGCACATGTTTACCGCAGTTCCCGGCTCATTCCCCGCCCCTGAGCAATGGTGGCAGGCTTCGGTCCGGGTGATTTCTACGTCCCGCTCGCAGCCAAACACGGCCTCCTCGAACGTCAACATAACCTGTTGGCTGATGTCTTCCCCGGCACGCGGTTGAGCGGCCGTCCGCCCGCTGCCGCCAAAGAACGTATCGAATATGTCGCCAAACCCGCCAAAGGGATCGAATCCGTCGAAGGGACGGTCGCCTCCCCCGTTCACGCCGGCATGGCCGAACCGGTCGTACCGGGCGCGTTTTTCCTGGTCGCCCAGTACCTGGTAGGCTTCATTGATCTCTTTAAATTTGTCCTCAGCGCCCGGTGTTTTATTCCGGTCGGGATGAAATTCCATCGCCTTCTTGCGGAAGGCCCGGCGTATTTCTTCGTCGTTTGCGCCGTTGGCGACGCCGAGGGTTTCGTAATAATCAGCAGGCATAAATGTCATTCGAACCAAATGTTTGCAAGATTGATTATAGCCGACCTCTACCCGTATGCTCAACACCACCCGGAAGTTCAAACCGCCGCCGTCCCCGCTTTAGTCTGTGATTGCGGGGAGCAGGGCGACGTGGCAATCTCGATGAGGCTGAACACTCCTCGACGAATCGCCGTTGCTACGGCGCCCTGGATGCGGCGGATGGAAGCGGCGGATGTCCCTTGCCATCCCGTATAATGCGACCATCCACTACCATCGCTCCCCGCCGAACACGATCGTGACTACAACCGCCAAATATCCCCCCCAACCGTCGGTCCGGCGCGAATCCCTGCCGCCTGGCCCACCCGAACGGCGCATCATCGGCCAAACCTTGCGCTACCTTCGCGACCCCATCGGCTTCATGCAGGAAGCCGCTACGTACGGCGACCTGGTAACCATGTCGGTAAAACCTGCGTTGCTGCTGCTGGTCAACCACCCCGACCTGATCCGGGAAATCGTTGTAAACAAACATCAATTGTTGGGGCGGGGACCCAACACCGAAGTCCTCAAATACGTGATGGGCAACGGCCTGGTTACCGCTTCCCCGACGGCGCATTTGCAGCAACGCCGCCTGATCCAGCCACATTTCCACCGCGACCGCATCCACGGTTACGGCGAAACCATGCTGGGCTTTGCTGCCCACCACCAGCAGGCCTGGGCCGATGGTCAGCGCGTGGACATGGCCTGGGAAATGAGCTCGCTGACCCTTCGCATTGTTGTCAAAACGCTGTTCGGCCTGGAGCTGCCCGACGATGTTCGCCGTATCGGAGAAGCCTTCGCCCTCGGCAACCGGTACGTCGTGGCCAGAGCCAACCAGCCGCCCAAGTTACGCAAGCTGCTCCACTGGTTACCAACGCCCTACACTCTTCGTTTCAAGCGGGCGCACGCCAGGCTCGACCGCATGGTCTACCAGCTCATCGATCAGCGTCGCAGCGCCGATGACGACACAGACGACCTCCTTTCCCTGCTGCTCCAGGCCCGCTTCGACGATACCGACGCTGACGACGTTGCCGCCGGCCCCATCTCCGCTGAAGACGACCCCAGCCAGGGCCATTTGATGACCGACGAGGAGGTGCGCGACCAAACCATCACGCTGTTCGCCGCCGGCCACGAGACCACCGCCGTCGCGCTGACCTGGACCTGGTATCTCCTATCGACCCATCCCGACATTCAGGACCGTTTTCACGCCGAGTTGGACCGGGCGCTCGGCGGACGAACCCCGACTCTCGCCGACCTGTCCAACCTCACCTTCACCGACCAGATTCTCACCGAGTCTCTGCGACTATACCCGCCCATCTGGTTCTGGTCCCGCATGGTGTTTCAGCCGTTCGAACTGGGTGGCTACCAGATGCCGGCGGGAGCCCTGTTGGCCGCGCCACAACTCATCGTCCAGCGTGACGCCCGTTGGTTCGACGACCCTCTCCAGTTTCGGCCCGACCGCTGGACTCCGGAATTTCGTCAGAATCTCCACCGCTTCGCCTACTACCCGTTCGGCGGTGGCCCCCGTCAGTGCATCGGAGACGGATTCGCCTGGATGGAAGCCAAGCTCATCCTCGCCACTCTCGGCCAGCGCTGGCGCATGCACCACGACCCAGGCCACCAAATTGGCCTGCTTCCTCTCGTTTCCCTACGCCCCAAGGGCGGCATGCCCATGTTCCTCGAACGCCGCTGACGCGCTTCATCCCATTTGATAAAATCCCACCAACCATTCATTCGTTCGCTACACCATGCGTTCCCGACACAAGGAGAAATAACATGCCCATCGCCAGGCTATACACCGGAGACGACGGACAAACTCACATCGAGGAACTGAATCTGGAATCTCATCCCGAGCTCGCCGACATGCAGTCCACCACCGGAATAGTGTTTCGCAGGGTCGAGTCCGGCTATTTCAGCGACTGGCACTGTGCCCCCCGCCGGCAGTTCGTCATAACCCTGGAAGGTGCGGTGGAGATCGGCCTCGGAGACGGTACCGTGCACCGCTTTGGCGTCGGTCAGGCCATGCTCGCCGAAGACCTCACCGGTCAGGGCCACACCACCCGCGCCGTGGGCGACGGCCCCAGGCTCACCGCCACGGTGCCTCTGGCAGGCTGATCCCCTCAGTGTAAAAACTGCACCCTCTCCCGCGGTGGGAGAGGGTGCAGCTACAGGATTGAACCCGAACCCCGATCCGATCAGGGTCGAGGTGATTAATCGTCGGCTACGCCGGCCGGCTCTTCGAGTTGTCTGGGGAAGTTGCCCTCGAACAGGCCCTTGTCTGCCGAGCGGTTCCACTCGGAACTCGGCAGCTCGTAATATACTTCGATCTCGTTGTCGTCGGGATCCAGCAGGTACACGCCCAGCGAAACCCCGTGGTCGCCAATCCGCTGGATTCGCACGTTGTTGTCCTTGAGGCGCGCGTGCAGTTCCTGCAGGTCCTCAAAGGTTTCCATCTGCCACGCCATGTGCGCCTGACCAATCAGGGAGTGGTCGGGACCCTGCGCGTCCATGCCGATGGCGCGGATTGCCAACTCGTGCGACTTTTCAGTGTTCGCGGACATGAACACGGTGCCGCTGGCAGTCCTCTCCATGATGGTCAAACCCATCACCCTGGTGTAAAAGTCCAGCGACCGTTCCATGTCCCGCACCCGCATTACCAGATGCCCCAGATGCTTCGGTGTGTACGACATATTCTTACCTCCGTGTAATTGGCGACTTCGCGGGTCAGTGTTCCTGGTGCGCCTCAGTCATCCTGATCCAGAAAAGCGCGCACCTTCTGTTTATAGGGTTCCTTATCGTAGTTGGTGTACAGGGCCAGCGAGTTCCGCACCGGATTGCCGCCAAACATCCGCTCGTAGAGTACCTGACGGCCGCTGAACGAACTGCACGACACGTCCCAGGCCAGGTGGAAGAGTTTGGCGCGATCCCGCGCCGTGGCCGAATCCGTGGCGAAATACTGGTTCACCTCGGTGGCGATACCGGCATCGAAATCGGCTTCCGCCGGCAGCGCCATCAGGCTTCCGGTGCTCAACAACTGGATAATCTCGATCATCCGCGGGAACACCGTGCGGCCGAACATGGTGCGCCCGGCTCGGATGGAGTTGATATCGGGGCACATCATGCCCCACTGGTTGGGTTTGGCATCGGCTTCGGAAGCGCGCAGGCACGCCCGCAGCATATCCCGCTGGGTGATCAACTCCGCCACCATCTCCTGCACGTGCGTTATCGTCCCCGATCCCAGCGTATCCACGATCAAATCCGCCAGACCCAGCACAAACTCGGCCTTGGTAAGGCATCGCGTCAAAACCTGGTGTCCGGTGTGAGCGTCCGATTGAGTGCCGGAGGCGTATCCGTTGCACAACTCCACGTCCCCCAGCAGGAACACCCGCTCCCATGGCACGAACACGTCGTCGAAGAACACCACCGAGTCCATTTCCTCGAACCGCGACCCCAGGGGATGATCGAAGTGGGACCGACCCGCGTCGAAGCTCTCCCGGCACAAAAACTTCACACCCTCCGTACCGCACGGAATGGCGAATGAGAATGCCTGACGTCGGGCCTCGTCATCCAGCCGATGGCTCGCCACCGGATAGATGGCGATTTCGTCGGAGATGGGTCCCAGCGTCGCCAGCGTGCGGCTGCCCCGCACCACGATGCCAGCGTCGGTCTCCTTGACCAGCGTGAGCGCCACGTTATCGTGCAGCGTATCGGCCGGACCAGCAGTGCGCCGGCGCTGCAGGTTCACCAGGGCATGGGTGAGCGTTACATCGTTCTCCCGAATGAACTCGTGGTATGCCAGCACATTCTTTTTAAATTCGGGCCGATCCTGGGCAAAGTAGTCGGCCGACCCGGCCCACGCGGTAAATATGGTGTTCATAAAATCGGGCGAGCGCCCCATCATGCCGCAACTCGCCCAGGCCCAATGCGACATCATCTCGCGTCGGCGCTGCAGGTCTTCCGCGGTGCGGGGCACCATGAAGGAAATACCCACCGGATCGCCGGTAGCGGGCGAGGCGAAGGTCATCGCCTCGCTGAGCGTGGCGTCATGCTGCATATCGTACAGCGCGGCCACCGACTTCACGCCGTTGCGGAGCGCCGGATGCGTCGTCACATCCTTGACGCGCTCCCCCCTGATCCACACCTCGCGGGGGTGCTCCTTCAGTCCGGTGATATATTCCTGTCCCGTTCGTGCTGGCATAGTCTTTCATCTCCTTTGGAGAGAATTCCACGGATGCTGCGCCTGAAGCGGGATGCTACTTGAAGGCTGGCATAACCTCTTCAGTCATCAGCCGCAGGCTCCGCTGCACCGCTTCTTTCGGCAGGAACCCGCCGGGGTTCAATTCGGCGGTAATTCCCGATATTCCCAGCATTTCCTTGAACTCGTGCAGCCGGTCGATTACCTGCTCGGGACTGCCGAACACCACCCTGGTTTCCAGCAGGTCCTCGTAGGTGGAGTTGACCAGTCGCTCGTACCGCGCCTGGCGGCCCGCCGAAACGTCGGCGCCTTGCCGACCCCTCGAATATTCAAAGAGTTCCCGTTGGCGCTGGAAAAACGCCTCGATACTCTCCTTGGGCTCTTCAATGGCCTCGGCCTCGCTGGGGGCAATGTACACCGGGAAACGCACATTGATGTCGCCGCCCTCCCCGGGATGCCCGGCCGCCTTCCACTCCTGCTTGTACTCTTGCAGGTTCGTCTTCAGGTCTTCAACGTCCATCGTTCGCAAGCCCAGGAAGATGGGGTAGCCCAGCCGGCCAATGCGTCCGAAACTGTCCTCGCTGCTCGCGGCGATGCGCACCTTTGGGTGGGGTTGCTGGTAGGGCAGCGGAGAGATGCTGGCATTCGTGATGTGGTTGTACTTGCCCTCGTAAGAGAACGTCTCACCCGACCACGCCATCAGAATGATATCCAGCGCCTCCTGGAACCTGTCCTTGCTCTCCCCGTAGTCGATGCCCATGATGTCATAGGCACGCACGTTGCCGCTGCGCCCCACGCCAAACTCGAACCGTCCCTCGCTCAACTGGTCCACCGTCGCCGCTTCCTCAGCAATACGCAACGGATGGATTAGCGGCAACACCTGCACGGCCATTCCCACGCGCAATCGCTTGGTGCGCGTCGCGATGGAACTGGCAATGACTATCGGCGCCGACAGCACCGACCGAGCCGGATTGAAATGCATCTCCCCCAACCACACGGTGTCCAGGCCCAATTGCTCCGCCAGGTCAACCTCTTCCATCGATTCCCTGATGGCCTCCTGGTGTGTCTTCGCTCCACCCATGGTGAAGTTGATGTTAATTCCGAAGTCCATTGGGATACCTCACTAGCGTTGCTCGGAGCGTGCTGATCGCCGCGAGTCTGATCGTGGTCGCCTTGCAATTCCAGCCTTCCGGTTACAGTATAGTACACCCTGAAGACGGTCAAGACTCCCGGCGATTCTCAGGCGTCGGTAGGGAGTCCGCCAATGGTATTCGTCGACTGCTGTGTTGAAGGCGTCGGAACCCATCCCCAACAAATGACGCCAACAACAACGCTTCGGTACGCTCGTCGCCGCCGATCAAGATGCCAGCGGGCGGCATCAAACGGGACCTGCGGCGCCAGGTGAGTTGGTCAGTCGTAGTGAACGTGGCTGCCCCGCCTGGGTTCGAACCAGGGCTTACAGCTCCAAAGGCTGACGTGCTACCACTACACCACAGGGCATCAGGAGATGGCGTCGTCATTCCACCGTACGCCGTGCATCTCCGTCCGTATATTGTGCGACCCGTTCCCGGCGTCGTCAAGGCCGCCGCACTCCCTGCCAGGGCAATCGCATTTTGATTCTATTGCTCCCGTCTTTCCCGCGCCATTGCTTTCGGCATTCCCGCGAACGCGGGAATCCACGCACCCCCCTGTCCACCCTGTCCATCCATGTTGGATTCGTCCCCCCTCTCCCTTGATGGGAGAGGGCCGGGGGTGAGGGGCGTACCCACCTCCAACCTCCCCGAGCATCCTGAGCCGGTCGAAGGGCGCGCATCCTGAGCCGGTCGAAGAACGCCCATCCCGAGCCTGCCGAAGGATCACCCACTGAATCGGGCCTCGCCTGATGTATACTCCCAAAAATTACCACCTGAAAGGGAGCATCTGAACATCATGGAAACTGTTGGTTTCATCGGACTGGGCAACATGGGCGGCGGCATGTCCGCCAACATTCAGCGGGCCGGCTACCCCATGATTGTCTACGACCTGCGCGAAGAAGCCGCCCTGCCCCTGCTGGACGGCGGCGCCCGTCTCGCCAACTCCCCCGCCGAAGTTGCCGCCGCCAGCGACATCACCTTCACCTCCCTGCCAGGTCCCTACGAGGTGGAGGCCGTTTCCCTGAGCAGCGACGGCGTCCTGCAGGGCATCCGACCCGGCAGCGTCTACATCGACCTCTCCTCCAGCCGACCCACCCTGATCCGCGAGATCGAACCCCAGTTCCGCGCCAGGGGCGCCTATGTCCTGGACGCTCCCGTCAGCGGCGGCAAGACCGGGGCCGCCTCGGGCAACCTGGCCGTCATGGTCGGCGGCGACCGCGAGGTGTTCGATCGGGTCAAGCCGGTGCTGGACGCATTTCGGCGACAAGGTGTTCTATGCCGGCGAGATCGGCGCCGGCAGCGTGGCCAAGCTGGTCCACAACATGATCGGACACAGCGTCCGCCAGGCCATCGCCGAGGGCCTGACCCTGGGCGTCAAGGCTGGCGTCGACCCCGAACCCCTTTGGGAGTGCATCCGCCGGGGTTCGTTGGGCCGCATGAGGGTGCTGCATGAGGGACTGGTACGCACCATGTTCCGCGGGGAGTTCGAGCCGGCCAGCTTTGCCCTGAATCTGGCCTACAAGGACATCTCCCTCGCCACCGAACTGGCCCGCGAGTACGATGTCCCCATGCCCATGTCCACCCTGGCCGAGCAGATCGCGTTGCATGCCATGAATCGCGGTTGGGCCGAAATGGACAGCAGCGTAACCGTCCGCCTGCAGGAAGAGCAGTCTGGCGTCGAGGTGCGCGCCCCTCACGTCGACCCGGCACGCGCCGGACGTTTCATCACCACCCACCCCGACTCCGAGTAACCCCTGCCTGCTGTCATCGCAATCTAAAATCCCTCTCCCAATACGGGAGAGGGATTAGTTTCGGAAGAGAAGCCTGTCGCCGTACCTACGCCTTCTGGTAGATCTTTGCTGCCAGCCTCCCGGAATTCCGCCGATTTCTCTTCCATACCAACGTCCAGAGCCGCCTCGGGTTCGACGCTATGCTGCGCTGCGTATTCCCGAACGTCCTGGGTGATCTTCATCGCACAGAACTTGGGGCCGTACATCGAGCAGAAGTGAGCCACCTTGGCCCCCTGGGCCGGCAATGTCTCGTCGTGGTAGTCGCGGGCGGTTCCCGGATCCAGCGCCAGGTTGAATTGGTCGTCCCACCGGAACTCGAACCGTGCCTTGGACAGAGCGTCGTCCCACTGTTGGGCCATCGGATGCCCCTTGGCAACGTCGGCGGCATGAGCCGCGATCTTGTAGGTTATGACGCCGGTTTTCACGTCCTCCCGATTGGGCAGACCCAGGTTGTTCCTTCGGCGTCACGTAGCAAAGCATCGCCGTGCCGAACATCCCCACCATCGCGGCGCCAATGCCTGAAGTGATGTGGTCGTAGGCTGGCGCAATATCGGTAACCAGCGGCCCCAGCGTATAGAAGGGCGCTTCGTGGCACACCTCCATCTGCAGGTCCACGTTCTCCTTGATCTTGTGCATCGGCACGTGACCCGGCCCTTCAATCATCACCTGAACGTCCTGCTCCCAGGCAAACTGGGTCAGCTCGCCCAGCGTCTTAAGCTCCGAGAACTGCGCTTCGTCGTTGGCGTCCGCGATGCAGCCTGGCCGCAATCCGTCTCCCAGGGAGAAGGACACGTCGTAGGCCCGCATGATCTCGCAGATTTCGCCGAAGTGCGTGTACAGGAAATTCTCCTGGTGATGCGCCAGGCACCAGCCGGCCATAATGGACCCACCCCGCGAAACGATGCCCGTCAGACGGTTGGCCGTCAGCGGCACGTAGCGCAGCAGCACTCCGGCGTGGATCGTAAAGTAATCAACACCCTGCTCGGCCGGCTCGATCAACGTGTCCCGATACAGTTCCCAGGTCAGTTCCTCGGGGTTGTCACCCACCTTTTCCAGCGCCTGGTAGATGGGAACCGTGCCGATTGGAACCGGCGAGTTTCGCAGTATCCATTCCCGCGTTGTGTGGATATCGCGACCCGTGGACAGGTCCATCACCGTGTCAGCGCCCCACGTGGTCGCCCACAACATCTTTTCCACTTCTTCCTCGATTGACGAGGTAATGGCCGAGTTTCCGATGTTGGCGTTCACTTTCACCAGGAAGTTCCGACCAATGATCATTGGCTCCGACTCCGGGTGGTTGATGTTGGCGGGGATGATCGCCCGACCGCGGGCCACTTCCTGCCGCACATATTCCGGATCAATGCCCTCCCGTATGCCGACGAACTCCATCTCCGGAGTAACGATGCCTTGGCGGGCGTAGTGCAGTTAGGTAACGGGCTGACCGGTCATGGCCCGCAGCGGCCGGCGTTTCAATCCCGGGAACGGTTGGGCCTGGTTATCCCCTCGCACTGCAATCGTATGCCCACCGTATTCTTCCACGCCCCCGCGCGCCATGATCCAGTCGCGGCGCAACGCCGGCAACCCCTGCCGCAAACCCAGAGTCGCCGTCTCGTCGGAATACGCCCCGCTCGTGTCGTAGATGGACAGTGGAGCGTTATCCTCCTGTCCGAACCGTCCCGTGGTCGGGTTCAGTGCGATTTGGCGAAAGGGTACGCGAATGGATGGCGAAGATCCTTCCTGGTACACCTTGGTGCTGGCTGGAAATGAGGGCTTTCCCTTGAAAGCCTGCTTGTACTCCGTAGATACAACCATTAAGCGCCTCCGTTTTCGTAATGGGCCGCAATAAAATGAGCCGCCAACAAAAAAGATGGCGGCCTGCAATGGCATATCTACAAGAGCCGTCTCCCTACGCTGGCATTACCCAGATCAGGTTCGCAAGGGTCGGTGACATTCTGGTCGCCCTCTCAGCCCGGCTTACCCGAGCTCCCCTACGTGCCCATAGCCTGAATTTTTAATCCCTGCTACTGCAGGTTGCTAGCATTATTAGGAGTCCAGACTTAACAGTGTCAATCGAAGCATTGAGCTCAAGCGTACCCGCTTTGATCTGTCATTGCGAGGAGCATAGCGACGTGGCAATCTCGATGAGGATGAACACACGTCGGCGAACCGCCGTTGCTACGGGGACGAAATTGCCACGCTGCGCCCACATCGACAAAGTGGGGACGCATGAGCAGCATCGAGGCTAACCTGAACAACCGCCGGTTCGCCATTCGGTAAACGCTTGAAAACACAACCGCTGGAGTCCTAACATGCTTCTACCGAACCAAGGGTCACGTATCTACGAGGTCCAGCATTGAGCAGCGTAAATAACCAGCAACCCCACCGGCGGGATTCGAACCAGCCCAGGTTTGCTTTCTTGAGCCGCATCGAATCACATATCCAGGGCAGAACCCTCGGCGGCCTGATGGAACTGGTGCCCCTGCTGGTCACCGCCATTGTACTGTTGTTCATCATCCGCTATGCCGACGCGTTTGTCAGACCCCTGGCGTTAGTCGCCGGCCAGCCGTGGGACTTTCCGGGCATCGGCCTGATCGTTGCCGTCATCATTTTTTACCTGGTCGGATTACTGCTCGCCACCCGGGTTGGCCGTGGCGCTATGACCGGAAAGGACTGGCTGCTGAATCGTATTCCAGTCGTCAAAACCCTATACGGAGTAACTCAACAGGCCACCTCGTCTCTCAGCGCGCAATACAGGTTCACCCGTGTGGTCTTCGTCGAATGGCCGCGCGATGGCGTGGTTGCGCTGGGATTCCTCACCGGCCGGGCGCAATCCGAATCCGGCGACCGGTCGATGGTAGTCGTCTACATCCCAACTGTACCCAATCCCACCTCCGGGAACCTGGCATTCGTTAT